TGGGAGACTTGAACAGGTTCAAAGAAATCACCACATTTACCTGACAACATTTTGACGTTGACATTATTGATAAGCAGCCATAATGTCTTTGTGAAGATTTCTCTGAACTTGTTCCAGACCCTCACGTTAGGCAAACCTTTGATTAAAATTTTTAGAAATCGATGACACAGCATTCGTGAGAGATTTTGTTTCTCCCATTGGAGTGAAGAGAGGATAAAATTGTGTACTTGTTCAAGCGTGATAATTGGTGTTATTTCATTATTTCTGAACCTAAACCAAAGGCGTAACGGGGGGGGGGGCTAGGGAATATTTTGTAAATACAACTTATTTTCGTTCAATTTCCCTTTTTTCCCCACCAGCTTCCCCCTCCTTTAGTTTTCCAGAGGCCTTTTGCGAGTGCATTTGTGCAATTTAGCTATTGATTGTGCCGCCCTGAAGAGCGCCACCTACCGTCCGATTGTGTGTATATTTGTCCCCTTTGAATAGCTGCCCCGTTGATAGTACCAGCATCACCCCCCCCCCCCCCCTCCCCAAATACTATTTGATATTTCGGAGGCCAAGTGTCCGGAGAAAAAATGTCTAAATTAAAGCCCTTTTCACGGATTTTCTTAACCCCCCCCCCCCAAAAAAAAATGACCTTGCTATGCCTCTGGAAACATGAACACTTCAGTGGAGAATGGCCCGCCATGTAAAGAACATCCCCGATAAGGCTTCCAGTATATATAGAACATCCCCGATAAGATTGATTTGCATAATTTTGACTTGATCCAAAGAATATCCTCAACATTTTGATAAATCACTCAAATTTACATCTTAATAAATCCGGAAAAAAGTCAACACACATTAAAGGGGTCATTATTTTGATAATCATTATTCTGATAGTTTTCATTCAAATAATGTTCAGTAGCCGCACTGTCTTTTTAGTAGTCTCACTGCCTTGTTGATAACGATTTTCGTCGATTTAACATCTATATTCATCACAAGATATTCAAGTTCTTCGTCAGTCAATGACGGAAATCTGGTAACGTCGTATTCGTACTCGTAGACGCCATTGTTGTTTCTGAGCTGCAGAGTTCAAATAGAATCATAGAAATATATATATTAAACTCTATGTGCAGCCCATAAACAACATTTGGGTGGTCATTCTCCGGTCATTCACCGGTCATTCACCCGCTGAGCGTTCATCTACATCTAAATGGATACTGGACGGGACCAGCTAGGATCTTCGTCCAGATTTCCAAGGACATGTCAACATCTCTTCGCACATCACAACTAAGAGTGCACAATTTAACAACAAATAAAAGAAGTGCGCATATATACAGTGACTGGAACAACTTGGGGACTAGTTGCTTGAGACGATGGAACGTCCAGCTGGCCTACGCATGTACAGCTGTGCCTTGTGGTCGTTCATGTAGCTCCATAGATTGGTGTTGAATGACTTAGCAGAAGTAGATTTAGTGATTATGGTGGATGGTAGAAAATTCCATTGACTGATGGTCCGGGGGTAGAAACTGTTTTTGTAGATCTCTGTTCTGGCTGGGAAGTTGATGAATTGATGTGGCTTCTGGTTACTGGTCTGTTTGGATTGTGCATGGGGTCGACTGGGATGAATTTATCTGGGACTGTCAGTGGGGTTTTTGCTGTGTTGATCTTTTAGAGCATTGTGGGACGACCTGCAGTCCTCTATCTTGGAGTGATGGCCGATTCAACTCTTGAAGCATTTGAGTAACGCTAGCCGTACGCTGATAGTTCCCTGTAACAAAACGGGCTGCCTTTCTCTGGACTGCTTCGAGGGTTGAAATGTGCTTCTGACGATGGGGATCCCAAGTTGTGTTTGAATATTACAAGATTGGTCTGACTAAGTATTCTTGTTGTTTTGGGTTTTTTCTGGGCACTTTGACAGGTTTCGTTGCCGGAAGTTGAGGGATTTCTGAGCTTTACCGGTGATGTTGTTTACATGTAGGCCCCAATCCAAGTTTGAGGTGAATTCCACACCAAGATAAGGATGGTTTTCAACTTGGTGCAGATCAGTTCATAACATGTAGTAGGTTGAGTTGATTATGTTGCGTCGCTTGGTGATGCGGAGCAAGGAGCACTTGGCAGGATTGAACCTCATCTGCCAGTCGAGGGAGCATTTTGTCAAGGTGTTCAGGTCCTCCTGCAAGGCTGCAGCATCATTTTCAGACTGTATCTGTCGATAAATGAGGCAGTCGTCCGCAAATAATCTGATGGAGGATGACATGTTGTCAACAATATCATTGATGAACAATTTAAAGAGGAGTGGTCCCAACACCGTACCTTGGGGGACCCGGAAACGACAGCAGCATCAGAAGATCTCTCACCGTCCACAACTACAGCTTGAGTACGATTTGTCAGCCAGCTTCCAATCCATTTATGGGTAGGACCATTGATGCCATACCATCCCAACTTATATAGAAGTCTCCTGTGGGCCACCACATCAAATGCTTTGGAGAAGTCTAGGATAAGGCAGTCGATCTGTTGTTTCTGATCAATGACACCAGTTAGGTCATCCAAGGTCGTTAGTAGTTGGGTTTCACAACTGTGTTGTTTACGAAATCCATGTTGGAAGTCATTTAATATGTGATGTTGGTCAAGATGAGCTCTGATGTTACGAGCGATGATATGCTCCAGTACTTTACATGCAATACTGGTTAAGGAGACAGGTCTGTAATTTGATGGCTGGCTTCTATCCCCCTTCTTGAAGACTGCTGTTACATTGGCCTGTTTCCAGTCATCTGGTGTGTCACCTGTATCAAGTGACTGCTGGTATACAATCTGTAGGACAGGTGCTAAGATAGAAGCATGGTCTTTCATCTTAGTCGGTATTTGATCTGGACCGGTAGCTTTCCAAGGATTAAGCAAGATAAGTAGCTTCTCAACTCCCGTAGTAGTGATTGTAATGTCAGGCATGACCGGAAAGGGGCTGGGACCCTTGGATGGCATGGTGTCAGCATCTTCCTTCGTAAAGACTGAGCTGTATTGTTTGGACAATACTTCAGCTTTGTCTTTAGGTGAGGTCACAACTCGGTTTCCTGAAACCAAGGAAGAGATACCCATTCCATCCCTCTTCAGTGATTTGACATACTTCCACAGTCTCTTGGGAGCACTCTCCTCGTTCTCAAACATGCCATTGATGTAGTTGGTGTGCGACTCATCGAGCTTCTGCTTGATTTGTGTCTGGAGTGCTGTGTACTTGGTCCAGTTCTTCTGTGTCTTGAATTTCTTGTATGTTGCGTATCTCCGTTTTCTGCGTCTCATTAGGCTTTTTATTTCTGGTGTCATCCATGGTAGATCCCATCCGCCTTTCAGACATTTAGTTGGCACATTCTTGTCCATGATGCTTGTTATCTGCAGCTTGAAATGGGTCCAATTTGAAGATGCAGTACGTGATTTCCATGTTGTACTAAAGTCAGTGGCAAACGATGCAAGATCTTCTTTGAGCCCTTCATTGTCAGCCTTGTTGTGTAAATAAACCGTTCTGGGTTTCTTCCTGTTTATTTGTATAGTTATGTTGCTGTCGGCAGTCACGGCCTCATGGTCACTCATACCGGGAACGACATTTACGTTTTGTAGGCCGTCAGGAGCGTTGGTAAGGATCAGGTCGAGCACATTTCCCTTCCTTGTGGCTTCAAGGACGAGTTGATCGAGGTAGAAATTGCTGACAAGGTTGACCATACTCTCATTTACTGACTTGCCATATTGTGGTGGTGGATACACTACCATGGTATTCCAATCAATTGATGGGAGATTAAAGTCACCCATAAGGATAACTCTGGGAACAGTCTTGCCATCAAACAGTATCTCAAGATCCCTTTGCAAATTGTGGATGTCACGAGGGTCATTTCCAGGAGGCCTGTAGTAGCTACCAATGTAAACTGGTGGTGCCCTACTGGTTTTGACTTTGATCATGATCAGTTCACAATCTGTCCCCACTTTCACTTCACTAGCGACAATGTCATCTTTATAGGCGATGAAGACCCCGCCTCCGTGCATGTTCCTATCTCTACGCTGGACTTTAAATGTATCAGGGAACACTTCAGCATTTTTGACGGTGGCATCAAGATGAGATTCTGTGCCCATCACTATGTCTGGTTGTTCCAGATCAATCAAAGCAGCAAGTTCTGTCTGCTTCCTTTTACTCTTCAAACCATTACAGTTCACTGTCATCAATTTAAGTTTGCGTCTTGGCTGTTTACGTGTAGCATGATATCTATTTTTGTTTCCGTCGTTAGATACAGCGGGCGGACCTTCTGGGTGAAAAGGTCCGCCGCGTTACATAGACAATGGATACCAAAAAACCCTGTGTCACGCGCTCTGTATCATGTTACGCGATATGGGGCCGGTTAATGTTGTATAAACAAAACGCTGCATTCGTAATTGACTAATCAATCCATTTAGTCCTGATTTGGGAATGAAATGATGTCACGATTTGGTAAAGTCGACTCCTTTTGGCTGGCGCGCGGCTTGCATACATTTGCATGTCAGGAGATATCAGATGTTATGCAGGATTTGGCTCCGTGGATAACGGGCGATACTGAGGCTAAAAGAAATACTGCACGGATGCTCACCGGGATGACGCCCCCTTGGCGCGTATCATCATCTTCCCAGACGCGCAGCGGAATCTGCTAATGACGTGCTCCAGTTTGATCATGAATATTTATGAGATATAGCAAGGCTTTTTACGCTCTTGATTACGTAGGAAGTAGAACAAGCAAAATTGTTAAGATGACCGGGTACATAAGAACATCCGGGCACTTTTACTAACATAACATGCCAGACATCCGGGTACTTATTACGAAAGCATACAATACGCCGGTTTATTTTTAGCACTGGTAGCCTGATAAAAATAATAGTATGAATAAGAGTACATTAAGGCCAATTACTTAAAATATCTTAGCCTATCCCTAGGCTAAATTGAATACTCCTTTGTTTTTGTTTGCAAGTGGAACACTGTAACATCTTTTTATCTTTTCAAGCAGATATCTTGCGTTATGGGGTTCACCTGGCTCTTCGGCTGCCTTGGTAGCTTCATTGACCATCAAGCTATTTGGTACGTCTTCGTCATCCTGAACTCGCTACAGGGCGTTCTCATCTTCGCGTCTTTCGGATGCAACGTCCGCATCCGGAATCTTTGGAGGGACAAATTGGGCATGGAGGCGCGAAGGAAGAACAAGAAAGCTCGGAATAGCTCCAACATCTCAAGCAGTGCGACGCGTCGTACCTCTGCCGAATGTCGCGCTCAAACCATGGCGTCAGAATCCTCCATAAGATTGCAGGACGTTCAAGTATCAACTCAAAATTAATATTTGAATATTCATGAATTATTAAAGAATGTGGAGCTCGATGTTACAAGGCATAAGTAAGCCTTTTGATTTTTTTTGTGAATGTAATAATGGTGACGTTTAATTGTCGTTAATCGTCTTGGTGATTATCACTTTTCTTCACAATGGTATGATAATTCCTGATGCGGGCTTAGTTATTATGCATATAATGCAGATGTGTGCACCTACGATGTGTGCATCTCAGAACAGAAATGTGAAAAAATGTTGTACAGAAGTACGGAAGCCAGTTCGTGCCAGATTTTAACTAAGTGAAAATAATATTTTTATTACGAAATAACGCAATAAATGTATTGCGAAATAACGCAATAAATGTATTGCGAAATAACGCAATAGTTTTGCGAAATAATGCAATAGTATTGCGATATAACGCGAAAGTATTGAGATATAGCGCAATAGTATTGCGAAATAACGCAATACTTAATGCAAAATAACGCAATACCTATTGCGAAATAACGCAGTACTTATTGCGAAATAACGCAATACTTATTGCGAAATAACGCAATACTGTCGTGTACAAACTTCAGTTTGGCCTTTATTTGTCCATTTGATGAAATGTTCTTGAAGTTCCTGTCCGTCGTTGTGTTTTTATCCGTTGTGCTCTTGTCGTGGTACGGTTTTGCTTGAAAGGGGCGGGGTGCTGAAAAACACAAGGCCTATAATTGATCTTGTCAGAAAACGTTGCCGTAATAGACATTTCTGTGGCATATTTGCCCCGGGGGGGAGGGGCAACAAGTTTTAAGGGCTTTATTAAGGGAATAACAGTGTGAGGAGCCGGTCTTCACTGCGTGATAACGGGTGTGGGGGTGACCGCTGTTAATGGACCGAGACGAAGTCGAGGTCCATTAACAGCGAATTGTACTGATACAGAAATTGTACTGATATAATGATATGTTTTGAGGAATGGTTGTTTGGGTTTGGGGGGGGATGCATCAATAATACGCTCAATATTCCACCACGCTGAAGAAAACTAATACATTTAAACGAATGATAATTACATAAGAATGATTTTCCAACTTTAAAATGTTTTCCCCGCAATATTAACCCCCTCCCAAAATTACAAACCGGTCCATTCAATTTCAATTGATAAAAGGATGCCTTGCATCAAGATTCACTAAAGCCGTATACTGATATTAATTAGAAAAGTGTTTTTAAGCATGTCAAAGAACTGAACGAATTTTTAAAAGTTTTTAAAAAAGAACTGTACTTTTAAGTCACCATTTGTTCTTAAAGCTAAAATGTGTTTTTATGGGGGTCACTTGGCAGTGGTGGGTTATGGGGATGGTTGGGATGATTAACAATCATCTTCCGTCCGGAAAAAATGACAACTGGGTAGAAAATCCCAATGTTCCCTAAGATTCGTGAAATAACACTCGTCATACAATCTCTAGTCACTGCTTTAGGTCTTTGGTCCTATTTATTACTTGTCCTCCGCTAACCCCCTTTACATATCCAAGATCTTCAATATTCCTGTACTATGGACACCCAATTAAGATGGTTTCAGTTTAAATTTTTAAACAACTTTATCTGTCAGAAAATATGACGTGAGAATTTGCCTATAAGTAGGGTTAAAGTAGGCCGAAGTAGGCCTATAGGTTCAATCATTCGGACTCATGCATTTTTTCGCAAAAAAAAAAATTGGGTTTATTTAACAAACACTATTGCGTTATTTCGCAATACTATTGCGTTATTTCGCAATACTATTGCGTTATTTCGCAATAAAAATATTTTTTATTTTTAAAACCTGGCACGAACGGTTTCCGTACGGAAGTCAACATGTGGAACCAAAAGTTTATTTCTTATTAAGTGATTTATATATACTGATCAAGCCTTAATATTCCGTTATTGTACAGTTGTAGATTTTGATGTATGTAACCATAGCATAAAAACCTAGTCTGTGTTAGTTTCTTCTAAACATGTAAAAAAGAAATGTATTGGCAAGTGCATATATATTTATTGATAAATGGAACGCCAAACTGAATATTGACTTCGATTTTTCGAAATGGTCTTTTATTTTTGACCTTCCATATTCCTGTACTATGGACACCCAATTAAGATAGTTTCAGTTTAAATTTTTAATTAATTCATCGGATTCTTGACACTTATTGTTTTTTGTTTAAAATGAATAAGACGAACACCAATTTGCTTGCATCCTGTAGTAATGGTGGGTCTTTTTCGTTCCTGTACCCATACAATTTCTTTTTGATCCTCGGTATTGTCATGGACTAAAGAGAAGACCAATCTTTCTATTGCAACGTAAAATGACGTTTTTCAATTCGGTAATATCAGTGTTAATAGCATAGTGGTTAATTTGAACTTGTTGATTTGTAGATTTCGTGTGTATACAATGAAAATGAACGGGAAACACCCGTCACTTTTAGTTTTAAAAAGAGTTACTATTTGATGGAAAAAAATACGTTTTACACTAAACGGAGTTAGTTTGAAATTTAATCAGAAATGGGAATCTTTCTTGATATAAGGCCAAGGTTAACTTGCTTTCAGTATTAATGGAAAGTGAAGTCGAATTTGTCATATATAAAATGTTTGTGCAGATATCAAGAAGAGAGACAGTGAACAATGAATATAGGAAACCCTGGGATAAAAAAAGTCTTAAATAGGCCTGCACAACAGATCATTTGGTGTCAAAAGGGACAGAAAAACATGAAGGCACAGCTACTATGCTGAGAGCCCATTACCTTAGTTCTTAAACTTAAAGACATGATTGCAGTGTACGTGACGAACAAGATAAACTATGCGCCACCACTTTCCAATTCACTCCAGCCAACTCGTCCCTAATTCGCCCCTGGCAAACTGGCACCCTATGCACCTCAATAAACATGTAGCCTAGTGTGCATTAACATTATGCTAGAGTTAGAATGAAGTGCTATTTCCTGAGTGATTTCACGAGTCTTGTCTACATATTATGAACAGCTAATTTGACTTGCGACAATTAATGTTATACCGTATCCAATTTTAAATCATATTGATGGCTTTTTCTGTCTTTGGTTTGTGTATTGTATAGCATTACAGTATGTATTTTTGTTATTTGTTGGCTTTTCTGCAACTTCTTTCTTTGCGGAAAAGCCTTTATTCTCTTCTGACTTTTAACTTTTACAAACCGTTTCTGCGGAAAAGACTGATTTTGTCTTCTCTGATTGTTCTTCGTTATTCCTGTTCTATCCCCAATCCAATAGACTTGTACTTGAATTTTCTAGATGGCACTTTGGGCACTTAATAAACTCATCATGATGAACTCAAGTGTCATGTGACGTCATCTTAAAGGTGCCATTTTGAAAGTCCTATATCTTTAGAACTACAACTCCTATCGGGTTGAAACTTTGTATGTAAATAGTCAGGAATTGTTATAGATAGGCTAAACATTGAAATGACGTCTGATGACGTTTTATTTATTTTTTTAGCTCATTCGTATATCTCACGAGCGAAACATGCTTCATTCAAAGTTGTTTTTATATTATTTTTGATAGGTCATATGAATATGACCTATAATTTCGAGAAAAATTGTGACGTCATCATGAGGTCTTCAGAAATGAACTGCTCCAATCAATCTTTTAAAGCACAGACATCCAAAAAAGGTTACATTTCGAGTATATTTGTTGAATATTTTCTTTGCTCTAGTACAATTTCGTACATTCCGTTTTGAATGTTAGAAAGTGGAACACATTACATTGATATCCTATCCACTTGCCTTGTACAAAGATTTGTGCTTGTTTCAAGTTGTATCGCTTTTCACAGTGATACAATTATAGCCTTTTACCACCGATGACGAATTCATCTCACGCTATATTCTGGTGTCAAAATGTGTTGAATAAATGAAAGATATAATTTTAACTTACATCTTATAAAAATGCGCTTCTCAAAAAAAAAAAGATTGCGGCTGGTTAAGGAATGGTCGGTGTACCCCCCCCCCCCCCCCCCCCCCCGAGTTGTGTCCATCTTTCCACTGCGCAGCGCCCCCTGTATTGTTCAGAATTCGTACGGAGGCAAAAACGGGTAGATCGAGCGGGTAGATCGAGCGAGCATAAAGAAAATGCGGCGAAACAATCACCTGCCGTACATGACCCCGAACTATGAATACCGAAACTGGATCCCCGTAAACTAAATAACCGTCAACACAACAATGAACCGGCTTTCTTCCTGACTGTACAGAAGTTTTGTTGCATTTCATGACGGTCCCGTATAGTTTACTTCAACCCGCCATCCATGAAATATAATCAACTGACGCATAAGTTGTCACTTTCAACGAATTTGTCGTGTGGGAGCAAGCATTTCGCACGATGCCATAGCAATGAAGAGAAATTTAGAATCTCCAAGACGCCGTAACTTGGACAGAAGTTTCTAAAACAAGCACGAGCACTGGACTAGGGCACAAGTCAGCGAACCTAATCAATACACAAACTTCGATTACATTGGTCAGTTTGTTCGGCATGTTTGCCGTCTATTCACTCTATGAGGAGCATGTCACTACGAGTAAGCGTCACATTACGTTAACGATAATAGGCCGATGACAAAGCGACAGCGGAGGCCTATTGTTGGCAGTTTGAGCGCCTATTCACTGTTGATGACTGGGAGAAAGGTTGTCAATATTTCGGTTGAAAAGCAGCCGCAACTATTGGGGAAAAGGCAACATTATAGTCCGCCTACGCGCAACGGTCGGAGACACAACTTCAAACAAGCACGTGTATGAGCATTATAAAGGCAAGTAACATTTTTGTTAATTTTTGTTAGATGTTGTACAGTATAGATAATCAAATTTCATTTTGGAACCATAGGTCGAGACTGTTTGAAGAGAAAAAAGTACATTGTACATGATCTCGGAACAAAACTTTACCTAGGATGTGCCTCACTTGCAAACGTAATTAACCGCCCCTGTATGAGGTAAAACCAACATAATGTTGGTATACATGTAATAAATGGTTATGAGTGCAATGGTAAGGATAATTTCACCTGGGGTGACAGATGGAATATTCCATTCCACGAGACGAAGCCGAGTGGAATGGAACATTCAAAACCTTCAGTTATCAAAGTTTTCAGTTAACATCAGAACCTTCAATTATCAAAGTTTACATCGCAGTGATTTAATTTTAATTCTCACAAAGTAAGTTACAACCATTTATCTTTTTGAGTTATTGGCACGATACACAATGTACAACAAAACCATTATTGTTGACTGCTGTGATGTGGGATATGCCGTTTTTAACACCCGAGGGGAGCATAGCCGAGGCGCCCCTCGGGTGTTAAAAACGTCACTTTCCCACATCACAACAGTCAACAATTGTTAAATGTATCAGAGCAATCAGAGCTGTGTGAGAGCGCAACTTTGTGCCCGTGCAATCGTGGAAGTTCTATTTACGTTGGAATAGAACTTCCATTTTTGCGGTGCAGCCGTGCCGTGCGTTGGGACGGATAATGCAGTGATACGTGATCAACGACTTGCCAACCAGACGACTATGATTTATTCACTGGCGTTGTATAATATTTTCTACCGATCATAGTCTTTCACATCCATTATTATGGGTTTTTTTCCAATAGCTAAAGGTCTAGCTAGCATACTAAAACTCGGTGAAAGCACCCAATAATTTGTCATAGGGCTGGATGAGTCGTAAAGGACATGTAAAACTATAATGTAAGTGAGCATGCTTTAGATGTGATCAAGCGACAATGCTGATTACACTAAGAATGAGGTAATTAGGCCTATTTAAAGCTCAATTTAAAATATTTTTTATGATTGAATTTATAACATTTGCAGGTGACACATTGCATGCAGAAATCGCAAGCAACGCTGGAGAGAAAAAAAACGAGTCAACCTCATCTGAATAATATGGCGAAACATTCTGGTCGTGATATTTCAGCGTGACGGTTATGGCGAATTTGAATGTTACATCTGAAGACGTGGGAATCGACGGGCCGGCTGCTGGAGCGAGTCTGGCCGTCATTTCCGCCGTCTCGCTCGCCGTCAACCTGACCCTTCTTGTCATCATCGGAAAGAGGCAGTCTGGAATCTTGAAGACTGCCGAGAGACTCCTGACACTCTACTGTTGTCTCGAGGCAACTTATGCTGCGGTGCCGGCCCTGTTGTCATCAGTCAGCTACCTGGGCCAATGGCGCGTAAATGCCAACGAAGTGATCTGCGATTTCCACGGCTGGGCCGCCTGCGCTGCAAAATGCTCGTGTGCTTTCATCACGACGGTGTTGCTATTGTCTTGCTATCTCGAGCAAAGACAATCCCTAGTTTATAGGACACAAATGAGGTTGTTTTATGCGGCAGTTTTTGGAGTTGTTGTTGTTTGCCTAATTGCAGCTGTCCCCATTATGGGCGGTCTTAAGATGGCGTCCTTCGAGCCATCGGGAAGTTACTGTCATTTCGATTACCGACAGACGATCGGCTTTTTACGAGGTTTTTGCATCTCGCTTGTTTTAGCTGGGTACATTCTGCTGCAGACAACACTGTTTTGTTGCGTGTCGATCTTGTGCGATAGGAGACGTAATACAGGCCGGGATTTGGAACGAGGGATCAGAAAATCTAGTCATGGGTTCAACCCTGAAACAAGAGGGCGCAAGTCACTGGCGTCACGAAGTCAGCAAAGACGGGGAGGTTTGAATGATGGAAATGGTGTCGTGCCTCGGAATCTAAGACAACAAGATAAAGGCAGCCAAGAAAGTGAAACGTTTACAACTACAGTGCTTGTAATGGTGACAGTGCTTTGGTTATGCTTCCTACCTTTTTTGGTAAGTAGGGCTATCCATAAGTGCGGTGCTTCGAGTGTACCTTTTAGTGTGATTGAACACAGCATACACATTAATCCGGCACAAAGATATACTGACTCTGGGAACCTTACCCTCACACTGGAAAACTAAAGGTTTACCTTTAGGGGCCGTGTCACAACGAGGCAAAGTACAGGCGACTATTGTCCTGCACTTGCCTAGAAAAAGCGAGGGGCCAACTTTCAGGAATTTCCATAAAGTGTCAGGAAATAATCCAAGAGTTCTTTATGCTTATAATGCATTATTGCCTCCAAGTTAAGTTGCGTGTGACAATAAATGTGAGTTGGCCCAAACGGTCCACTGGATAGCAATTCGCGTAAATTCTCGTTACCATGAGAAACTAAGATAGGCCTATGCTTTGGAATTCCTCGCGGGGCACCACACAGTTCCTGATTATTATTTTTTTTTTATTATATATAGGCTATTTTCCTTTACAATTAATCGATTCTAATAACCAAATTCGTCCAGCAAAATTGATTTAGTGCACTTCCAATGTTTGATTTCGTGCTTTTCCATACCATTTCAAATTTAAGTTCAGGCAAATTAAAGGTACAGTTCATCATTTGCAATTTGTGCATTATGTTCGTTTAAAGCAACAAAAGTGCTCAAAATGTAAAGAAGGGTGCTTGACAACAAACCGATGAAGTTTTGCACAACGCATTCAATTCCGTACTATGGTCCACACTTACAAATCTCTCAACTCCTCTGCCCCTGATTACCTCTCTTCTCTTCTCTCAAATCGAACCGGGTCTCACTCCCTTCGCTCTTCTCATGGGAAATCTCTTGTTGTCCAGAAAACAAATAAACTCGCAGGTGATCGGGCCTTCTCTATCGCTGCTCCCCGATTGTGGAATAGTCTACCCATCCCTATCAAAAACTCCGATACTGTGCCAACCTTCAAGAAGGCTCTCAAAACCCATTTTTTTTCCCCACACCACAGCAGGTCGTACGCCCTTGTTGTTTTTCTGTTGTTCTTTCTGTAGTTCTTCTTTCTTTGTTTCAGCGCCTTGTGTCCTTTGGCAATTTGGCGCTCTATAAATACAGTTATTATTATTATTATTATTAGCTCTTTTAGATTTTTAGTGCATGTTGTATATTTCGAGAAAAAATATTCTAGGATCTTATTTTCAAATCAAAAGTTGCTGAGTCATGTTTTGAATTGGGTCCGAATTCAGCGTCCGAGACACGTACTCATCCAGCTGATTGCAGCTACGTCACGCACTGAACCGCACGCTTCGCCGAACTTAAAACGAACTAAATAACGCACATTTCCAACGATGCGTCTCTATTATCTTAAAACAAGTGTGCTTTTCAACAATAATTAGGCCTACGTCAGTTACTTTTTGGATATCTGCAAATGATAGACTGTAGCTTTAAATCCACGAGCATACGTATTTATTCGTCGAGCGTCCAGGGGTACTCGAATTTGTTTCGTCTGTACGCCAAACAGTGTTATTCAGAAAACAAAATCGTGTTATGTCACACTATTAAATCCTAACATTTTGTTCAATTTCGGGTTTTTTATTTTGTCTGACTGTGAAATTTTCAGTACAAGGCAAACAAGCCGATTATAAGAATAATTTTCCACTTTTTTATTTCCTTGTTTTATGAACACTAATCTTGTCCTTTGGCAACTGCTCTCTGCATACCTACTTGGTCTGATGGAATCATGCACTCGAGGACACAAGGAAAATGCATTAGCACACAGACTAATTTACTTAACAAGAGTTTCAAATTACTGGTTGACATGAGACGAAATTGATCTCTGAATGCTGTCATTCGGCAATAGCTCACACGAATTCAATCTGTATTGACGAATATTTTTTACCAGGCACTTATAACTAGGTTGACCCAAATTCGAAATTTAATGATAAATTACGAAATTGACTAAAAGTATGTGCAATTCTTCTCCAATTTGAATATTAACTAGAATTTAAAAAAAAATGTTTTAAAAAAGCCGGGAAAACTTATAAAAACCTTTTTTTACCCATAATTTCACAGCATGGCGATGAGCTCTAAAAGATTATGTAAGCAAATTTCATGACTGTATACAACTACGCAACTAAGGATATACTTTGAGAATTGAGGTGAGGGCCCAATTCCATGGACCTGTTGGGCACATTGTGCTAAGCAGTAAGCACTGAAGCAAAATACAACTTACGAGCCATTAGCGGGTTGTATATTGTTTGTGGCTGGGTTACGGCTGTATTCTGCTTAACACATAACATAATGGTGAGCAATATTTTGGGGCAGCATTATGGGATTATACGGTTCTTATGTGCCTGTGACGTACATATTCTGGCAGGCTAATGACCCTGAAGCATAATGATTGCATGTTTTCCCAATGCATTGGATTGCATCCCTCCTGACAAATGACGATCCCGACAAGTGACTTATATCGATTCATTGTTAAAAAGGCCAACCTCTCAGACACTTCATACAATCAGCAGCTGCTCTCTTGCCAAGAAACGTACGAAAATCGATTAACTCTTTAAACTCCGATTCTTGTAGCCGTCATAATGAACAGAACGGGCATATAAGAACAAACCATTGTCTAAGGGTGATGTGGACTTATGGGTTTGCCAATACATGTACACTGTTCGAAAACTTTAGCAGTGGCGTAGCCAGGATTTATTTCAATGGGGTGGATTAGGTGTTTGAAGTCCAGGATTTTTCGGGGGGCGTGGCTGTGTTGTTTAGTCAATATAGACTACATGTCTTATAAGCTTAAGCAATACACCGAGAAAAGATAGGCACGTTTCAGGAAAACAAATGTGGTCTTTTCCATATGATGGTTTTTTTTATTAGAATAAGTATAACCAAAGAGACAATAATCTATATAAAACACTTTGTTTTATCCGTATTTGGGTTCAACTGCGATTTCAAAAAAAAGGTTATCTCGATCCACAACTTGCGATTGCATTAAGGGCTATTTTATATTTGTGTATTTTGATGGGCATATCAAGCTAGAGATCGTAACAGATATTAATCAAAGCTTCGCTTATGAAATTTAAAACAAAACGATCTCGTTCCCAGATTGTGGTCGTTCTGGCGCAAACTGGCATTCCAATTCTTTCCCGTGTGGACTTCGCCGTGGTGCGGGTGTTGTCAGTAGAGGGCGCCTTGAACCCTATTCTTATCCTGGTGACTTTCCCGCCCTATCGCCAGAGAGCGCTAGAGATTCTGACTTTACCTACTCGGGGGTGCGTCGGAAGAAGATCCAGAAATCAAAGGCATGGACGTAAGTGGAGTTCCGTTTATTGTATTCACAAAGAGCTTTTATAACCATTACCATGCTCAGCCGCCCGCGCTATATGCCCTAAAATATATAAAAAGTTGTGGGATATGTAAAAATGACTGAGAAGCTCTTTTACAGTTCGATCTCTCATTTCTCAAGTCAGTAAAATTTGTTTTATAATCTCTGAAATCTCCTTCATCCTTTTGCATAAAAAACTGGGTGGAAGACGGTGGAAAACTTGAAAACTGACGGTGGAAGACCAGTAGGGCACATCCACCTCTTAGCGTGGTAGACAAAAGTTGGCGGGTAAACCAGTCCTACGGTTGTCCGCATTTAGTTTTGTTCAACATTGCAGATGGACACAAATCGCGAGAAAAATGTGATATAAGAATAGTTTTCAATATACAAAGAATACTTTTTAATAGCCAATGATGTTTATAAATGGGCGATGAAAACTGGGTTATCAACCCGCCATATTGGCAATCAAGTCATTTGCAGCAATTTGCGTACCCCAATGATATGATTCTTAGATGGAATTTCAGAACATTTAAAAGATTTATAATTTCTACATTTTTCAGTATATGTTCCAGACTCAAAGCGTATCGGCCTGTCCGAGTCTGTGGTCTACGATGATTCTACTCTGCTGGATTCAAAGGCTTGGTATCTGGTCAAACCAAATAGGTATGTCAAGTATCGGTAATCCGTGTGGCATTAAGATGCTTGGGCGACAACGTGGTCTTCCTCAGGTTATCAGATTTCTGAAAGCATCAACCAATGTTTGCAAATGTTTGCAGCCAGATTTCACCGACCGTTTTTTTTAATCTAGTTGCTCTTGTTGGTATTGGGTCTCGCTTTCGGAAATGGCAATTAGCAAAAATATTTAAAACAACACAACAGAAATCCTTTGTTTGAACTTTTTAAGGGCTAATGCAAGTTCTGGGGAAATCATTTTAAAACCTGCCAAACCAAACTGCTACATGTATTTGGAGTTAAAGCCCAAAAATAAATAATGGATGGATACCACAAAAATGTCCCGATGAGACCGACTGTGGAGGCACATATCTCTACAATGCCTCACCAACAAACCCAGAATCAGTCACAGGAATCCTGGCTTTTTTCCCCCCAGATCATTCGCCAGATCCTATAGCACAGGTGACCTCACATCCCATGTTACTGGCCATGGTATCACAGGTGGATTGCATCCCCACGGTGCCAGAGACACACGCTACCAATCATCTCTCCGATCCATCCTCCAGCCATCTAAATCATCTGAGATGCTCTCCCAGTCACAGGAGAAGCGTCGACGCAGTATCCACTGGGAGGATGGTGTTAACATGGGTCGGGAGGTCACACATAGGTCAAAGGTCATCTTGGTTCAGCAAGGCCCAGACAAAGCGAAGACTGGACTTGATTCCGTGTGTTATATTGATGACGAGGAGGCATCCTACAGCAGTGAAACAGGGAGTTCATATAGCGATGAGTGCACTAGTGGTAAGCAACCAAGAGGAGCTCAGACTGATTCAGACTTTTCATCAAAATGTTTAAACTGTCCTTTATGTGCTGCACAATTCTTCTAAGCCCGCAGGTTCAATGTCAGGTTCCATGACAGCAAATGACAATATATTAAACTTAGGTAATCACGTCCATCTTATCTCCTTGCATTGGCACCAATTGTCTCTTTTTGTGCACTGGCTTCCATTTCGAAATAAAGCTGGTATTGTTCAACTTGTTTATCTCATTTTTGTTTGTTTTACTGAAGAGCACAATGTTAAGTAGCTTCACAAATCAAGGTAGCAATTGCCATTTAATTACAATCAGTGAACTTGGCTAACCTATTAGAAACCATCACATCCCGAGTCCAAACCTCTGAATGAGACATATTGATGCATGTTATTTTTTCTCAGAGTCTGACCATGCTGCCGACTACCACTGCAGTAAATCAGCTCCACCTGTTTACATCATTAATGGGAGAGCCTATTACACTCCAGCAACATCAATACAAGGAACTATTTACTGCCAATGTGAACAGTGTGAACGTAGAATGGAACACCAGACTAATGCAGACAGAGACCCTTCTTCCCTAGGGGAGGGGAAAGGCATGCTGGCAACTACTCGGGTCTATGGTAGGGCTGAGCAGCGGGCAGGCACAGCTCCATATGAAAGCTCAACTATCACAACCGATGGGCAAGAAGTATCAAGTCCAAAGAGCAAGAAACCAAGGGTGCTCAGGAAACAAGTGGAGAGGCTAAGAAGAATAAGGCAACACGAGATTGAGACTAGTCAGCACAAAGGTCTGATTGTGAGGGCTCTGGATGAAAATGCTCCTGGTTATTATCAAGAGATATTAACGGATTTACAAGATTTACCAAACAAGAATCAAACGACTCACACAGACTATCCTTATAATGAGGAACTGGATAGGGACACATTGCAAAACTATGGTGAATCATGCAATGAACATGATATCAGAGATGATGTTCACAGGATCCCAAATCAGCAATATGAAGACCAGAGACGCAGTGCTACCAACAGGCAAGAGCAATCTAGTTATAATATCAACGTTGGTGCCGTACAACAGGTCAATGATGATGACCTGAACAACAGGATAAAGGTTCAGAAACAATTCAGAAATGTTCTGACAGTTAATGAATTCCCAGAAATGATTGCTCAAACTGACGTGGATCAAGCAACAACTTCCTTGCATCTTCCAAGAGATGGTCACAATAGCCCTTCAAACATAATGGACAGCCAAGCTAATCATGAGAGGTTCAATCCCTCTTGGAGTATCCGTCCATTAAATGTGGAGACTAGACAAGATGATCCACAATTAAGTGTCACCTCAGAGCATCTTGGCAGAGGCATGGAATCACTGAAGCATCTTGAGATGCACTGCGAGCATCTGCTAGAGCGATCCCTGTCTTTCAGAAACAACCCAGAGAATGAAAGCAGCACTGCAGGTCAGGCAGTGATAAGCAAGGAGCTAGCACAGGCAAAAACCAGTCCTATGCAGTTGCCTACTGAAGAATCGGTGCCTAACAAGATATTTGGAATAAATACGGCAGAGAGAATGCAGGAGGTACAGCAACTTACAGACACAATGATACCTCAAGAGGTTCTAGGGAGAGGTACAATGCAGGTGACAAATGAAAGGCAGGAAATAAGACAGGAATCGATACCCAGTGAGGTATGGATGACAAGTAAAACACAGATGCCTCACAAGATGCAAAGTGATTTACCAATGACAAGTGAGGTTCGGGTGCCTCATGAGATACCGAGGACAAAAACAGAACAGGAGACAAGTCAAGTACAGCAGACCACAGATCAAACACTGATGTTTAACGACGTAAAGGTGACTGGTGAAGCAAAGATGCAGTACACGGTGCTTGAGAACAACAAAGTTGAGGTTCAAAACACAGAACAGGCAACACTATTAGAAATGCCTCCAGAGGTTCTTAGTGGCACTCGGGTAAATCACAAGAGACAGAAACCTAGTGAGGTGGCAACATCTAGTGAGACACAGATGATCTCTCAACAAATTCAAATGCATGCGGCCTGTGATCAAACTGCCCACATGAAATTGGATGAAAGCCCAGGTGTCTGCAATAGCAGCAACACTTTGAAGATTTCATCCCAAGATGCACGAGCAGAACAGAGTTATCAGAGTAGGGTAGGTGAGGACATAGATAAACCTAGCTCTCTCATGGGTCAAGCAACAATGGTTAACAATGTACCAATGGAGAAGGACATAGTCTTTCATGGGTTGAAGTCCGAGGATCCTCAAGTCATAAATATTCTTTTTCAGAAGGTTATCATGAAACCCGAAAATCAAGGCAGAGAGGTACCTCTCGGGGAAGTTAACGTAGTTAGGAGACCAGGCGATGCAAAGGTTGATGAGATAAGACAAGAATCACACACCATCTTACACATCGACACTATAAGCAGAAGGCAAGAACAAGAGATAAGCAAAGGTGATGAACAGCCTATCAAAAATCAGACAACACTTGAACAGGGTCAGCAGAGACAGGGTGATCAGAATAACAGTCAAGGTCAGAATGGTGAGGACTTACCAACAAGCCATGACATTCCATACCGGCATTTCTTGAGAAGCATCAATGGAACCCCTACCAAGAATGAACAGCATGCCATTCCATCCATCCATGTCACTCCCTCTGACAGTAATGATGTGGTGTGGGCATCAGAGAGTGATGATTCTGTGGAATCGGATAGTTCAGTTGAGTCACTGTTCTGCAAACCACCCATGCTTAAACTGGGGAGTAAGAGACGCAAAGGAAAGAATAATCTCATGATACCTTACTGGCTGAATACACAGTCCCATACTACAGACACCTGTTTTTCTGAAATGGGTAGCCATTCAGATATCAGATCAGCTATCAACAATGATGGAAGTAATAGAAGTAGTGACACAACTGGACACGAAAATGCACACCGTCAAAGTGCAGTTGAGGGCCAATTAGATTCAACAGAGATCTTGACTAACAATCAAATGGATGCTGGGATAAGCGTGAGATATTTTGAAATCAAAGAGCCTCCCAAATCAAATGAAAAACTTCAACTCTTGCAACAAGAAGCACAGTCAAATGGACACATGAACACAAATGAACACATGAACATTACACAGCAAGTATCCAAGAGTGATAATGAAACCACATTACAAATTAATACAAAACAGGAGATCTCCCAAGGAAAAACTGTAGGATGTGACGCAAATCCCAACAGTCTAAGACAGGGTATTAAGAGTACATCAAAGAATTTTAAACAAGACAATATGAATAACAACACCTTGAATTCCAGTCAAAATGAGACTATAGGGGTGTCCTTACAGACGCCAACCTGCAGTCAAGGCAGACGGCGGTCCCAGTCAATAGACAGTGCGACCATAATTGAAGGTTTTACTTCCAAGGGGCTACGTGGTGTTGGTGGAAGTGACTGCAATGAGGACTTTCAGGATACTCCAATTAAGATGGCGACGAGAAGAGCGTCTTTGCCCCAGCTTATGTTGAGAGGAAATCCAAAGAAAGTGTACATAAAGAGTGAAATTCTTTGAAGAAAAACCCAAAGGTTCATCGTATGAAAATGACAGTTCATTTCGTTAATGAGACATGAAGAAAACCATGATGTCACAATAAGCACACCTTAGGATCAGGGTTGATGTTCATTCCAAGTTTCAAGTTCATACTATGTGCCATTTAGAAGGAAAAAGTTGCAGAGATTTATTGTCTAGAAAAAAAAGGAAGCAAGAAAGCAGGAAAAAACTATTGAACAGTTTTAAACACAGGTCAAGCCAGATCATGTTTATTATAGTTATATGCACATGTAATTATGTATGCGATGCACAAAATTTTTGTTTTTAAGGTTTCAAGATTGCATTATGAACCTTTCATTTCAGTATTCAGATTAAATTTTACAATAAACATGACAATATGTACTGCAACTGAAGGTATGTCATTTATTGTTTTTTAATCTTTCATAACTGTTCTATTGTCCAAGCACTCACAAAGCAGTGAGTTTTAATTAAAAATTCCATGAAGAATTAAAAAAACTGCTCACGAAATTGTGAGCCTTGTTACTGTAAAGTATTGACTTTATATATGTACGTGTACATAATTTCAAAGCAGTGCCATTTTTTAAACGCCATTCAAAAAACAAAGTTCACATGTTTTAATGTGATACATGTATAATGCCGCAAATCTGAAAGGAAAAACACAATTTCAGACAAGATATCAAGTAAAAAGTCTGCAATCCATCTTTTTGGATAAAAATGACTACATTGTAATTCATTCTGTCTATACAATCAATTAGATACCACACTCTCTGTTAAATACATTTACACTGTAAAATAAATTTCTATATACACAGTTCAACTTTACATGTTTCATCACTCGTTGTTTTTGTTTCGTTTTCTTCATCTGTTTTCAATTTGATTTCCTCAAAGCCACATTAGATTATTTGCAATTACCTGAGTAAATACCTACCTACACGTATAGTGATAGAAACCTTGCTCAAAGTGAAGATAGGACTGGTATCAAACATTCTGTGAATTTATTCTGCCTGAAATGGTATCATTTGGAAGAAAACTAACATTGAAGGTGTTTTCAAAATAGGATTAGGGCATTTCTACCCGTGTTAGCAACAGAATCCAGTGACGAGACCAAAACAATTGTGCATTTATACGTTTTGTCCATTTTCTCAAAATGCATAGTATCCACTGATCTGAAACTTCCACTGGTTTAATACTGTAGCTGTTATGCATCCTTTTTAAAGTTCGGAGCAATTTTGTTGCTTTAAACAAAAACTGAATGAAATGTAAATGATCCTACATACTTTTAACTTCAGGTGGTTTGTGGATGCTTTAGAGGGGGATGCTTTAGTGTTAGAAATGCTTTAAATGGTCCTCTGTAGTAAGTTTGTGTGCTAGGTCTATGGGAGAGTGTTATAATACAGGGACAATGGGAAACAAGGCATTGTCCTCGGAAGTATAGTAAAACACGACTGTCTGCACACGTATTAGTGTTTACTGCATATCATGTGACACAAAACTTTTGAAAATTGAATGGGATCCAATGGAGTGAATTCTGCAAACTTGGTTTCCATGTGAGTATTGAGTACAAATTGCTGAGTTTCTGTGTATTCAGATCAACTGCAACATTGTCCTCACTTCTCATGAATAATCAAAACGAAATTGAATCATTTATCCAAATTTGACCCAATTCCCACAAAAAGAAGTCTACATCTTAAGGACTTTTTTTTTACTTACTTATTTTCCAAATGAGAAAGAGCATTATCATCTCTCCATCTTGAGACATTGTGGTTAGACATTTTGAGCAAAATGGGCAATCTGTATGCAAACAAAATTGACAACACAGATTTTCCACTGTGCAAGATTTGTTTAAGAGCCTGTGGTTCAAAAGTAGCTCTGGCAACTTCGAATTCATTTTGCACGGTTGGGTTATATTATACTCGTCATCAACTGCTGAATGGTAAAAAGAAGATTTTTATTTAAACAGCAGCACCTCTTAGTCCTGTATTCCTCGTTTTGACAGATCCTTCACTAGAGAGCTACCTTTGCTGGCTCAGCTATCGTGTTCATTTTCAATCCATCTGCCACTCCTTGAAGAAGTCATTTCCTTTGTCATCAACAACAACAAATGCTGGGAAGTCTTCTACTTCCACCCTCCACACAGCCTCCATGCCCAGCTCTGGATACTCCAGCACCTCCACTTTCTTGATGCAGTTCTGAGCTAGGATGGCCGCTGGACCTCCAATGGAGCCCAAGTAGAAGCCACCGTGTGTCTTGCATGCCTTGGTCACCTGAAGCGAATGAGCAGAATATAAGTTTCAAGATTCTGATCAATGTTGCCACAAGGCCTGGTGTTAGATCCCTCAATAATTGGGTAGGCTGAAATTATCTTTTGAAAGAAAAACATCTTCGTTAACCTGTTCTCAGGAAATTGTACATTCATTAGATTTGCTTCTCTGCTCATTTAATAAATTTAATGGCTCCATCTCGCCACCTACACAGGAGAGGTGGCTTCACTGCCTGTTGCCCACTTTGGGGCAATCAACTCTCTAACAACTGGTGAAAATAAAAACACACATACAAACGTACGTTAACGTTACAGACGTAGTGTGGACATTCCTTTGTTTTCGAAAAACCTGTGAAAAAAACTACTTTTACTCAAACTGTGAGAACTCTTTCAACCCAATTTTTTTTTATGATTCCCTTTAGTGTTGCTCTTCATTTTTCCACCAATAAACCTAACCCAAAAATGCCTCTAAACCTGTTTTCCAGAGAGGGAAGTCCACACTTTGTTCAGAGGTCCACACAGTGATTGTAATGCTTGTACACACATACTTGTTCCATTGTTATGGGGACTTCACACAAGTTGTCCCATGGTACTGTAGGGACTGAAGACGCTATGGGGACAGCAGAAAGTCTCCACAACTCGGTATTAATGCTATTAATTCTATCATGAAGGCCCCTTCAACTGAGAAAGATTGTGCTTCCTACCGATTAGATAATCCATTACAAGGCAGTTGCTTTGTACAATAGCATGCACAATGGTTTCCCCATTGAAGGGGCCTTGGATTTGCCTACATGCACATACCTGCTTACTCCTGTTCCCCTTGGCTAGCATGACCATAGATCCACCAGCAGCTTGGAAGGCATCTACATACGAGTCCATCCTACCAGCTGTGGTCGGACCAAACGAACCTGAAGCATAACCCTGATACAGCAATTAAACAACAGAATTGTTACATTTTCTGTGCTCAAAGGAACAGCATCACAGGAAACTAACTTGATCTCCCCTCCAGCCACACCTCTAAAATAAAGCATGGTTATCTGCTAGAAGTCATGTGTAAACATAATTAACATTTCCTAGAAAGGCAATAGGCTCATGACAACATAATAATGAGCTCTTTTGCTATGGTATCTACAAAAATTTTGCAACTTTGCAAACTCAAGGCAACTTGCAATCTGCATCAAAGCAGTGGTGTGCCTATATGTGCACACCACTGAACATGCTGAACAACGGTTCATAACCACCAGGTAATACAGAGTACAGAGGTACTATCTAAGGCTGCATCCGAATCAGCTGTCTAGAGCTAGGTCGAGATCTGCACCCACTGAAAATACGCGGGGACGGTCTGACAATAGCTTTGGAAGCCCGTTTCGGACACGGCCTAAGCCGTAATTGTACCTCTTGCATCTTCATGGTTGGAATTCTGCCGGATGCATGCTGTGAATGGACTTATTGTCAGTTATGACCACAACGGGCATCTTCAAAATTAAACTTCTCAGATGAGGTTTTCCTCCTACACAGGACATTTCGTGACTGTCTTTTTTCAAGTTGTCCGTCAATGCTACACTGCCGTACAGTGATTGATTTGGCTCAGTACTACCAAGCACAGTTGCATATTCACCCTAACCTCCCGAACTTTATCAAAATCCATCCCCCCATTTTGGTGGATTTTGGGGGCCTTGGTTCTGCAGGCCTGATTTGACTAAATATTGATGGAGTATGATGGACTTGGGCCTGGAGGCCTAAAGCAAAGCATGCATTGGAAGCAGTGCGACTGATGGATTTTGACAGACCTGGTCCAGTACTCAGTAAGAGACAGTAGGGAGTGTGGGTCAATCAGAAGGCAGGACCTCAGTAGCAAGTGAACAATGACAAGTACGTTGTGACAGTTTATTTGAACAGTTTCTCTTGATTTATAAAAGGAATGACTTTTGATTGAATGGCGATGATGAATGACTTTGGATCCATCTTATTTATCCAAGACAAGTTGTAGGAAACTTCCCCTCATAAGCTGATCTGAGTGCATTACTGTCAGCAATACCTGAGCACTGCGATGAATGGAACAGTACTGCTCAAATCTCCCTGGAGTAAATGCAGAGTTCTTGTCAGTTATCAGGCAAAGTTTTACCATAACTTTTGCAGGATTTTTATTGAGATGGCTTCTTACGGACACTTGTGACAATTTGAGTGCGACTCTCCCATGAAGAAAATAACAAATCACAAAATAATGTACCTCAGGTGTCTTGGCAGGCCCTGCATAATAGACTGGATGATCCTTGATGTACTGAGGCAAACCTTCCCCGCTATCAAGCCTCTCCTGTAGCTTAGCATGAGCAATATCCCGAGCCACTACTAGCGTTCCAGACAGACTGAGGCGCGTCTTGATTGGGTAGGCTGACAGAGCCTGACGGATCTGGCTCATCGGCTGATTCAGATCAACCTGGTCATCAGCCAAGGAAATCATGTCAAAAAACAAACGAATAACAAATCTTTAGTCACAAAAAGTCTATTTTATTTGTAGTCAGCAATGGATACTTAAAGCTATAGTCCATCATTTGCAGCCATCCGAAAAAGTAACTGGCGTATTATTGTTGAAAAACATACTTGGTTGAAAGATAGTAAGTGGACTAAACTCCCTGTGAAATTATTCTTTCTGGCAAGCTGTCATTTTGAAGTAATCAACGAAAGAAGGCCTTTCCAACGGTGCGTCTTAAGACGCACCGTAGGAAAATTTAATTTAGTAGTTCGTTTTGTTATTCGGCGCAGCACGCGCAAGCATTAGCACGACGCACACGCGACATCGCGTATAGCTGCAATTCAAAACAATTCAAAACACGATTCAGCAACTTTTGATTTGAAATTGAGATCCTAGAATGCTGTTTTTCTCGGAATATACAGCTGAAGCTGAGCTAAAACTTCATCAGGTTAGTTGTTCAGTATCCTTCATTAAATTTTGAACACTTTTGTTGCTTCAAACGAACAAAATGCACAAATTACAAATGATGGACTATATCTTTAAAGTACATTAACATAGATGTATTATCCATTTTCTCTCTCGTTCTAGCCCTTTGCTGGGCCAAGTTCACAAACATACCGAAAACAGCAAGAGGGAATAGGGCGGAGTGAAGGGGATATATATCAAACCCAACTATTGCAGTTTTTTATTGTAGAAATGAAATAAGTAAGGAACATGGATCTGTGGAAGCCATCATAAGAGGACAGAGCTTTGTATCACAAGGATAGGTGGGAATACACCTCTTGTTCATTTGCTGCTCATTTTTAAAATATGAAAAGCCAAAGGGATGATTTCCACGCAAACATATTTCAGCGTAATTATGCTTCCCATCATCCTGTGTTTAAAAAGGACACTATTGAAAAGGTCACAGCATTCCAATAGCTGGGCCAATCAGGAGGCAGTAATGAAAATTGGGAATATCAAACAGCCAATCACGTGCCAGATCATTTCAATAACATAAGATGGTCTAGTACCTTGACTACATCTGCTTCAAGATCTCCTGGTTGTATCTCAGGCAGGTACTTCCCAGGGTCCGTCTCCAGCTGTTCTAGGAATACTCCCTCCTCATTGATTTTGCCAAGAATCTGCAGGTTAAAAAAAAGCTTTTATGTTTTCTTTGTACGGTAGACCAAGGTTGGACAACAATTGTCCAAGATATCAAATTTGCTTGGCATTCACGTCAGGTATAAAATGATCCGTTTGTTTAGTGGCCCCCTCTTTTGACCATTGTTATAGTGTAGTTGCATTAACAAACAACACGTGGAGTGGCCAAACGTGTCCATTCATCTTTTCAATTCTGTAAGCAGAACTTCACCAAGTATGACTTTGAACACGTGCGACTATTGGATCATGTAATCAAACTGTTTTTGAGCTGTGGGGGGCTTTTCCCTTCTATTCCTTGGGAAAATAATAGCCATTTGTCGCTCTTGTCTGTTGGCATTTCCAACAACAATGTTTGATACATTACGTACCCAAAAATCGGTAGCCAAGGCTGATGTTCAGCGTAGCCGAATGTTCATTATAGCTGTGTTCAGTATAGTGACGTCCCACTGTAGATGTATCGTTTTTAATTTAAATTATACTAATTCATGATAACTATACAGAAACACAGGAAAAGCAATTAACTACTGTAATCTGTCCTAGACTCTAATGATAGAGCGACAGAGATGAAAAATGCAATCGTCATCATGTATATTGTGTCCGTGTAAAGAAATCTGTTCACATTCAAATGAAAAGAAAGTTGTTTGTATGAGTATCATACGCACGAAAACCAGTATATGCACATAGTGTATCTCACACACCGGAGCTCTCATGAGCAGGACACGGAGCGCCATCTGCTGTTTCTGCAAGGAGTCCTTATGCTACAGAAGTGAGACTTAATGTAATTAACACCAAACTTCAAGTCTGAATTCTTTTCCTCGGCGTGATACTCACCTGTCTATCGGCAGAGCAGGATACCCCCATACCCACCGGGCATGAGGCACCATGCCTAGGCAGCCTGATAACACGGACATCATGGCAGAAGTACTTGCCTCCAAACTGAGCTCCGATGCCTGTACTCCGACACAGATCCAGCACCTGCTGCTCCATGTCCAGATCACGAAAGGCTCTCCCATGCTCATTACCTTGAAACAAGTCCAAATAAAACACAATTAAAAAATCAGCAACAACTAGAAGCCATCACTGAAGTGGTACCATGCTCGTGCATTGCATATGCTTCTTCAAGGGTTGCCAAATGCACGCACGCCTTAACGCATATGATCAATGGCTTTTCATGCATTTTGTTTATCACCGATCACAGCTGAAAATTTTGCCTAAAATGGTTTGTAAACCACACACACATATAAGTGTATGAATGATCATCATTGCCACAAAACACTCATCAGAAAATTTACAAGGTACATATAAAAAACACTTATTAATTCAACAGACACTATAAAATATAAGTGAAAACTCCCTCTCAGATGCCGAGGGCATACATTGTTGCCAACCACTCTTGAAATGTATGCCAACTGATGGCCATCCATACATTACAAGTGTAATCAAGTCAATCACAAGACAGGTCACAATAACAGGGATGAACAATGACAAAGGACGGGCACTTGACTTGAAAATAAACAACTTGTGATTGTCTTGCAATGATGTAACAACAATGCTATCACATATGTGTGACCACTACAAGTAAAATAGGATTTGTCCTCCCTAATTTGCCTTACTAATAATATTGTTTTCAAAATCTCTCATCATAAACTAAACCTTTAGTAATATACTACCTGTTGTTGGCAAGTTGTCTAGGTACTTGGTGGAGGCCAGTTTGACTGTCTTGAGGGTCATTTCTGCTGATAGTCCTCCAATGACAAAAGCCAGATGATAAGGTGGGCAGGCAGCAGTACCAATTGTCTGAAAATATTCCAGTGGTCTTATTTAATATCATTTTAAAATGTAATTGCATTAATACTTTCTAACCAGTGGTTAATAGCTAAACCTTGCCATGTGTTTTTTTTTTTGCTCAGCCATGTCAGCCATGCATAAATACAGGCCTGGATTATGCTTGAAATCCTCCGTACTGCTCCAGGATGTCACTGGCCAAGCCTCAACATATTGACAGTCACTGCCGCAGAATTTTGCAGGATTCAGGAGTGGTCACCCCTCCATGGACCATATTCAAGAAATAATGGAGGAATTTGCAGGATTGAGGCAACATGCTGTGTTTTCTATGAGGCCAATTGGAGGATTCTGCAGGATTGAGGCTACATCCTAGCAAAAAGGCCTAGGGAGTTAGGGTCAAGTGCAAGCTATAACTCTTGCACTGATCAATAAAAAGTTACCACTTCCGAAAAAAGCAAAAGTTACCAACTCAGAAATAGCTAAAAGGATGTTGTAAGCCCAATATTGAGAATGTTTTCACAACCAAAATCCCCTCCCCCACCCGCAAAAAGGATCCGAAACACCACACAATACAATAAGCCTCGCTCAGTGCCAATATGTGATCTGTCCTCCACTAGTACTCTCAGGCATATTTCAAAGCATTCTAAAGAAATTTATAAAACCTCTGGAAACATCCACAACTGTAATAAAGTATCAAATGAAAAGTTTATTGCACTTATTCATAAATTACCAACATACAATAAACAGCTGTTAAACACTTGTAAATGAACTTCTTCATTTGAGACAATTTTGATATCGAGCCTTGTCATCTCTCAAGTTAGAATGAGCTATCTTACTTTGATCTTCTCATCCACAAAGCTGGCCAACTTGGCAGGGTTGAGCAGGGCCTTGGTCTGCTGGTACAGGAACGTCTTGTTGGCTGAGCCGCCGCCCTTAGCAATGAATAGGAAGTTGTACTCATTGCCAGGCGTGGCATACAGCTCTACCTGGGCTGGTAGGTTGGTGCCTGTGTTGACCTCTTTGAACATGTCCAGGGGTGCTACCTGGGTTATGCAGACGGATGGGAAAAGAACCTGATAAAGCTCCAACTAATACGACAAAAGCAGCTATGTCTGTGGTTTTATGAATTGCAATACCTGCAACTGACTTATCTATAGCCATTATCGTTTTTACAATGAAAGGGGCGTTATGGCCTAATATCCCGAATATTTTATGTTTTGGATGTTTACTTATCCTATTTCAAAGGTCTGGTTGAAAGGAAACTAACCCAATGTCTTACCGTTCCCAAGAAAAGACAAACCTTTTGTGGCATACATGTACGCATACGTATTGCCAGCCATGTCCATTCAATGTATGGTACTCATTGTGTGTGTGACACATAATACACACAGCATCAATACACAAATTGTCACATCAGTGCAACAAGTTCGTAACTCAATTCTGCAACAAAGTCGTATCTCACACGAATACGCTCAGTGCAACAAGGTCGTATCAAGACGTCCATTGACTTTGTGTGTACATCTGGGTTATTTTAAGTGAGATACGACCCCTTGACATTCTGAAACTCGCGTTTCACGTTCGGCCCATTTTAGGAGATACAACCTTGTTGCACGGACATAACGAAATGTTGTTTCTTGCACGTCACAAAATGTGATGCACTGGTGGAACATGTGCAGCAGGATTCACAAGCTTGATTTGAGAGTCAAAATTTGGAGCCCCAAAATTCGTTCTCACAATAACACAAAAACGCCCAGTTTTTAAAGGATGGTTGTGTGGATGTTTAAATCCTACTTGTAAACGTTTTTTTCCAATTAACATTTTTTTTTCATTTAAAACGCCTCTTGTAGCCCAATTGGATGCATTGGTTACACTGCAACTTGCTGATTTTCACTTTGGGATAAAATAACTGTCAAATATATGCAAATGCTGAAATACTGTACCTGTGAGTAGCGTAAGTTTGTCTGTGTGTATGCATTGTAGATGCCCCGTGATAAGTGCTCTTCATCTTTCTCATCTGTCCACACGTTCTGTCCCCTCTTGCCTGCAAATGCACAGATTAATGCACAATAAAAGCCCTCCAAAACAGCACTGTTGCAAGAAGTGCATGGACACCAGTGCTAAACCTACTGTTTTAAAGGCAAGTCCATCATTTGCAGCTATCCAAAAAGTAACTCACGTAATTATTGTTGAAAAGCATACTTGGTTGAAAGATAGTAATGGGACTAAACTCCTTGTAAAATTATTCTTTCTGGCAAGCTGTCATTTTAAAGAAATCAATGACAGAAGGCCTTTCCATCGGTGCGTCTAAAGACGCACCCCGGCGCAAAAATTCCATATTCCATAAAGACGCACTGTTGGAAATGTCCATAATAGTTCGTTTTTAATTCGGCAAAGTGCGCAAGCGTTGACAGACACGCGTGCGCGGTTGCTTTAATTCGTCGGTTCAGTGCACCACATCACGAAGCTGCAATCAGCTCAGTGAGAACGTGTCTCAGACGCTGAATTCAGGCCCAATTAAAAACATGACTCGGCAACTTTTGATTTGAATTTGAGATCCTAGAATATTGTTTTCTAGGAATATACAGCACCCTTCTTTAAATTTTGAGTTCTTTTGTAGCTTTAAACGAACATAATTTACAAATTACAAATGATGGACGCTACCTTTAAAATACATGCACATTGTTGTGCATTATGATCTTTAAGATAGAGTTTAGTTGACTCATGGACTACAAGCATGGGGGAATTGTTATCATTGTAATGTTCTCTTTAGGGATGAACATTACATGCAAGGGCCAGTCTGCTGCATATTAAGGCCCTTTTCTCAACATAAAATTTGTAAATTGGTCAGAAATGTGTGCAGGATCCAAAACATTTCAGTAGTTTGTTTGGTTTCCTTACTCCAACCAAGCAGTGTAACTGCAATGCCTATGCCATTTGGAACTGGATTTTGGATTTACCTAAAATGATTGCAGTTCCTGTATCCTGGCAGCCTGGTAGAATCATACCAGCAGCAATGTTGGCATTCTTGAGGAGTTCCAGAGCTACAAATTTGTCATTACTCGATGCCTCAGGATCATCCAGGATACTACTCAATTGCTGGCGGAAATTTAAAAAAACATACAAATCAAATTTTATCTGAAAGATGGGTTAAACCATTTTTTTATATTTGCTAACTGGCTTAAGCAAGGCTCTTTAACTCTACCACCCGTATCCCCATTCTCCCTCAAATGCCCCCTCCCAGTCCCAACTTCCCCCTCCCTTTGGCATTTTTTTAATAATCTGCAAAACTCCAAACCATTGCAGTCACCCAAAGGCAAATCTTTGCACTGCTATCAGGCTGTAAAGTCCTAAATACATCTAGCTGGTATTGGTCCAAGACGGAATTTGAATTTTTATTCCTGTATTTTGCAGCCAGTTCCGTGACAAACGCAGTTAAGTTGCCGCGGCGGTGGAGGTCTCTATCAAGAAGATATGAATCAAATCCAGTCTCGACAATATTGACAGCGCTACCCAGGAATTTTGAGCATGAGCGTGAGGTGCATGTATGATCGGAATTTCCTGGGTTGTGCTGCCAACGTTGCCAAGTCTGCTTGCCACAGACCGGCTGTATAAGGGAAAGAATCCAAATCCAGTTTTGGACCAAGACAACTGATTAGGGAACTTCTCAAAAGTCGGAATGCCAGGTGATCCCGCGTGGGAGGACCATGCGCATGCACGCTTACTCTGGAACGGCCTGTTCCAGTTGGGAACACGCTGGAAACGCGAATGCTCCGACTTTTGAGACACTCCCTTACTGCAAAACAATGATTCAGTGGAGAGTTACTGTTCCAACCTGTAGATGTTTGGGTCTGAGCAAGTGTGCAATGTCCACCATTGCTTGTGATGATAACGCCGTCAATGCTTCCGGTGCAACTTGGAGAATCTTTCTGCCCTGAATTTCAAATGTTGACACAAAGTCCCCTGATAAAGTAACAAAGAAATGTGAAATACAGCTAATACTCATCTTGTACAAACTCTGTGTCATATAATTTCAAACTATTTTTTTTAATATTCAAGATGACAAACTCTTGATTATGTAAATTACACTTCAAATTCAGACTTATTACCAGTCAACCGTTTGTAGGGTACATCAAGTTGTGTATCAGGCTTCATGATGTCCTGATAGTGAAATGCCTTGACAGCTGGTGCTGCCTTGGCTGCAGTGGCTTTGCCTCGATGCAGCGACGAATCCAGCAGGCATCGCTGGCACAACAGCAAACCTCGGCGTACTGACTGCGTCAACATGGTTCAAAGATTACACTGATCTATAGCAGAAATGAATGGAAAACAATATAAGATACATATTAATCATGTAGCACACAATACTCACATCTTTATTTCATCATGGCAAACACAAAACTACATGTACATGTAAACGTGAAACCACTCAGTGTCCCTGCTATAGACTGCGTGAACAAGTACCCCTCTGAGAATGTGACAAAGTTATAGGAAGGCAAACTCTTCAATGCTATTGCTGCCATACACATGGTTTCCACATAAACAATGCCAATGTCTTGAAATTAGTCCCACAATAATTCAAGCAAACCACTGCCAAAGCAAAGAAAGACTGTTAAGTTAAAAGAGTTCAGTCAGTATGGTTCAGTATAAACTGGTGAGCTATCATTATCAATCATCAAACATGACTTGTCAGTTGTAGTCAAAGCGAGCGTCTGTCTCTTCGCCCAATTTCCAGTTTGCCCACGTCACTTTGCCCATTTGCCACTTTGGGCCATCGCCACATCACCACTAATTTGCTCCATTTCAATTCGCCCGATTGCCACTTAGCCCAAGAATTTTATGAAGCTTCGTAATACTGTAGGCCCTAGATTTTAGGCCTACGTTTTGAAAGCAGGTGATATTGGGCCTACGACCGGGTGATTCGAGATTGCGTTTTTATTAGACTCCATGCATGACTGCAGTCACTACACAAAATCACACTGCTACAGTGACGCTCAATAAGGCAGGCCTACAAAATGTAACGTTTAACAACTTTTTCTGTTTTAGTAACGTTAGGCCTAAAATCAGACTGGGATCTGGAGTGCTCTGAAACGTACAAATTTGAAACAAGCCAATTACTCACTAGCCTTGGTCAAGGCGCTAGTTGTTATTCATCCGGCCGTAACGCGGTAAACGATATCTTCGCTAGCGCTATGCATGCAGTGCATTAAAAATACAGCGCGAACAGCGACCTCACGCGGCCACTATTTTTATGCAAATCAGTTGGACCCAATCTAGCGCCTTGGTTCAATCGTCCATGTGAGGTTTTGGGGGTGGTGCTCATTATGTTAATAGCCTTAGCTGACCTTAAATGTCGTTTTCTTATTTGTTTCTTTATGATTTCAGTACCTTGTTTTGGGACTCTCATACACAATATTTACAGTCCCAAATTTTCGGACCAGCCCGAAATATACTTTCAAAAGCTTTTTTTGTTTTCCTAAAAAACTAAAGTTTTAACTTTCAGTCTGCTAATTGACTTTCCACTAGCTGCATTTGATAGATATTCATTGCCTATGGGCCAAATAATTTTATTAAAACTCAACAAACATGACAAACATTAACACTGCAAAAAAGTGCAATATAGTGCAAACATGGCAAAGCACTTTCAGACACGTCACACATCGTCAGATCAAACGTTCAGCACCATAGTTCTAGGAGTAAACGACAGGAAAAACATATTCATACTCCGTCGTGTCCGATGTAAACAACCAGGCTTTTTTTTCGTCTTTTCTCGGGAACGGTAACACATTAGGTTGGTTCCCTTTCAACCAGATGTTTGAAATAGGATAAGTAAACAATCCAAAACATGACATTTTCGGGGATTTCAGGACCTACACAATGTAGTGGCCAGTGCAGTGGCAGTGCCCCTTTAAATGGAAATGGGGCGAAGTGGTTTGGGGCATACTGACCGACCCCTTCTGCATGTTCTGACAATGTGACATGGGGCAAACCGCAAAGTGACTGTAAAACCTCCAAACCGCATGAAATTTCCACAGTTTGTCAAAGTTCAAAGTCAAACACAAAATGTTTATGCTTCCTAGAATTTAACTGCGAAAGATTTTCGTTGAGTGTGAACCTTCTAATGATAAATTATCCTATTATTACTTTTTTCGTCAACTTACATTCAAAATCCTTTACTGTGCTGGCACAGCTGCTGGCACCCTAGCATGCAGGAGTCACGTACGCCTACTTATATACTGTCCATTTTTAGTCTGATCCCCTCCATTATAACCGTTATTTTACGACAACAGAGGTTGGGAGTAAGACACGAGTTTTTAAAGGCCGGAAATTATATGTAAAACTTGACCAATCAGAAAGAGCTTTACGCGGAATGATTAAAAGCTGTCCAATCAAATTAGACGTAAGTAATTGCAGACTCTGTGGCGCAATATTTCAACTCTTGGTGCGCACAAGCGCAGCTACTGTCGTAAAATATCGACTGTTTTGAAGAAAACTTTCAAGACAAAATCATCTTTTGCAAGACTGACACAAACATGAAATTGCTTTTTGTAATTGGGATCCTTCCTGTGCTGTGTTTGGGAGTTGATGGGTCGTTTATTTCATGGATTTTTGGCGGAGAGAGTTCGCCTCGACCCGAGATCTCGGATGAGCAGACGACTTCGGACCCTTCGGCGGGTTCTTCTGCGGCAAGTTCCCGTCGGGCGCCTTTTGAAATGAAGTCGGCAGAGCACAGATTTTTGAAGGCGGGCGAAGACTATATGGCTGGATTGTCTGAACTGGATACGTGTCATCATAGGGTAGGTGTGGTAATCCTTACTTTTAGGACCCCTTTCCTATATAAGGTTAAAAGACTCACCAAAACAGCTGACTATGACACTCAAAAGTGACATTCTGATATTTATTGACACATTTGAACATTTGGCAATGACACCTCTTGAATATCAGCAGGTTTGATTTTGTAGAAAGAGGGCAGGGTTTTGATTTATGAGGGGTTAAAGACGACGATGACAAACAGAAAATAAATTTAAAAAGCAAGATGGCGAACTGCAAAAAAAGGTAGGAAAGTCACATTTTCTTTGAAAGTGCTTTCAAAATTATAACTAACATGAGTTTGTCTGAAGAAAAAAGACTTCTTTAGCCTGCAAAAGTCACTTTGGTACTGGACAGTCATCTGCAAAAGTCAGTTTTGAACAGAACTCGTACAAAATAGAGGTGTCCTAAAAGTAAGGATTACCGTAGGTGTCATCATCACCAAGAGAGTTCTAGCGCCCCAGTTTACTGGGGCTAGTATTTTATGTCATTTTTTGGGGGAAAGAATGTTGCACCCTGACGCCAATTCAGCAGTTGTGTACACAGTCAATGGAGAGTCAAGAAAATTTTCGAAGTATTTCCTAAAATTGGAAATGTTTCTCAGTCACTGACTCACTGTTAATTCAATATTTTTTTCTAGCTTTTAAGTCATCACCCAAGCTTGGTCGCACCAAGGAAGAAATAGTAGTATAAACAACATGAACATGTTGCATATTAAAATTAATTTCAAGGTTTTTGTGTGCATGCATTCATGGCATTTGCTTCAACTAGTTCAATTTTTACCATAATTGGTATGAAGGAAACACCACTTAACTGGTTTACTCAAGTTAATATAACATTTTTTTCATACGTGTAGTTTGTCTTTTTTTCCCTAGGTGATTGCCGACTTGGAGACATCTTGCAATGACATTACAGAGGAGGAATTAGGCAAATTGGGCGTGGCACTTCTGAACTGTCAGTCACAATCTGAAGGGCGCCCAACATTCACTTGCACCAAGGATATGGTAAAGGGGATAAAGGGAAAGACAGATATAGGCACAAACAAGTGTGTATGCTTGTATCTTGATGTGCCGGTACTCAATTTGTGTGAATGATTACATAAACATTTGAACTCTAGATCTCCCTTTCAAATTTCAAACTGTTCACAATATCATAAATTATTATTTATATCAGGCTTCCAGCAGTAAAAATAAATCAGCGTATTGTATGCTTTTGTACAACATACCCAGACGACAGCAAGACAAGAACATGAAGAAGGAACAGATGACAGCAAGGGATAAAAGAATATAATGCACTCGCCATGACAAAATTACACTCGTCTTCGACTCATGCAATATATTGCAATAGCTCGTGCAATGTATTCTTGTATCCACCTCAAAGCCATCCAATATTATACAATTATATTTCCCATCACTGGACACCCATCTACAGTGTACATGTACTTAGCTTTATACCAATGAAGATGCAGTCCCCTAAACTTATCTAGCCACCCAAAAAAATGAGTATTTGAGAACATTTACAAGTTTTGAAATTGCCAACTTTTCCTTGGTTTCAAATCGTGCTTTTTTATCAATGTGAATATGAGGCCCTTAATTGTGTACACGTTCGTTTTTACTGCTATTTTTCTTGTTTGGGTCAATTTGAGTAAATCCTTGTCTTGCAATCTTGCACAGCATGTAGACATGTAGACTGGCTCTGTCAAACTTTACCAAATGACTTGCTTGACATGTTTGAAATACTAAGCCCACTCAGAGACTGTTTATTACATGTCTTTTCAAAGACTTTGGCAGAATGCACCAGAGGTATGGATGCCACAACGTGGAACACGTATCACATCATCAGTGACCGTTCCCGCTCTGTGTGCTACGGTGTACGACAGCAACAGTTCCAGCGCCAGACGCGGTACGCTGTCAACCAGCTTGCTGCCACTGCAGCCGATCAATTGAATGTTATGGAAAACCTAATGGTAAGGTTTAGCCATTGTGATAGTGTAGTCAGTGCTAGTAGAATTACCGGCATTGTGCATGAGTTTAATTTATAGCAGTGCATGTTTTATGAAGTATTTAATAAAGCATGCGTGGTGATTGCTTTTACCTAGATTGTCATGAATCAATGACAGGACAAATAAAAATCTGCATGTAGTTTCATCTGCAATTTGGTGTAAGTATGCAGTTTAAAGAGTTCATGCATCGTCAACATTGTCAATTGTTTGTGCTAACCTTACTGACCAACATTGCTTGGTGCTTCAATTTCAACTTTAAACTACATGTACATTGTAAATTCAACAGTTGAAAATGTTTGCAGCTACTGACCTGAAAGAATTCCTTGTGTATGCCTTAATCTGAAAAGCTCTCCTTTCTGGCTGCAGGATGGGCAGGATGCTCTGCAGAGTGTTGCCTCAGACACATTACAGATCATGTCAGATGGACAACAAGAGATAATTCAGAAGCAAGCAGCTATGAAGGACTCGCAGGTATCCAAAGGGTTTGCCATTTACAGCATGCAGTGTTTTCCTAGACTGTGTGAGAGAAGTTCATAAACGTACTGGCTTTCTTGGGTTGCATTAGCAACCATTCCACCATGGAGTTTACTTGAGTCAGCTGATTGAAATATATTTGTACAGAAACCAGTGACTGAAAGCCTCGTAGTACTCCATGAATTCTTCATTTAACCCTATTCATAGGGTATTTTGAATAGTAGGAACACTGTTGAACCATCAACATACAACACTTATCACAGTGTTCTGAATGTGCAAGATCTATCTGGTCAGACATCTCAAGGCCAAAAACCACCTCAGAGTCTGTGGTCACCGACTGCAACATTGATTATACATCTGTGGCATTTGTTCAGTGGGACTAGCTCTTATTGTTTCAGAATTGGCCGTTTGTGCACTGGTGTTGATGGCTCAATGCCGCAAGGTCCAACAGACTTTTACACCTGATGCACTGTGTTGCACCGTATAACTCCATGCATTGTTGCACAATGTAGTAGAGTTGATATAACAGGTTAAAATGCGGTATGGGCGCTGGGGATTCCTAATACCACTGTGAAATGTCAATGAATGTAGGTTTGTTCTTTGTCAGTTTTTTGTAAAAGAGTAGAAATTTGTTAAAACTAAGTCATATGAGAAACTCTGAATCAGTGGATATATTTTGTTATGTCTCATCTCGTACCCCAGACCTAGCTGACAACAGGCCAGTTTATTTAAAGAAAAGATCAAATGAGACAACCATTTTTCGATCTTCACTGAAGTATGAACCGACTCCTACATTTCTAAATCATGAGAGATCTATTGTAACATGCCATTGTGTATGCATGCATTCCAGGGTGAACTGCAGCAAAGCATCCAGGGGAATCTGCAGGACTTGACCAGTGAGAAGGCATTGATAGCAGCAGGCCACAGAGAGCTGGCTCAAATGACAGACAACATCAGACAACAACTAGGTGATTCACGTTTAAGCTAATTGGATTAGTAAAAGTGTCAGTCTTCTCAATACAGAAACAGACTGAACACTGTATAACATTCAAACTCTACCCCTATGGGATTGTGAAATTTTTGGTTGTATTTCCACATAATTTTTGTTTCTCATGAGCCTCTATGAAACAATTTTCCATGGCATTACCTGTCGTTCATAAATACCTAACACAGTTTACCCATTCCTATTGGTCGAGAGCCCCTCAAATGGCCGGTCTTAAATGGTTGATAAAACACCGGCTGGCTGGTCTTAAACACTTTTCCAGTGTCACATGAAATTCGGACTCCTATGAAATCCAGTCCCTTTTACCCTTTTATTGGTTGAACATTCACAATCCTCGGCACATACCATAACATGTCTAGAGGGGTGTTTAAAAAAACAAGAATAAACTTGTTGAAAAAAATTGTTGGAAATTTAAAATTTTTGACTTATATTGACTGTTTGACAGAAAAAGTATTTTTCGGCGAGGGTCATTATCAGCGTCCAGACTCCAAACCGGTCTTAAACATAGTGTCTAAAACCGGCCAAGCACATATTTATTCCCTTATTGAAAAAGAGGTTTCAAAAGTGTCAAACTGGCTTGCCTTGGCTACTGAAATTTTCTTAGAGATGTTCATATTCATGTATGTAATACAGATTTTTTTTTAACCTGTTGTTTACCTGGTAGTGATCAACTAGGATTTGATGGGACAAATTTCATAAAACGGGGGGAAAAAATAATTTGTCCTAAATTTGTCTAAAAAGTATGTTTTTTTCCTTCTTGTTCATTTCAGATAATGCTACCAAACAGTTACTGAACCAGGATCAGGATATAAGACAAAACCACAAAGAGCTACAGAAAGACCTGACAAGCATCCATCGGAAAGCTAAAGAAGCATTTGATAAATTAGGTTAGATCACAAGGCAATAAGGACATTGGTCTTAGACTAATCAGAGTCAATGGTTAAGAAGAATCATAAAAGTCGGCCAAATCCTGACATGCATGCTGAGGAACCCAACAAATTCTAGGATTTCATGTTTGGCATTTGTATTGTTGGAAAATGTTTGTTAAAGCTATCTTAATTAAGACATTATTGCTGTTGTTTATTCAACATTGTTCAGTACAGGGTGAGCAAGGTTTAAACCACTTTATGCTTTCCTGCGAGATACACATTGATGCTTTTCAACATTTTTTCGTAAAATTAATTTTAACCTCAAATTGTCCTTTTTTTTTCTTTCAGTGTAGGGACAAGCAATCAGATACATTAGAACTTGGGTGACGAATGGTGTCTTCCACAAGCACAAAAGTCTGACATTCAAATCAGTGGAGTTTGACTCTAATTCACAATACAAACTATGTTAAAAGAAATATGTGTATGTGATGAACCTTGCTGTTAATGGTCAAATAAACTGTTGATTAAAACTCTGATGTTTTGAAATGTTTCTTCCAGATGGAAACATGCAGCATGTGACGTTTTTCCAAGATGAAACGTTCCAGTACTACAAGGAAACCATAGATAACCTGAAGAAGATGAACGATACTATCAACTACCTGCTAAACCTGGTTAACGACATGCAAACTGGGATTGATGAACGGCTTGGCTGGTTAACCTCCCTTGTGGGTGGTTTAGGTGAGTGTTAATTGAAGCCAGATTGCAACTCACTTCTGTTGTAATTATGACTTCAAATCAGCAGATTGTAGAAGTGTATTACAGTATGTACATAGGATCGTAAGATTTACTTCTGTACATATGGACTATAATCTGGCATTCATAAATACCTCAGACAGTTTAGCCATTCCTATTGGTCGAGAGCCTGTCACGTGGCCGGTCTTAAACGGATGATAAAGACATGGCTAGCTGGTCTTAAACACTTTTCCAGTGTCACATAAAATGTGGACTCCTAAAAATCCAGTGCCTCTTACCGTTTCATTGGTTGAACGTTCACAATCCTCACGTAGGCATGCGCAACACTACCAGCGAGTCAGAATTTTATAGTTCTAAATTCAAAACGCAACGCACCAGGTGCGTTCTGCGCAACATCGCACAGAACGTGCTACGCGCGCGTCAATCTCCATAAAGGGTTGTTTACATCCTACTCGCCAGCTGAACACTCCATTATTTTGCCAGAAGGATGTTTCAAAAAGCTGGAGTGAACTTGTTGATCAAAATCGGGATTTTTTTGAACGAATTCCTTGATTTTTTGTACCGGAAAGGTATTTATGAATGGGAATAAATATGTGCGCGGTCGGTATTTATCACTCTGTTTAAGACTGCTTAGAGTCTGGGTGCTGATAATTACCCTCGCCTCCGGCTCGGGTAATTATCAGCACCCAGACTCTAAGCAGTCTTAAACAGAGTGATTAAAACCTCTCGAGCACACATTTATTCCCTTAATAACAATAAGAAGTCATTACAAGGTGATAACATGCTTGCCAGCAGGTCATACATGTACATGCACAGACTCTATGCTCCTTTGACCAATGGGGCTTCCAAAATGTTCATTTGCCTTTGTTTCATGATTTAAGAAACCCGCATGGGCATGGTGGTACCCCAATAATGGGTTCTAATAGACAAATTTGAACGTAAGCAAAGGCTTCCATTCTAAATCATTGTGTTACTTTAAGGATTTTTTTTTTTTTTACCCTCCAATACAAACATACGCAGTCAAAATCAATCAAGTGACTGTTTTCAACCCGTAAGAATTCCCAGCTCAAGTAAAGCAAGATTGACTGCCTTGGCCTGCTTAAGTAACTTGATGCAGCTATGCTTTTACTCCGGGTGAGTGATAAAACAGCTGTGACCACAACTTGCCTGCTTGTCTGTTGACCCAGTTTGACTAGTCACAGTGTTTGCTTGGCATATGATCTGACTGCTGGTGACTACAATGTAGCCTTTGATAAAAGTATAGCAGAGGAAGTGGAAGTGAATTTTGACTGTCTGTGACTGCTTAAATAATAGGAGAGTTAATCCTCGCTACAAAAGAGAGCTCTGAAGATCTTGATTTCTCTATGCTAGTTTGAAATCTGTTGGACATCTGGTTGATTGATATCCTAAGATTAAACAGCATTCTAAACCCATGCATGAGTGTCACTGTTTTCTGTTCAGGTGAGAATCTGACCCTGTTGTCTACCTGTGTTACCCACTGTGCCTATTTCCTCCTGGCCTCTCTCTGTGTGACCTTCCTGCATACACCCACCTTCTCCCGCATCGTCCTGCTGCTCCTGGTCCCACTCAATGCAATCTCTGAGGTCAAGCACGGAGCCAGCCTGGACTTCTCTGGCCTGACCATCCTCATTACAGGAGTGGTTCTTGGTAAGTTTGTGGACTCCATTTTTCCTGTTCTGTTTATTGTTTTCTTTTTTATCATTCTTTTTTTTTCTTTTTAGCTGCGAGATAACAGCTCAAACAAATCATCATGTCTCTCTGTTAGTAACAAACACTGACATTGTCTACTGCTCCTGCATATTTTGACCGATTTCAACCGAACTTTGTCAAAAGTATCAGTAGCCCAGCAACATATATGTCACATGACCAAATTGGGGTCAAATGTCATCATGGGGTCACGGTCAAAAAGCTGAATTTTTTTTTGACATGAATTCGTTTGCCCGCAGCTTCTGAGATATTTCCAATCGAACGTGTTTATCAATTAAGTCATTGCATTCAAGTACAAATGTGTGTGTAATAAATTTTGTCCACTCACCATGCATACATGTACATGTAAGGTCATGTTCTTCACATTCATGTGACCCACTAACACCACCTCAACCCTGCTGAAACAGGCACTTTTTGTTTCAGTACCAAACTACATGTATATTTCAAATTAGGTTTTTGCCCTTCACCGACGTATAAACACTGTATGCTCAGTGTGTTAATTTCCTCCTGAGCAAAAGTTGGAAAAATCACTCGGGTGGGACTCGAACCCACGACCTCCTGCTTTCTAGTGCAGATGTCTAACCACTCGACCACCGAGCTAACGGGATCGGTTTTTCCAACTTCCACTTGGGAGGTAACACACTGAGTACACAGTGTTTATACGTCGGCGAAGGGCAAAAACCTAATTTGATCTACATCACCCCGACGCAAAATTCCATCTTACATGTATATTGGTAATTCAAACTGATCCAGGGTACAACTTTGTATGCAAAAAGCATTGCAGGTACATGTATGCGCGATGAGAATAATTGTGGATTTTATATATTGATTGTGTACTACAAAACTATAATGATGGCTTCAACTTGGAGGCACTTATGAATCAATCTTTAAGGATAATTAAAATGTCACATGTACACGTATTATTAACATGGTCAAGTGATTTCACACATACAAAAAACAATCAAAATCAAAAGTACTTTGAAAAATAAATGTTAACCCTTTATTACTTTCAGCCAACTGGGTTGTGCTGCTGATCTTGAAGTATCAAGGCAGTTGGAATGCAGCCCTAGGCACTAAACCACCTGCAGACTATACTCCTGCCTCTCCATGCCAATGCAAGCATGTCACTCCCAGATTTATCATGCCACCTGCAGTCAATAGATCCCTGGGGTAAGTCCCAATGCCTTCGCTAGCCGCTTGGTATATTTGTGCTTAAGCATCATTTTATATTCTTCTCAGTGTAGGAAATGAAGAGAAAATGGTTCAAACTTTGTGATGTGGCCTAGGACAAGTAAACTGTATCTCATGGACATCAACACCTTGTAGTGAATGAGTGAAGCATCAAAGTAGTCAAAATTCAATTTCTCAGGATTTAAGAATATACAGTTAGCTTCTTTTTTTTTCCAAGAACAAGGTTGCTACAAACATATCTATGACTTACTCAAGATTACAAGAACTTAGATTTACATTTCTTATACAGGGTGCCCCCCAAAAAATGTGTAGAGGGTGTACACAATTCTCATAATTTATAGGGGGAAAAATCAAATTCAATTATAGAATTGATGAGCCCAAACATTTTCTTTCTTGTGAAATTTTTTTGTTGGATTCGGTTCGGTGGTTTTGAAACAAAGGCTATTAATGTAACACCAGTCCATTTTGCTCCATTCCAAGTTTGACAATGCATACATTGAGAGCGTACACAATGTGTTTCTGTTTTCTCAGGCCCGCCCCTGCCTGAATGTCCTGAGTCACTTTGAACTGTTATAACAGGTGTTGGAGACACTCCTTTGTTATAAGTAAAGAAGATATTATATGTACATATTAGCCACAGTAAACAATGAAAAAAGTCAACAATAGTATTCCTCCTGTTTAGTTTAGTAATTTAATCAAAAAGCCAATTTAAGCTCAATGTTAAACTTTGAATGGTGCAAAATAGTACAATGTACTGTGCTACATAATTTTTATTTGCAAACCCAGTGAACCGAATCCGATGGAAATTTTACAGAAAATAGTACAATAAATATGCCTTACGATTTTGGAAGAAAAGTGGAAATAACATTGGATATTTAAAACATTCTGCTACAACCCTGAGAGGGACATTTTATTCTGGGACAACCTGTATTGTCAAACTTGGAATGGAGCAAAATGGACTGGTGTTACATTAACGGTCTTCGTTTCAAAACCACTGAACCGAATCCAACAAAAACTTCACACAAGAAAGAAACATGTTGGGGCTCATCAATTCTATAATTGAATTTGATTTTTTTTTTCTCATAAATTACGAGAATTCTGTATACCCTCCAGAGGGACTTTTTGGGGACACCTCGTACAGAACTTAAAGTTTGAGCTTAAACTGAAGTATCTAAGAAAAGTTCCCCTTGAACAATATACATACATGTATGTCTTTTTTTCACTAGAAGTCTTGGCGACTTTTCTGATGATGAGGACTACACCTTGCCCACTGACCTGTCAGCCATAACTGGGGAGCATACCTCTCATATGTTCAACAGCGGCATGCTGTCTGAGTCTAGTGCCTTCAGTAATGACACTACATTGACTGGCTCTAATGTGACAGATAATTGGTTCACTACACTCAACAATGACAAGTCAGTCGACAAAATGTAAGTTAGCAGCTATGATGTTGGCTTGAAGCTCAGCAAATCCTTCTATCTGTTTTGTATATGTATCCGTCAATAACATGAGTTTAACTTCAGCATATGTACATGCATTGATTGACTCCATTGTTTCATAGTTTCTCTTCCTGGATAGGGAATTGTTGTTTCTCGCTATGAACCAATGAACATTTATCTTAGAATCTAACAACTCAACTTAAAGCTATAGTCCATCATTTGCAGCCATCCGAAAAAGTAACTGGCGTATTATTGTTGAAAAACATACTTGGTTGAAAGATCGATTGAACGATTAGTAGTTCGTTTTGTTATTCGGCGCAGGGCGCGCAAGCATTGGCACGACGCACAGGCGCGCGCGGTTGCTATAATTCGTCGGATCAGTGCGCGACATCGCGTATAGCCATGATAGCTGCAATTCAAAACAATTCAAAACATGATTCAGCAACTTTTGATTTGAAATTGAGATCCTAGAATGCTGTTTTTCTCGGAATATACAGCTGAAGCTGAGCTGAAACTTCATCAGGTTAGTTGTTCAGTACCCTTCTTTAGATTTTGAACACTTTCGTTGCTTCAAACGAACAAAATGCACAAATGATGGACTATATCTGTAAGCTTGATCTTCTTGTTTTGTTAACCAACAGATTTGCTAACCAAGACATAACCCTCATTTTCTGTTATCATTTTTAATTCATTCAACTTTAAAATTTTGAATTGCTAACTTCTACGGATCGTTTTCAAATCCGTTTCCATATATTTCAAATAAAGAATTGTGTCAGGCATGTTTGCTGCGTTGTGAACTAGCTGCGTTTCAGGTCATGAAATACTAGAGCATACATGTATGATAATCATAAAAACCTTCCCTACTTACATTGACCTATCTGCCATACTTTGTAAATCTGCTTTTCTTATCTAAGACTATTTATTCATGTTTGTCAGGAATGACGTCAGAGGAACTCCCATGGACTCCTCCCTCAAGACCCCAATGCCTTCATCTCCATCCATCCTGGGCTTTGGTGACTTGAGACACACCAACCCAGCCAGAAGACATCTTGCTGCAGCCCTGCAAGAGCTTCCCAAGCCTGTGCCATCACCACGGAGTCAGAGAGAGGGTACACCATCCAGGTACATTGTATAAATGTCCTGTAGCTTCAGTGCACAACTACCCCCTCAACGTTGACAATGAGAGAGTTAAGCCCAGTTCATACTGTACTGCGAATGTGAATACGAAGCGAATTGACATCAGCAAGCATTCGCTGTGAAATTCGGCGGAGTTGAAATGTGTTCAAGTTTTGTGAATTCGCAGCACGAAAACTTGCCGACGTAAAAAATCTGTGTTCGCGTTCGCTTTCACGCTGAGTGTGAACCGGCTTTTAGGCAGACTCATACAAGGCTCACGCAAAAACGCTACCAGTGTTGTAGTCGAGTCCATCAACAGATCCCACAAGTCCATCAAATCACTAGCTACAAGTATTCAATTTAACTGTAACAAAGGCATTCCTTTGTCATTGTTCATCCTGTTACTTGTGTCTGGACTTGTGTCTGGACTTGTGAACAAAGGAGTTATAAAAGGACTTGTGAAAGGATTTGGGAAAAGGCTGGACTACAACACTGGATGCTACATGTTTGTGCACATTCAGAATATAATAAGTCATTCGTACTAGGTATCATAAGTACAGAGAATACCATAATATGATTCATTCAAGGAGCTCATGAGTATTCACAAATGGCCATCTTCTGTCATGAAGGGAGTTCATTAGCCTCATTCCATGGACAACTAAATTTGGCACAATGTCCAAGTGTCCACTGTAATAGCCATATCTTGGCCAACATGTTGTTTAGTCAACTTGAGGTACTCCTGCAATAATTGTCTACAGTATCTTTGTAGCCTGCATTTCATGCATGTACCTGTACTTAATATCTCTTTTGTTTGTCATTCCCAATGAATATCTGTGGGCTTATAGAAGCTACATTGGTTCAGAGGTTTTATATCAGTCTGTGATTTCATTAAATAGGGTAACAATGTATTCCTCCTTAAAGAGGTCTGTGCTCTTCGGCAAATTCATGGGTTTTTTTTTTCATACAGACAAATGTTAACCATTTATGCTTTCAATCTAAACGCAAACCCCAAAACTGCCTTATTTTGTCTCTATTTTGGGCATCTGCAACCCTCTGAAACAAGGCCTTTAAAGTTTGGGTTGCTTTCACGCAGTAAATACATTTATTACATTGTATGTTATATACGCAAATGTACAGTGTAGTGCAAGTACTAATGGGAAAGGGTTAGGCAGTGTACAACATTGGCAAGCATTAAAATTGGAGCATCCTGTGAAATTATGGCACCCGGTATATTGCCAATTTCTAAAACAGCTGGATTTTTTTATCAGTTTTCAACGATGGTTTGCAAACCAAAAAAAATGACTCTTTCAGTTCACCTCTTGGTTATAATTGGTTACACATTTGTGAAGTGATGCAAGCCAGCTAGTCAGGTTCCCTGACCTGACAATTTCCTAAATTATCTATAAATTGCTCTGTTTTGTCTGAAGTAGGTTTAGGGACCTAGACGACCAGAACAGCATTTTTTATTTCTTGGTTTTTCCATCATCCGTCAACACAAAACTTTACACAGGGTGTGGGGTTTAAAAATATTTGCTACAAAATACCAGCCCAAAAAATCCGTCTGTTTCAGAAAATTACAGCAAAACCAAATGTTTTATATAATACTTCTTTTAGTTTAAGTCATCATGAAGTGCTGTTTTTCCACACTTAGTTTGTTTGAAGTGCAGTGTAATGACCTTGAATGGTTAATTTGGTTCTTTCCTTCTCAGTTCTAGACCAAGTACCCCTGGGAGTTCCCGAGCTAGCACCCCAGGCAAGCGACTCTGTAATGGCATCACCAAATCAGGCCAGCCCTGCCGCCTGGCATGCAGCCAGGGATCAGATTATTGCTTCCGTCATGCTGACAACTGAACCATGTGAGCTTGCTTCAGAGAATTACTTATCCATGCCACGGAAAAGCTGCATTAAAAAGTTGTTTGCCTTAATTGCTTAGAAACTATTGCATATAAACAGATTATACCTGAGTTTAGAGTTTTGTATTTTGTGTATAACCCATGCATGTGTATCTTGCTTGGAAAATCAAAAACAATCATTTATTAATCTTAAAATCACAATATTATTACATCTTTACGTTACCCTTGTTTGTAAGACAAAAGAGGAGGAAAGATATTTATTAACTTTGGAGAAATCCTTGGTAAAAGTTTGTTTCCAACAGTGATTTTGAAACAAACAACTTAATATGGCACGTGAAAGGTTGACAAAATCGAATGTTTGTGAAAAGCAAAACATCTAAAATGTTTTTCTGTAAATTTCAATGACGTGTCCAGTGTTAACTTGTGTTTCTCTGAATTTACAGTTAATCTGAATTCATTTTGATCAATAAATCATTCCCCTGTCGTGTACATTTTTAAGTACTCAAATAGCCAATTCATTTTTGGATCAATAGTTCAAACTATAAATTATGTCAACAACAGAAGTTTAAAAGAACCAACCATAAAATGTACTCACCTTTTCAGAACATTGGGCTTGACATTATTTTCACCAAGTAATGCAGATTTGTGTGTTTGTCTTCCATGGGGGAAAGGTTTTGTATATAGTGCGTAGATATTTTTTAGGGTTTTGGCTTCAGAACTTTTTTGATCGGGTGAAGTTGCATTCTCTGAAAGGATATTCACCAAGTGGTTTTCCATGAATGGAATTTTAGAAAGTAACGGAATAACCCACACAATTGATTGTTTGAATGACATCCTAGTAGTAATTACTGCATGCCCATTCAATAATTTGCTTTTACGTTAATCATGCATCAGACAAAAATAATTAGTCAGAGGTACAGTCACAGCACATCACATTTATTATATATATTCAATTGTTTATTTGTAGCTGCCAGTTCGAAAAAAGGAACAAAAATGGAAATAATTTTTGCAAAGATTTTCTATGATAAAAGAAAGACACTATAATTAAAATGAAAGTGTAAGAATGTCTAAAGCGTCACTTTATAACTCACAGAATATTATGCTGTCTGATTGGCTTTAATTTCTAATTGTTGAGGCGCTAATCACATACTTTATTTCTGTTTAATCATTTTCTTCAAACTGATGCATTTCTTTTGTTAATTTTTCAAGAAACTTTAGCCCGAGTATTATAATAATTATGGGGATTTTTGCTTTAGTGCCAAGTTATGGTATGTTGTTCCGTGTACAATGCACTTAAGATGCATTCCCTGTGCTTTTTTTCGAGTTTCACCTCTAAACATAGATTAGTATTTTCAATTGCTATTTTTTGAGGAATAGAGAAGTTATTCACTTGTGAATGAGAGACATCGAATGAAAAAATCCAACATTTTTAGTTTTGAATTATCTTCCGAAAAAAACATGATTTATTGACTGCCAGATTTTTTACCTCTCACAGGGCGGGGTCATGTGAGGCTCAAAATGAAATTTCTTTTTTTTAATAGGGTCGCAGACGCTCAAAATTAGAATCAAATACATTTTTTATTAAAACAAAACATACAAATTGGAAATTTGTTCTGAGAAAAAAAATAACAATTTTGGGGAGAGCACGGGGTATACTTCTTTAAATCTGTAAATAACTTAAAGCCGTTTCTTGGTTTCATATTAAATCGTGGAATGTTAATGCAATAATCTATATCAGAGTTTGTGGTCAGTGCAAATTCCGTATGCTGTAAATAAAGACATGAAAACATTTTGAAAGCATTTCAGGTGCGATTTTGTGGGTTTTTGTTTTGAGCCTTAAAGAGTTTTAATTGTGTGTACAGGTATGGTTGTATAAAAAAAAAAACCGGAGTGAAAGAATTATGAAGAAATTTGACCCACTTCTCAAAGTATAACACATGCCTTGGACGTTGCTTGCCCCTTCATCACCTTCTGTTGTGCACCATTGTCCCCTGCACCCTTCTGCACCATTGGGTGATGGGTGCCCGAAAAGTCAAAGTGGTTTTCCCGAGTGTCCGTGTGTGGCGGACTCTTAGGCGACACCCTACCCATCCGTCCCAACCCCGATGGGCCAGCCAGGTCCTGGATACCCTTCGGTTGCCCCTCGGTCTTGGACCCGTGGCTGCTGCTGAGCGTCCCGTTCCCGGAGTCGGTGTCGGTGGAGGAAGTGCCAGCGGACGAGGCTACTGAGCGGTCGTCATCACTGGAGCCGTGAGCCTCTTGGGATGACAGGCCGCTCCCACTCACTTCGCTGCCGGAATCACTGGAAGTGTCAGAGTCCGAGTCGGAAGATGTTGCATCGTCTGAGGATGATTGTGAGTCTTCTGAGTCAGATTCTGAATACTCAGAGGAGGATCCGGAGTAGTCCGATGACGACCCAGATGATGAACTGTAGTCACTATTGCTGGAAATAAAAATTAACAATTCAACTATGATTTTCAATATAACTATCATTTTATGCAACCGTACGAGGCAATAATGTGACCGACCCCCCGGCACAAAACCAGTTACTTGGACCAATTTTTGAAAACTAGAATTTTGGGCTTAAGTGAAATGAAAGGCCATTGAATAAGTTTGATATGAGATAAGACCAAATCTGACGGAGTTGTACATGTATTCTCAGTGCCCAAGTTTTGGGCCACAGAATTTTTTTTTTTTAAATCGAGAAATTTGTCGTTAAACTTCTTCGGCAGTTCGGCTATTTACAAATTACGATGTAACTTGGCTTACATGCATAATTGAAAGTCATTTAAGTGAAATATATTCATTAATCAAACTTTTAATTAATGTCTAAATCTGAATTTCGCAAGACTTTGCTGAACAATGTATTGGCTGTATCTCCAAATGTGGCCGTGGGAGTTCCGACTGGTTTTGTGCTGGGGGTCACATACATGTATAGCCAAATGGTTTCAGGTTATCTCCAAAAAGGGATTTATATTAAGGAGGAATTTCCATAAACGCTATGGAAAAATGTTTTTCTCATTCTGTTCCACCTTCAGGTGTTTGGGCATTCGGTTTCCTCAAAGTTTAGTGTGAAAACTTGCTGTCTGTGACCATAGTGACTTGCCCCTTGAAGCTTGAAGTATACGGACTGTCATAAATTATACAAGGACGTTGCATCTAAAGTTCAATTTTTAAGTCTCTGACAACTCTGTTTACTGTGACAAATTTCCGCCATATATGAAAACATTCCTTGTGTTTTAATTCCCTCACGACCAGATTCACAAGGAGATTCTTTTTAGATCTAACATTAAAACTGAATCCACGTAAGAACTATTTCAATCTTTCAGATTTCTTTAATCCTCCCAGGTACCATGTGGAGGATTAGAACAAATCACGGCCCGCTAACATGGCAACCAAGGATCAGTGTTAACTTGGTGTCAGAACAAACCACTAGAAAGCTAAAGATAGATAGATAGAGGGACCCTTTGAAGATTTGAAAGAAGATTCCACATAAGTGTTTGCATGCCTCGTGTGAAGATGTTCTCATAACGCTAGAGGGTGATATAATGCCCGTTGAGAAAACAAATTTTCTAGGCTTCATTCGTGGCCTTCGCATTAATCCAAAAGAATAGTATCGTAGGCTGGTTCTGATTTCATTGAGTTTTTATGAAGCGGTTCAGATTTTCTGGGCACGAAAGTTTTGTTCAACGGCCCAGGTTCCAGGCAAATTTTGCATGTATAATAGGCCTATACGATGCTAATCTCTTTGTTGGCTTGAACAATCGATTTCCAAAGCCGTGTTTTAGTTGTAGGACCCTAGAAAAGGATAACCTTGTATTGGCTTCGATATGGCAATGATGTCGCGAAAAGCGAGTGAGCGATGAAACAGGGTGCTTGTAAAGAGGACAATACATGAACACGTAAAGATGTAAAATGAAAACTTGTTCAGGAATTCTCGTATAAGATGTTTTGGTGACGTTCTCAGATGCAAAATCCCGGTATAAAATTGAACCTATTCTGTTCACATACTATGTATTGGGAAAGTACGTCCTTGCAACAACCAAAACATTGTTGTGGTTTGTTTACCGTGAAGGAATTCATATAATATTATTTTGCGCAAATTGTTGGATTTGGGAAAACAGCAGAAAAATCATCAACGTTTTTTTTATGCGCTTACATTTATATGTAATCTCACGAATATGAACCGGGTGGGAAGTTTATTTCACATATGCCTCGACTTGCGGTTGCCTCAGTGTTTTTAAAATGATTGTCAGTATTTAACTCCGCAGCTTAAGTATTTCCATTTCTCTTTAGTTACATTTGTATTTCTACTCGTATGTTAAGCCTTGTACAAACCTGCTGTAAGAATCCGAATCCTGACTTCCCAGTCGACTTCGGCCACCGGTCATACTACTCATGGACGCCGCACTGATTGGCGATCCTCCTGCACTGCTCCTCCGACGCCCGCTGGCCAAACTCCCCCGCCGGCTCTCTGACGGCCTTGCGGCGTCTTCAACCACGGAGAACTGTACTCTTGAGTTCAATCGCTTCACCAGTTGTTTCTCTTTGATCAGGGTCATCTGCTGGTGCATGTCTTGTATCGAGGTGCTGATGGATAATCGCCTTAAATGAGCGTCCAAGGATGCAGTACTATTACCCCTGGCGCGGCTTGACCCAGAGCCTACGGATTGCCTTGGAGATGATCCCCTTAATGAGGATCTTCGCGAGCCGTAGCCTCCTGTCGAGCCATCTTGAAAGTTTCTTCCTTGAGCCTTTTGAAGTTTTGCCAAGGCTTTCTGGTTCTTGAGTAATGTGATGGCATGGTGCATCTCGTGAATGGAGGCAAGGGAAGCTCTCCTAAGCGTAGCTTCGTAGCTCAGACCGTCCCTATCTGCCATGGATCCTTCGAACACATCTCTCGACTTCTCCCCCATGTCCGGAGGAGGGTAGGACTGGTAGGCCGGACCCGATGCCTGATGATACCTCCGAGATGTCGACTGGGGTGGGAAGGACCTCCGCCCAGACATCGAAGTGTTTCCATCAGCCGATGCCCGGCGAATGTGTCCCACATACCCGTCCGCGCTATTCCGCCGCCATGGCTTGGGAGTTTTCCGTATTACCACTGCGTCTGATACAGTGGACAGTCGCCTCGGGTTGAAATCCATTAGAGACGAGACAGTCGAGTCGCTTCTTTGCAGACTGACAATGGAAACTCTACGTCTGGGAGGCTCGTCGTAAGACGATTTCCCCACAAGCGAAGATGAGGATGATCGCCGATTATATAAAGCCGGTGGTGTTTCAGAAGCTGATGAGAAAGATACCCGTCTTCCAGCCGTTGGAGGATAACTCTGCCTGACTTCTCCCCGGAAGTCATCGCAGACTGCATCCTCCGCGATGGTTGCGAACTCCGAGGCAACCGACACCCGGGATATGCTGGAGTCACTCCGCTTCATCGGGCGAGGACGCGGTGGTAGGGGCGCGGGTGATTGAGACCGAATGGCAGGCATCGTCTCCTTCCTTGTCACGGTGATACTTTTCCGGCGTTTTCCTCGCTTGTAGCGCACGGGTGCCTCCATGTTCTTATCCTTGGCCCTGTAGCGATCCATGTCACCACTGAATACAGCTGCAATACCGCCATAAGCATCCACGTAGACGGGTCCCGAATTTCTCCTTGCGTTCATAGTGTGAAAAATCACTTCAATTTTATATCTTATATCTCATCACAGTTGTCAAAAACTATTACCACTACATTTTCTGATCCGTTCAATCTTGACATTTAATAATTGTCAGTCCGAGGTTACTTCTATCATCAGTTTATGGCATGCATGAACGAATTAGAAATACATGTACCGCTCTCATACCGTGGCTTGTCCGTCGTGAGGGTGTATTTGCCCCCGTTGTTAGGGAGCAACAGGACCGGTCGATACTTGAAGCCCCATGACTGCAGTGCCAAACACATACAGTGAGGCAAGTAGACTCGCTAATCCCCCAAGTATTGGCGGCCTTTTGTTGTAGGGGGGCGTCTTGTGGAGAGTGTTGGCAATCAACATGGTATAGCCAACAGTTGTGTATTTAATCACGGTGACTTGTTTGGCTTAACCCATCCTTTGTAGGTAAATAGCCATCTAGTTAAAGTACTTATGACGGTTACAGGCGTAAGGTTTATAAGGTTTTAACAAAAACCGCTTTGTAATTAAGCAAATCATTCTTGCGCCTTTAAAGCCTGATCATACTTCATGCGAATGCGATGCGAATTTGACGTCACGAAGCATTTCCTGCGAAATTGCCGGAGTTGAAATGTGTTCAACTTTTGCAAATTCGCAGCGCGAAAACTCCCGCTGTTCACAAACTCGCGTTTGCTTTTGTACTGAGCATGAACCGTCCTCTAATGTGCTCAGTCACATGTTGAATATTATCTGGTCCTAATTTCTGAACTTATCCATTTGTTTGAGTGATGGTCTGATAAAGTTTTTTACATTAGAATTCAAGTTTTCAAAAGCAATGGAAAAAAATATGTTATTGCGGTAGAGCGATCCACTCTTTTTAATAGTACTTATATTAAACTAATTATATACTTAGGATGTTAAGCAAATTTAACACTATAAACTAAACTATCCATGCATTAACCAATTCTGTCCGAAGGTTCGTCAACCACAAAAAGGACACCGTACATTTAAAAAGTGCACTACATTTTATATTCTGAGATATCTGTAGGCCTACTTACTTTAATTTTTAATGAAAATCAAAGGCTTGATATTTGGTTCTTGTCGCACCACATTGAACGAAACAAAATATACGAATGGTTAACGTAACTGACATAGTGAGTCAAAAAGACTGGTCACAGTACTGTAAAATCAGTTTTACCACACAATGTGGTAACGGTGGCATGCATTTAGCCGATCCCTAGAGTTCCTTGTTCTATGGTCGATCTAGGGACAGCCAGTGAGGGAAGTGATTCAGCCTTGAATGTAAACTCAGTGTGCCTAGGGTTTCTTGTGACAATCGGCCAGACGCAACTAATCCACCTTGACTGAAAGTGAGCTTTATAAACTTAGCGTGAACTTTTATTTACCGCACAGTTTATAAGGTTGATACATTGAACTGTTTAAAAATGTATTTATACATGAAATAAATCCATCAGTAGCTTATCTTAAAGGTAAATGGATATCATTTGCAAACATTTTAAATGAAACTGTCAAAAAATCACGAACTATCCTAATTGATTGTAAGTAAATACAATGTAGGATCGAGCATCCTGTGAACATCACCGTGTCTATTACGCTCTGTCATTTGCCAGAATTGATCATCATTTCCTCATGATGCAGGTTAGTACTATTTCGCTTACAACGGAAACCCATATTTTGCGTTGAGAAAAGAAATGAAGATGTATTTAAGTTTTCTCAAAAAGTATATCTACTAAATTGACATTTTGACAGGTTGGTTTTTAATAACCTGCTTCATTATCTATGTTTTGTTGTTCCTTGAATTGCCAAAAACACTTTCTTTTTGCATATGGTGTGCATTTCCTTTATCCTAAAGCGACTGATGTTAAAATGAAATATAAGTATGAACCTCGCCATTTGAAACTAGAAAAGGGTACAGTTTGACGGTAGAGAGATGCGTGGCTATAGTGATGCCATCAGTGAAATGTGAAAAGATCATTCATTGTTCTGCCCAGGCGTTGAGGTTCATCTTCGGAATCCTCGTTTCGTCCAGACAGCTGGCCCATCGGTTGGAGAATCCCTTTAGTCGACCGTTTCGATTGGGATAGCGATAATACTTGCTGTATTCAACGAAAGATTCGTGTTCATACTCACTCCTGTAGATTAATAAACAGAGTAGAGGGTAAAAATAAATAAAAACACGAGAAATTACTGCCACTTTAATGGGTGAAATATCCCCACACAGACCACATTATACCATTATGTTTATGTTAAGGAATGGATGCCACGAGGTTGTAAAACCATCTTTCAACCAAGAAATAAAAAAACAGCGCATGCCATGTTTTGCTGTCACTTTATTCTGACGCATAGGCGGATCAAGTATTTTCGAAATGAGATGTTGCGGAGCTCGGACCCAACTTGTTGCGGGTTGATGAGGCTCAATTAATTTGGTGCCCTTCGCTACGAGGACACACAAGCCCTAAAACAAACAGGAAAACATAGCTCGACAAAGGAGGGGGTTCCTAGGACCTTACTGTGACTTCCTGTAAACTTGCACTGTTAGTGATTGGAGTACAGAACGGCTGGCCCCTATAATTGAGCTTGCTGTCTTGCATACCAAGTTTAATTGTGTTTTCTACACAAAACAATCGTCATGTTAAAAAAAATAATAAACAGCATTGCCGGTAACAAATTTCACTGAGGAAAATTTAAGTCAGTGTGGCTTTGGTATTTATCGTTTTTAAATGGAATTTAAATTGTAAGTCAATGGTTAACCTTTGTGCAGCCCAATAGCCTCCAGGCCTTGACCCGCTTCCCGCAACCCTGCATCGGGTTCTTATTCCTTTTCTTCTGGCCAACCATCCCCTGAAACGACACCTAGGACCCCACAAGGCGATTAGTTGCCACAAATTCCAAAATTTAAAAATCGTGAAAACCATTGCACCATATGGATTTCTGAATAAGTATACAGTGACGTAAGTGGATTTAAAACCGTTTCGGGTGCTTGGTGGCAGTACTCATATTATCTCCATCTTATGTTATGGATGTCAATGACTTCAAAAGGTTTGACGGCCTGGGGAAAATCATGAAGGTTTGTAATCTTATGGCCATGTAAGCTAGATGTTCGTTACGGTGCCACATACTGATTTCGTGGGATAACCTGCAAATACCATAATGTGACATGGTTTATCTCTTTACCTTCTGTACACACGCAAGGATTCTGCCATAAGGAATGCGTAGGGTTGAATCTGCAGCATATCGTCTGTGTTGTCACATAACACACGGGCCATGCTGGCCTGCTGGATTTCCTCTAGCTGGTCTAAAATTAAAAAAAAACCGGAAAATCACAAATTTAAGATCGCGACTTGGATTAATATTTTAAAAGAAAACGTATAGTTTCTTGCAAATTTACGTCAGGACGGTTAGGAAAACTGATCCGCTTAACTCGGGCAACATTCCTTGTTCATGTGCACACATGCGGGTTCAAATCTACATTCGAATTCTACAGCAGCATACTGCCGTATATTCTTTATCTGGGTAAATAGGCAAGTCGGTACAAAGTATTTGCCTCAAAGTGAAATGCATTTCAAGAAGATTGCCGATAATCATATTTGGATTTGAAAAAGAGATTATCGCTAATTCTTCTGTGATCTTCACTGAGGTTGTTCAAAATTAAAAGTGGTATCATAATCTTGTATACCGGATATTTATGAAACAAATGTTGACGACATAAGCTTGTGAACTGAATGACATCACGCCAGATAAATGCAATCCTTGACCAACTCCAAACGAGGGGCTGTAGTTTTCAGCTATGACGGTTGACATTAGGCCTATAGGCTGTGGCTTGAATTATTTGACTATGGCCGGTAATGTGTATATGTGGAAGCGGTTAAACTACATGTAACGCGTGTGTTAATGCCGTTCGTAGCCGAGTATATTTATTCAGATGCTGTACATTCGAATGGTCCCCAAACAATCCCCATTCAGTAAAAACTCCAACACCAGGGTTTGTTGGAATCTGTTAGAGTATACTGCACTAGTAAAATGATTACGCTTTTACATGGGGTTATATTAGGTATACCACCAACAATCAGAGTCCAACAGGCTTTGTGTACTGTTGACCATATACTGGGTGTTGGCAGCGTGAGGAAGGATCTGAAATCACTCTAGGGGGTCAGGGTTGGACTTACCGTGGGTAAATGCTTGCTGGCCTTCGGTGTTCTCATACCAGAAGCGGTCCCCTTGTTTGAGGTAGCTAAACTGTTTGCCAAGGAGGCAGGCGAGAGTTGGCCCTACCAGTGCGCCAGGACAGGGCAACTCGGCAAAGAAGCCCACGAAAGGGTCGATATCATCGACGGAACTAATAGAAGAGGGAAAATACACAAGCACAAGTAAAGTACAGGGACTTTATTTTTGTAAAAATTGAGAATCAGAGGATTCAAATGTGATATCTGTTTTCAAAATGTTTGCACATAATTTCTTGCGTACGCCTATGACCTCAATAAAAAAATTCAGGATACACCATGTTCCGCGAAACAATGATATTAAAATGTAGGCAACCATGTGTCGTGAATCTCAGATCATTGCTTATGACCTCTGTCATGGTCTCTGTGTGTCTCAGCCACACCGCCCTGACTTGAAAATCAAAGAGCGTGAATAACGCCTGTTGTTTTACGATTTTGTGCTGCAGGTCGATCGGCATTTACACCTATAATTCACCTGTAAATGTCTCTCAGACGTCTGGCAATCCCCGGCGGCAGGACACCCTCCAGCTCCTCCCAAGCAGTAATCAAACTCAATCCACACACCTCAGCTCTGAATCGAACGTACCCCGGAAGTCCGTGATCCCGACCTCTTTGAATGTTCAATGCGACGAGATCCAGACCAAAGCTTCAAAGAAAAGTGTGAAACGACTGACTTTTACATGAAACCATGGATAAAACTGCATGGGCGGTTAGTTTAATAATGTAGCTTTACAGTAGCAGTTGAAAGGACTTAATATCCTCTGCAAAAGTTAAATGGCTTACCCTTGTTTTGGATCTTCAAAGAGGTGTTTTCTCACTGCGGAAGAAAAGAAGTGATCCACTTTATTCAGAGGTTGAACGAGCATCCCCCTCAGAATGGAGTCCGGCCCGCCGCCTTGTGCGTCGTAGATATGGGTTGCATTGAAGAAGGTTTCTTTTAACTGGAGGTCACTAAATACACGCTCAAAATTTTGGTCCACCCGCCAGATGGTGGTCGGTATTTGGCTGTGCCCGAGCCGAAGCGCAGCCGTGGCGAATCCGTTGCGGATGGTAGCATCCACGTCGCCGTTATACTCGTACTCGGGTCTCGTCTCAAGATTCACATCCAGCCGGTGCTGCCTTGCGAACCGTCTACCTAGCAGAAGCGGTAGGTACTCGTTGTAGACAATATGCTGCCATTCGGCGCCGACGATCTTCCGAGCCTCACTGAAGATCGTCTGCCCGTCCCAGTGGGGGTTGATGCGAGAGAGTTGCCTGGCGATGCGGTTGTGCTCCCGTAGCCAAACAGTGTGCAGCGAAGTAAGTCCAACCGTCTCGGCTGCTCGTGAGTCGCCGGCCTTCCCACAGGAGATGGGACCGTCTTGGCCGGCGCAGTTTGGAATGTCATTGTCCGGTGGAAGCAAGTCCATCTTCGAAGAGGAGGGGTTTGGTGTCACGCGCATCAAACCCTGTGGATCTTTAAATGTAAAACCAAACTGCTTTAGAATTCAGCGCTATAATTAAGCTGGCCTTAAAAGTAAAAAAAAAAAAAAAATCATGTAAAAGCTGATCACCCCTTCTTATCAAAATTGGATGTAATGGGTGCTTCACTATATAATCGACCATGGTCAACAAACAAATACATCTTCACACTACTCAGGCATAAGCTTACAAGTGACGTAGTGACTAGAACGCTTACCTGCTCATTGTTTTATTAATTGTATCTTTAAAAAAAATACACGGGAATGCCTAACACACCCGACCTACAAATATAAATCATGCAGCTGACACCGAAACATAGAAAGAATACTATTATTGGGTATTTTTCTGACCTCCGGGTATCCTTAGTGAACTCATAGTCGCGCTGCTAGATCCGTACACAAACGAAGCATCCAGGTACGACGCGAGCCTATTGGTCTGCTGGCAGGCCCATGGCTGGTCCCCGTATCGAGACGGTGCCCCGAGGGAGCGTACGAAATTGATACACTTTTGATCGACGAACACGGGATCACTGGGAGGGATGAGGATGGGAAGGCAAATGTCGGACTTCTTGCAATTAGAACATTTACCTAAAGAGAAAGATTTTACTCACTTTAGATCACTCTGAAGATTCACGTGTTCATTTACCTGAAGTGCAAGACCTTGGTAAGGGATTACATGTACATGTATATTTTCAATCTTGTTTATGTCTGGAACATCATGGTTAAAAAACATTTGGGAATAATTATGAGTCTGAAACAATGCCCAACCTTTGCAATTAAGCATAGCGCAGTCAGTTAATCTCGTGGGTAAGGGGTTGTTGACAGAACTTCAAACCACTCTTGAGTAGTAAATGTGCACTCGAAATGAAATTCATGAATGGATGCCAAATATGTGAATCGGCATGAGGCGCCATAGTTCTGCGAGTGTTAATTTTTGCAGTTGAAATTAAGAAAGGAACAGAATCTGATGCTACCTGCAACCTGTGGGACAAGGTCAAGATCATGGCTAAGCAGCTGGCCAAAGTGGACGTTGAGAGCGCTGTATCTGCTGGCCACCAGTTCTCCATCTTCGTCAGTCACACTGATGGAGACCTTCCTCGCGCTTGGCAGCTCGTGACCATCGGAGGATCTTCGCGGGGATTTTTTGCCTGAAAAGAAAACAAATCATTGTATACGTTATACAGTACTGAATCTACGACAGTACGAGAATGACAGAGAGCCTCTATACGGATCATTGCCTACCCGTACCCTCTCGTTGGTTTGGGCATGCATGAATTTCTTATAAAGTGGTGTCAGAAGTGGGAGTTCGAAGTGGATATTCTCCGCAGCTTCGGAGCAGAATCATCGCCGATTGCTCATTAGTCTCAGATAATTATTACCGTCGTCATACGCGGAGGGCAGGAATCTCCCGAGTGGTAGGTTCGCCATTCCCCAGCTTGGGTGTTTTAGATTATTACAGCTGCCGTCTGGCGTCCGGTATCTTTGGCTCGATTTGCCACAGACCAGGGCATCGGCGGCCGGATGGAGCCGGTGGATCACCTGGTCGACCAGGTCGTCTGCCACTGCTGAGTCGATCCTGCAGAAACGATAGTTTGTTAAATCGATAAATGGACGGAAATCATTGGCGCACCCAGGATTTGGCTTGGGGAGGAGGGCTAAAAAAAAAAAAAAAAATTCGGGAACGGACTATTTTATGAACGGAATTTTAAAAAAAGAAAGGAAATACTCCCCCCCCAAAAAAAAAACTTGACACCCTCTTGGTGGGGGGGGGGGGGGCTCAAGCCCCCCGATGCCCCCCTTGGGTGCGCCACTGACAGAAATACAGTTGTATATGACTGTAAATTTGATGTTTGTTTCCATGCAATTACAGTGGAAGGTAGGTCATACTGGCCATCAGTGAGCTGAGGAGATGCAATGAAGTTCAGGGCAGTGCGCTCCTACACGCCAATGTTCGCACGTGTCCGACACCACGAGCGGATTGATGATGTAAGGCTAATGGACTTCGTGCATAAACAGTATAATGGCACTTTGCGGACTGCTGCCGAGAGCTCCTGTAAAAGTGAGTCGAATGTGGTACACGACATACCTCGGCTCACCTGCTCCTCGATTTGAACGGTTTATTTTCATCGGAACACCAAGCCCGATTACGGGGCACAAGCTTTTTTTCTGTAACCTAGTATAGTCAGTGCCTATAATGAGCATGCGTTAGTTGCAAACGAAATGATTTTCAGACTTATGTTTAAAAAAAGCCAAAGCCATGTGATCAGTGGCGTAGCCACGGGCCGGGGGGGGGGGGGCGCCTGGAGGCACGTGCCCCCCATAAATTGTCCGTGCCCCCCCCCCCCCCCGGTGGCCCCACCAAAATACTGATAATGCCACTTTTCTTTCCCAAACCAAAAATGGTTTTTGTAACTTGTATTTTTTCAGTTAGCGAAAGGCTTACTGTTTACAATTTTTTATGTCAATGGATATAGCGAGGCATTATGGGACCCAACTGGGAAAAAACTGCAATAGGACGTTTGCGATATGTGTCCTTATGATATTTTGGTCCCCCCTCCCCCCGTGCCCCCACCCCAACCCATCCCAACTCAATAAATCCTAGCTGCGCCACTGCATGTGGTGTGTTTCACACGTGTATTTTAAGGTAAACGACTTTTGTTACTAGCCTCATGAAAACTTAGCGGGCGGGGTGCCCGGCGACGATGGCGTCTATTTTTGTGCCTGTTATGTATCTCTTTGTCACTTTTGCCAGGCTACCGTACTCTGTCATACCTGGTGATGAAGTCAGCTTGTGCAGTACCCAAGAATGTGAGCAGGTCCCGTTCACCTATTGAGACGGGCTGGACACTCTTGAACTGCCCGAGCACCTCCACGGGATCTCGGCTGTCCTCCACCCTGACTTCAGTGGTATCTCAAATGCAAATGGCAAAATTCAGCATTATCTTAAAGACAACTCGGGATTTGTTTGTTGTTGGATTGGAATGTAAACATATAATAAAGCACATGACCGTTGCGGCCCAATAGCATGTTAGATGTTTATCACCAAACTTTGCCTATATTTCACTTGATTTCATTGGTTTAATCGGGGTTAATAGTTTGGCAGAGATATTGTTTCTTTTTATTGTGGTGGATAATATAATAATAAGTAATCATTGCGTTTTAACAATTCGTCATATGACGGGATACAAAAGGTGATGCTCGCCGGATACAGGAAACTGGGGCTACTTCAAACGGGGTTCTTCTCATGCAGATCCTCATGATTAAATAACACACCTGCAATGGTAATAGTCGGTTCCAGATGTGTCCATTCATCACTCGTGATAAGATCTTCCAGGTAACATATCAGTTGCGTGTCATTCATCATGTCTGCCTGGCATGACGTCACGATAAGGACGACAAGGAGTATCCTGATGGAGATAAATGTATATATTTTTTATCTATCGTTGACTGCTGTATCTAAATGTGTTACATGGCCTGAAGCCAAACTGAGGGCGACTTAGTGTAAAAAGCATAGCAGTCAACAAATATTTTGTTGTATCGTGGCAATAAGTCAAAACAAGATTAAGCACGAAGTAATTTCTGGTCTATAAGATCAGTCTTGTCGGAGTGCCCAAATGATCTTTTCAATTATTTCTGGTCGACACAGTCACAGGACGGAGTTAGCTCACAAAGCAATGGCGATATGGGGTAATCCTTTTCGATTGGACTGCCCGACTCCCTCATCAGACTACAGCCATGTAGACAAAGTCGCACGTGACAGTCAATCAGTTTATAAGTGCGAAAAGAACTGTTGCAGTTTTTAAAAGATGCTAAAAGTAAGTTGCAACTATCTTCAAAAGAAATTGAGTGAAGTCATCCAGATGAACCTTTAATTTCTGCTCTTTCGTTTGGTCTAATCATAAATGAAACCCTTCACCACTCTATTTTTGTAATCTGGCTTTTAACATTAAGGAATGTTTAGTTACAAATTTTAAGTAATTCATTGAAGCAGACTGGAACTGATTAGAAGAAAACTTGCTTTCATTTTGCTTCGCATGTGCCAAAAATTAAGATTTTTACCTCACTTTCAAATCAATATGATGGCCAACAGGCCAACTCGTGAATAAGGCCCATGACACGCGCTTTAACCTTCACTGCACAAGCTATTTCCATACGGCTATCACGTTATAGAATACATTACATTGGCAACTTTACATTGGGTTAAAATCTATTTGCACTTAGACAATTTTCAATTCATTATCATTATTATAATGATATATAACTCCATTGTATATAACTCCATTGTCGTCCCCCCCCCCCCCACCCGGATTGCCGCCCATGCTTCTACTTTCTAGAAGGTATTTTGAGCTGCAGAAATGATGCACAGTTTGTTTTCTTTAATAAACCAACCATTTCGGACGATCATTCTGAGACTAGGAATTTTCAAATTTACTTACATGTTTGCGATGATGGCAGTCGACCTGTGGTGATCCTCGATCTGTATGCTTGGTTCGACTGCACTAGGCCACTAATATATGCAACGTGGACGTCTGAATTTGTAATATTCAACTCATTTCAGCTGGGCACTTGAAAAAGAATGAACACTGTCTCATAAACAATGTAGGGGATTCCATTTTAGGATAGGAAGGGGGTTTTACCATATCTTCCTAGGAGTTAAGGGTCCCAAACCCAGTAGGGTTTTAAGCAAACCCTGCAAAACAAAACCAAAAATCGAAAAATCATGTAATCTTAAGGGGTGGAAATGCCCTTTTATCCAATTGTTTCTGAGTTCTTGATTGATCTTTTATGAAATTAAAACACAATTAAGAAAGACGGCCATTCTGTTGCATTTTGAATGGAACCTCTTTTTAAAGTAGTCCCTATACGCTCTGACGTCACCAACCGTATGGTTCACCGTATGCCAGGGTGTGTAGTGGTGCTACAAAAAAGGGCAACCATTAATAGCCTTCATTCAAGAACACTTGAAAACCCTGAATGATGACAATGGTGGTTTGCAATGAAGATTCCAGCCTGCAGCGAAGGTTACGCATTCATTGATGAATACAGGCAAAATGATATCCTCTGTTGTTGCTGTTTTGTGCCCATACCAATTCACTTTAATTAAAGTAGCCCCTGCCCATCCGATAGTTACCCAACCCACTGTCAACAGAATCGTTAAACAAACCTGAACAGTTGGGGTCCTATTTTCTTTAGAGTTTGTCACGTTCTTCGGGGGAGCCTCTGGGTTGATGGTTTGAAAGACACTCTTCAGTAACTCTCTGATTTCTCTGTTTACTGTACTCTATTGGTGGCTTATGAATAAATTCCAGGGTTTGCCTTGGCTCGTGTAAACGTATCGGCAAGACTTTCCAAAATGACAATTTACTGAAGTAGGAAACCCTACAAAAAAAATAGTACATGTGCTTTGTTGTACCCCGATTAGACAAAGTGATTTTGTAAGGACTTTTCCCTTCATCTTACAGACACAGAGAAGCATGTACATACCAGGATTGCAATTTGCAACTCGCATGGCATTTCTCCTATCTTATTTAATTTAACCTTGAGACCATTAAACATAATCAACGTATAGTTCAACTGGCACGGTCTCACAATCCGACACTACTACAGATCAACACAAATATAGACTACTAAATAGTTTGATGTTAGGTTCGAGATAGTGCGCCTGGTGACTTCACAAAAGACCAAGTGAAAGTCACTAGCGCCAAAGTATATGCCAGTTTACAAAAACAAATATTATGGAAAAAATTGAATCGTCCCACACATGGTGTCTTTGCTTGCTCTGTGAAAACAAGTTGTTGGTTTTCTGTTGATGCGTTGACGTGAGAAAGTACTTTTGCCTCAACGGCGGCCTTGTAAAAATGAACTTAGGTGGTAAATATTAGGACTGAATGAGCAGGCCCATACTGACTTTTCTACGTCAGTGCAAATAGTACTATTTCCGCAGCTGTGGGCCTTAAGCGAGAGTATCGTGCGAGTCAGTTTGAATTAGAAATAGAAAGTTTGTCGTTTTTAAAAGAACTGTCAGATCAGGTCGAGTGTAGAGCACGCGATTTGGATCCTGCTTACAACCAAGGGCGTAGATCCCGGGAGAGAATGGGGAGGATCCCCCCCCCCCCCCCCCCCCCCCCCACAGTCTTTTTTTACTATACGCCTGAGGTCAACTATTGTGTTTTCCTTTGTCCCTCTAATATAACACTTTCCCATAGACTAAGCACATAACCGTACGATCGAGGACCGGTTTTAACAATAGGCACCGTCGTCCGAGGGTCAAAGGCTCCTTTGTGCTCCTTTTGTTGTCTGTCCTCGAGCGTAATACAATACAAGAGCCCCCCCCCCCCCACACACACAGTCGTTTTTTGCTATGCTTCCGAGGATTGGCTTTGTGTTTTCCTTTGTCCCTGTAATATAACACTCTCCCATAGACTAAGCACACAAACCTGCGTTCGAGGACAATAGGCACCTTCCTTCGAGGATCAATGGCCCCTTTGTGCTCCTTTTGTTGTCTGTCCTCAGGCGTAATGCCATGCAGGAACACACCCACACACACACACACACCGACTTGTTTCACATACCTAGTGTGGACTTTCCTTTCTTTTTGTGTAGTTAAGGAACACCAGTGGAAAAACTCATTTTTCTAAAACTGTGAAAACTCTTACAACCCAATTTTTTTCAATGATTCCCTTTAGTGTTTCTCTTCATTCTGCTACAGATAAACCTAACCCAAAAATGCCTCTAAACCTGTTTTCCAGAAATGGGGAAACACTGTGTGGACGTGGGCAAGTCCACACTTCGTCGCTGCTACCTACATTATGTGGACGTCTTTTGTTCGGAAGTCCACACTGCGTATGTAAGACAAGCACACCCACACCCACACACGCTTACACAGACATTTTCTTATTTTAACCTGGGGCTGAAATTTGGACTTATATCCCTTTTCTAAAACTCTTCCATTTGCGACTAATCAACCTACCTTGGAAATTTCTAGATTTTGAGTAAAATCCACATATCTATTTCGTGAAAAACTTGTGGGGTACCGAAACGGTACCCCGCGAGCCGATGGGCTTCCTTTGTGAGGTATCTCCCGTTGTTTTGGTACCCCTTGAGGCAGTGTTTATACGTTCACACCTTTTGACAAGGAGGCGGGCTATTGAATCAACTCCCCATCTCCTAGAATCAACTCCCCATCTCCTTAATTATATTTAAATGTGAGATGGTCACCAAAATGGCTGCCATCAAAAATTTAAATTCTGATTATATGCACATAGTCCAGGATGAATCTAATAATCGTAGTCATTTTCCAGCTGATCGTCATCCCTATCTGCATCCTCGTCTGCGCTGTCGATGTCCTCGCCATCTGAAATAGATGCCCAGTTCTCGCAATCACGTAGTCTGCAGATATCAGTGCACTTGAGTCCATTTATTCGAAACTGCAATTTCGGTAGATCCAAGACGGCTTGAGGTGCTGGCTGCCCATCCATCCAGCCCACTACCAACTGTTCAGCTGCACATTCTGGACGGGAATATATTGTTTAACATGAGCAAAATTAGTAGGCTTAAAAGTTTACAAGTTTGCAAGTTTGCCGAAAAACTAAAAGATTATCATCAGCCTCGACTCCATGGGCGCGCGCGCGTTCCTTCACTAACCCCTGGCCGTGAAGTACAGTAAACGATGCTGACTGGCTATTCAGAGCGTACTGCGCGTGCACTATCCGGTTCGTTAGTAAAAACGTCATACACGCGCGCCCACCATTGGTGACTAGCGCCTTGGCTACAAACGCTCGAGTTGCGTTAACTTCCGGTTCCACTCATGCAGAAAGTGCTGGAGGTGACGTCACACTAACGAACCGGATTTCGAAGATTGCACGCCGGGCGCTCACGTGCTTTGCACGTCTCGTCGCGTACGAATATTCAAAACTACGCGATGCCTGAACGATATGGATTATGGCAGCCTCGTTTTTCGCTAAAAAAAACCTGTATCTGCGGTTGTAAAGGGACGAAAGGGCACAAATCTTTGCTAAATAACGCAACGTCCAAACCTTATGTTTGAAAGCACTGATTTTTCAAAATCACAACTTTTAACATTTTAAAGATGGCGTCGGCACGTAAAACGGATAAACTGCAGCCTAATTATAATGTGCCATATTTTGACACATATTTTAAATTACACAATTCCAGGGGTTGAGATCGCGCAAGGCATGATGGCAAACAACATGGCTCAGCAAGATCTTGTCTCGTACCCATGGGAACGAGGTTGATTATCGACTGTCAGTAACTCCATCGCTGCAATAAAATAATTCTTGTGACTGTTGCACTCAGGTCGCAAAAAATCGGCGAATGAAAAACGTTCTCAACAATCGTGTAGCTCAGACGCAGCTTGATCCTGAAAAGTCAATCATTGACTTTTCCTTGTCGTCACAAGGTCGACCTGAGGGTGGCTTTAGAAACTGGAAAGGTTTTAACTTAAACTGTTGTAACAAAAAAAAACAGATTCAACAATAAAATCCAAACCAGACAGTTGAGCAACGTTGTTTTTAGGAACTAAATGTCTGTCTTAACTAAATAAAAATGCGTGGGTTTGTATTAATAAAACTGATTATCGTACTGTAATTATGTATGTAAGTTGTTCTCATTCTCGTTTTAGATCATGTGCAATACTCATTACAAGACTACGTGCCTTAACAATGCAAAGATCTGAGGAGTCATTATAAGATACATTTCTTTTCGTGGCCGGTTTTAAACGGTTGATAAAGACATGGCTGGCTGGTCTTAAACACTTTTCCAGTGTCACATGAAATTTGGACTCCTATGAAATCTGCTGCCTTATGCCATAATATTGGTTGAACGTTCACAATCCTCACATTGGTCATGGCATTAGCAATACTGCCAGTGAGTCAGTATTTCATAGTCCTAAATTCACAATACACTGGCACAGCCGCGTTCTGCGCCACATCGCGCAGTACGCCTACTTCGCGAGAGGGACATACCATAAAATAACTACAGGTTTTTTTTCGAAAATCATGAAGTAAAATCGTTGAACAAAATCGTTAGAAATTTGTAACTTTTGACTTATTTTGATTAATTGACCGAAAAGGTATTAATGAATTGGAATAAATATGTGCTTGGCCGGTATTAAACACTATGTTTAAGACTGGTTGGAGTCTGGATGCAGATAGATCAGCATACAGGCTCAACCGATTTTAAACATAGTGTTGAATACCTGTTAAGCACACGCGTATTCCCTTATTAAAACCCCTATATTTTGTGTTTTTCGAAAGCGACAGTTTTCATGGAAAAATGAAAGTCCGAAATATGGCTCCGAAGCTTATCCAAATTCAACAAACAAATGAAACGTGAATACAAATACGAAGAGAATTATTAACTGTCGTTTCATTTACTTTCTATTCAAGCCAAACTGTGTTTATTGGACAGAAAGTTTTATTTGCAATGAAATATGACGAACTCAGCCAAAACGCAGATGCCGCTGTCGCCGTTCCATTGGAATTGCTAATGATGCAACTTTTATATTTGTCATCAGAGAAAGCGCACCAAACAAGCAAGACGTTCACAAAAGTTGAAATTGTACCTTGTTCCTGAATTTTCTAGTGGCACAATATGAAGAATACATGAACAAATATAGTTACTGTTCAAAATGTTTGTCAAGTTGAGCATGCCACTGGCCAGCTGCTTGATATTCGATGGACGCCATCTGACCCTAGATATGGCGCCACAAGTACACTATGAGTGATATGTAACCAGGGAGAGCTAAATAAATTGGTTTACTATGGTTCACTCTCCTACAACCGAGTGGTTCCACTTATAAAAATAACTTGGCGGAGCGACATTTTCTGTTGTTCGACAATAATATCAAAATATTTTATTTACAAGACAAATACGAGACAATATACATGTATATACAAATGATCAGGTATTTACAAAAAGAATTATAGTAGGAACTTTGGGTATGTAGAACGGAACTTTGTTGGGTATATAAAACGACAGTCAAAAAGGGACAATAGGCTACTCCAAGGATAGTATCAGAAATGCATCAAAACAATAAATGACTAATGAATTATGGGAATAACTTCCAGATCAAAATACATTATTAACGATATTTTATTCAAAGTAATTTGGGAAAAACTGTTTTCCTTATTTGTAAATCAAACACTTTTTATAAATGCATCAGTAAAGGAACAAACTGTGCCATAAAATGACTGTTGCCCAAACAGAAGAATTATGGCAATTATGCAAGAATATGAATATTTTATATACATGTAGTGCAATTTTAAATCCTAAAATAGAAATGAATTATTCACCAAGTTATTTTATAAAATAATGAAGTAAGCATATATACCATGCCCTAATAACAAATTCCCGAATGATCATAGCACTTTAAAGAAAACCGATAGTTTTGGGAAAATGCGAAAGTCTATTTCAAATGATAAATGTGAACATAAATATTATAGCAACACTAAAATTTAAGTTAAAGTTTGCATACTCGTGTTGCTCAGAAGTTACCAATTTGTTTTTGTTTCAAAAGGAAAAATGGAGATTCACAAAAATAAAGTACCTGATAACATTGTTTTCCGGAATTGCCGAAAAAAATATTAAAATAGTAGGAAATTGTGTTTAAATAAATCGACGGTGTTTACACGAAATGTTCAAAGTATAAATTATAGTCAACGGAAAATCCCTTTTGCCATGCCACTCATGCAGGAATTTAATAGAGAATCATATGGAAAAAGCTGATTCTCAAAAATACTTGCAAATCACGACGACAGATTTATTTCAAAAGTTACTAATCAGTCGTGATCACAAGACAAATTTCCGGCCGTGTCCGTTTTGACGGCCTTAATTTCTGGCAATAAACAAAGCACACAAAAAACAGAATGCTGCATAAATGAAGGCATAAAAAGTGAAATATCAGACATGGGATTTACTCACCACTTGGGATGGTCTACGTTCATGCCTTCTCCGTGTCCGATGTCAAAATCGAAGATCAGCAGTTAAAATAGATGAAATTATTTTACTGCTATCAGGGAGCCTCACTCAAAATTTGCAGATAAAAGTGGAGAGTGTAAGAGCTCGCAAAATGATGGTTTGAACGCAACAAGGTGTTGGATCGAAATCAAAGTTATTTCGCAGCTAGCCTTACAAGAAAACTAACCGAAACGCCCGGAATGTCAGCTATTTCTCTTAAACAAAGCCAGTGGCGTCGCCAAGGGGGGGCCATGGGGGGCACGTGCCCCCCCCCCCCCCTGGAAAACCTAGTGCCCCCCCCCGAGTGCCCCCCCCCATCAAATGCTGGTGCCCCCCCCCCCCCCATCCTCTGCAAAATTCTGCGCGTTGTTAAAATCATTACCTCAAAAATAGCAATTTCTGGAGATATCTTCAGATCGAATTTAGCATCAAATGTGGCACCATTTTGCATCTAGCCCATCCTCCGTATGCGAAAATTTTCCAAAGGGGAGGGGGGCACCCCCTCCCCTTAGGCCCCTCCCCCAGGACGGCGATCCGTATCCACCTAAGTGCCCCCCTCCCCCATCAAATGCTGGTGCCCCCCCCCCCCTGTGCCCCCCCCCCCCCCCCCCCCCCCCCCCAGACTGAAAAGTCTGGTGACGCCACTGAACAAAGCGCGGTGGAATGCAAAACTCGCCGGCTCGCTACGCCCCTCGAATAGTTTAAAAAGTAGCGGGCAAAAATTCTAGGTGGCGCGCGCTGTGCTAAAAAAAGTTTAGTTGGCCGCAAGAGGGCGCTAGGCAAAAAGCATGATCGCAATGGCTGCTCACATGTAAAATGACGCAAACACGTTATGATATGAAAGCTGGAGTAAGAGTAAGGAACCTGTCGGGTAAAAGTAAGTACTGAAATCCAACCTGGGAAAGATTTCCATATACGAAGTTCACTCAAACCCTGTGTACAAACCCTATGAGATTGGACTGAAAAATTCTAAGTGTTTTCTAAAAATGCTTAGGTATTTTCTCACTGCTCAACTTGACTTTGATGACATGAAATTGCTATCTGGGTACTCCTAGTCCTAGAGCTATGACGTAGTGGAGGAGCCTCATAGATCTAGAAGCCCGAAAACTTGCCTGCAGCACAAAACACTAATGCTCCCTAATGGGTACAACTATAGAATGCAGGGCCACTTTACTCTACCATATGATGCAACATTTGAGACCAGGTTCACAGACCGCATGTCATGTAGTATACACTACACGCTACACACTTTTCACAGACCGCACGTCGTGTAGATACACTACACGCTACACACTACTGAGCACCCGAAACATCCCTCAATATAATATTAATTGGAACTAGTTTCCGCCACAGTGCCAAAGCTTTGATGTCTACAGCATCGACAGTGCTAAGGAGGTCTACATCATCTACACAGTGGTTAAGGGGTCTACAGTACAGCATCTACACAGTGGTTAAGAGATCTACAGCATCTACACAGTGCTAAAGAGGTCTACATCATCTACACAGTGGTTAAGGGGTCTACAGCATCTACACAGTGCTAAAGTGGTCTACAGCATCTACACAGTGGTTAAGGGGTCTACAGCATCTACACAGTGGTTAAGGAGTCTACAGCATCTACACAGTGCTAAAGAGGTCTACAGCATCTACACAGTGCTAAAGAGGTCTACAGGCAGCATCTACACAGTGGTTATACAGCATCTACACAGTGGTTATACAGCATCTACACAGTGGTTAAGAGGTCTACAGCATCTACACAATGCTAAAGAGGTCTACAACATCTCTTTAGCACTGTGTACGTATCGGACCCAAGCCAACTCGGACCCATGCCAATTCGGACCCACTACCAAATCGGACCCACAACCTCAGACTCATTATGCACGTTTTCAAAAATTCCCCATTCAGTTTAAGTTACATGTGTTACACTGCTGTTTAGTATAATTTTTCATTGTAATTGTAATGCGATAACTCTTACTAGTAAAACTTTTACTAAAAGTGTATTTTATTATTATTATTATTTTTTTTAATTAACACATGTTAAGTGATATCGTTCGTGCCATTTTTCTCATGTTATTTCATTTTTTATCCAAACTTTATACGTAACGAAATTAACACATCCAGCATTGGAAAGCATGAACATTGAAATATAAACACTTTCAAACAAAACATTATTCATTTGTATATACTACTGGATAAAAGTAAAGTCAATAAATAAAATATAAGATATAAACCATTCACGGATCTAAACGATAACCAACTTCAAAACACCCACAAAAAGTCAGCATATCTAGTCAGCCTAGATGGGTAAAAGATAATATAAATAACTATAAAACTACCATACAGTTTGTATAAACGAAACGTGCCATTTCCAAGTGCCAAAAAAATATGAAAAAAAATTAAAACGTTTGATTTAAAAGATACATCAACACCATTGCATACACTTTATAAGAAAAACGAAAGGTCCATATGAATCTATATAAAAAATTAAATCAAAAAAGTATAAAAAGTTAAACAAATCCGTTAGAAGAACAAAAATCAAAGTAAGCATGTGAATAAAAAAAAATAATCAAATACTTTTTTGCCTAAATAGTTATTTCAAATGAAAAACATCCTCTGACCTCACTGAAACACGTTCACTGCCTCGTAGTACATAAAAAATACCGTTTTACTTCGCCTTATATGGATTGGTAGGAAAAGCAATAAAGAACATCTTCTGCATATCAATTAAAATTAAAATTATTTTAAAACTTGGTTTTTTTAACACGAAATGTACGACGAATTTGTTGATAAAGTTGGCCGCCATCTTGTTTGGATGGCGCTTTAGACTTCGCGCATGCGTAGTATGGCTCTGTACACTTCACGCATGCGTAGTACGGCTAGCTACACATAAACAAGATGGCGGCCAACTTTTAAAGCTGTTTAATGTTCAAAAACCTATACAAAATTTGTTGACGCTCGTTGACGACCGTTGAGGCTTGTTGATGCTTGTGGACGCTTGTTGACGCGCTTTAGTAGGACCGATGATTTTCGGTTCGCTCGGAGCGCGCCGCGGGGGGTACGGTACAGGCGAAATGATAGTATGTGCATGCGTACAAGTGCATGTACCGTACCCCGCGCAGCGCGCTCCGAGCGAACCGAAAATCATCGCTCGATCATATGCGTGCACGTTTCAAGTGTCAGGTTGGCGCAGTGCAGAAAGGGCATATTTTTCATCATTTTGGCCTAAAAACCGACAGAATCCACCTATGTTAGTTCTGCGCATGATACGTGAGTACATGTATGTCAAGACAATGCAAGAGATAAAGTACGGAGTATAGGGGCAAAATGTGCAGCGGTTCTGTGTGAAATGTCTCCATTTTGATGGACGTTTTTGTACTTTATTAAGTGTTTTGTGCTGCAGGCAATTTTGCGGGCTTCTTGATCTACATGTATGAGGCTCCACTACGTGGAGCCTCATAGTTCTAGGAGTACTATCTGGGGGCTTGTTTAGCCTAGGTGGACTCCCTTTCCTCCCTACGTTACGGAGGGAGTCCAGGGTATAAAGTGCTCAAAACCGGGCGAAAAAATTTTTGACCAATATTTTCAATATTTGTACCTTATTGGAGAAGCCAATTTTTACGTCGTAGTATTCTCTGTGTCCTTATCTATTGGGCCGCTGGGTTCAGAAATTCCATATGCGATGCTGACCGACCTTAATCTGGAAAATAAACTCGAAAGCAACGTTAAACTTGTACGTGGGGAAAGATTTCCATATACGAAGTTCACTCCACACCCTGTGTACAAACCCTATTAGATTGGACTGAAAAATTCTAAGTGTTTTCTAAGAAAATGCTTGTATTTTCTCACTGCTCAAATTTACTTTGATGACATGAAATTGCTATCTGGGGGCTTGTTAGTCGATACAGAGGAAAATTAGTGAACTTCGTATATGGTAATCTTGCCGTACCTGTTTGTAGACTCTTTTCAATTTCATCAGTTTCTCACCGCCGAGTCTATTCTAGTCGTACAGCGTGTAGTCTGGTTCCCTAGACCAGACAATTATTCTCATGCAGCATGAATATGCAGTGCGCACCCTCATACGCACGCGCACTTACTTGAAGGCGCGGTCGCTAATCCAATGACCGAGCGTGTTTTCGCGCCAGTTACCAGAAACACGTTTCAGCTTTGGTCATTGGTTGAGCGTTTTCGTGACATCGGTTGGCTGGAGTGATGTCACGGTTCCAACCAAAACTAAACAAATGAGGGCGCTAGCGTGCGTGCGCGCTTTCATACGCACGTACATTGTACATAACGTACGACTCTGGGAATAAACTGATGAAAAGAGACTACAAACACGTACAAGTTTAACGCTGCTTTAGAGTTTATTCTCCTGATTAATGTCAGTCAGCATCACATATGTGACCCGCTCTGCAAAAATGAGTCTGATGTCGCATAGCTTGAATTCCAGCTTTTACCACTTTTAAATGGAAACAGTGAACATTTGCTCAAAATTTGGATTTTTTGTTTTTGTTTTATTTTGGTCGTTTGATAGTTTTAGTTCAGATATCTTACACAGAAATTTAAATATTGTAAGAAAAAGACTAACAAATTTATGATTTTTGGTGCTTTTCTTGGCTAGTTACAGTGTATTTGTAATTTTTAAACCCTTTTTTTTTCATTGAGACATTTCTTGCTTTGCAAAAACATGACAGAATTAAAAAAGGCACAACAGTGCAACCAAACGTCCTAGAGAGGCCCATGATATACCAAATGAAAGCTTATTTCATTCCAATTTTATTAATGTAGTTAACTCAAAATTTCAGTTTTGCCACAACAGACTCATTTTTGTGGAACGGGTAACATATGGAATTCCTGAATCCAGCAGCCCAATAGGTAAGGACACATAGAAAATGTAGGCGTGAAATAAGCTTCTGTAACGAGGTAAAACGTAACAAAAATCTGGTCCAAATTTTGGTTGGTCTTATGTAGAGAATTCTCATCCTGGATGTTAGTCGTAATGCAATGAAGACTTCGTCCAACCTGGGCTAGAGGCTTGTTAGTCAATACAGAGGAAAATGAGAACTTTGCATATGGTAATCTTGCCCCGACCTGGTTACAGATATAAATATCGGCATGTAACGCCTAGTTTTGATAGCTCATGCGTGTACGGAAAAGGAGACCTACATGTATACACTTCTCCCCCTCCGAAAAAATGGGGTGGGGAATCCAGATGTCGCAGTCTAACAGTAACATTGGAATGTATAGGCAATAAGGGTACGGGTAGAAGCACAAAACCAATGAAAAGTATATCACCTTAACAGGGTATGAAATTGGAATACTCTGCATATGCATGGTAGTCGCGAAGAATGCTGTTGTCAACGAGTCCAAGTTGTCATGGTTAAAAAGTGGTATACCCAGACTGGGTACCCAGTGTAAATTTACCCCCAATGTTGCCTCCTCTTCCACCTCTCGTGATGCGCGTATCCCTATACGACTTCATAATAAAGGGTTAGCGTACTCACGTAAGGCTGGGAATTCGAAACTCAGTCTCAGTCCGGGAAAGCAAAGTCTTTGTTATGAGCAACTACAGATGACGTGTTCATACACTCGCGAAGGCCCAATATCGGGACACTTGTGCATGGAAATGACGCAAAATGCACAAAACTGTAATCGTCTGCTGCTTTCGAGTATTGCATCCGAGTTTTGGCGCGAAGACAGCGTATATGGGAAGCTAAGCTTCTTATCTTCTAATTTTACCAGTTGGAACTGGAAAATTGGTGGCGGATCATGGGACGCAGGGGCGTAAATCCCGGGGGATGAGAAACAAATGCTGATTTCGAGGTTTTTGTCGAACATCCCAACAACCAAAACTTATTCAATAGCAATGAAAAGTGGAGAGAGAAAGTACAAAAACTTTTAAAATGCGCCGTTTTGATCTAAACGCGAGTATACACATTGATATACATCGATATTCCGGAGAGCGTTCCCTATTGCAATGGGGTGTCAATCCCCCCCCCCCCCCCCCCCCCCCCCCCCCCCCCGATTTTCGAATTTCCACGGGCCGGACAAGTTTTGATTTTGGTCATCCCCCATCCCCGAATTCTGAGTGGGGCAAAAGGGAAGGGGCACTGCAGGCACCCCTCCTCCCTCTGCTCTCTCGCCCAGCCACTGATAAGTTACTCCAACTTAAGTTAAGTTGCACACAAACACTGAAGCCAGCATGGTAACAACAATCAGCGCAGTATAATCTCATCTCCGTGCTTATTCTGATGACGAGGGCTGTGATTGAACCTCTGCTAGCTTTGCGTATCAAATAACTTGACACATATCGAGACAAGTTTAAAACTAACTTTACTTTTGTAGTTCAAGTTGATTTTTTATTTCTCTACCTCCCGCCCCCATAAGTTAATACCTCACCAAAAAACCACGTCAACAGACGCAATGGCAAGTTGTCTTCATCCAGCAAATATTGGAACAATCTACACATCCTCTCACGCGATGCGGGCCAGGAGCCATCTGTTTCACGGCATGGAAGTCTATAAAACTAACAGAGGCTCTGTTGGAAATTAAACCGTTCCTCATCGGACGCCATGGGCAAGATGAATCGCCTCTTGGTTCTGCTTCTAGCGGTGTGCATCGCTGGTAAGTCAGAGATTTTTCAGTAGATCAGTCAGTAGATTTTGCTATAAGAAATGAGCTTTGTGTATTGTCAGCCGTGAGCCACATGTGTACGCTAAGCCACTTGGTGGTTCTTTTGTTTGACTTTAATAGTTGTGGCCCCTGAGTTCAAATTATCCCCGGACATGTTTATACTTTGTGAAATAAAGAATGTCCAAACGAACGCTTTTCCGAGAGGGGCATTATGCATGGTCGGTATACAAGTATAATGATAGTATAGTTTGAGCAAAACGTACTTTGATAACCCAACTATTTCAATTTTTAATACAATCATGTAGAGTTAAACTAGAACCAGTGACCAATACATACGACAGTTGGATGGTGGGTCGGTGGTTTGGTGGTTGGTCTGTTGGTCGGTCACTCATTCAGTCTGTTGGTCCATTCATCAGTGGGTTGGTTGCTCGGTCGGTCTATTGGTCAGTATAGGTCGGTTACTTCCTCAGTTGGTCAGTGATCAGTCGGTCAATAGGTCGGTGGTTTGGTCGGTCAGTCTGTCTGTTGGTTAGATAATCGGTCGGTCAGTGGATTGCTTGCTCGGTCGGTTAATCGGTTGGTTGATGGTCAGTTGGTCAATCGGTCGGCCAGTGGGTCAGTGGTTTGGTCAGTCGGTCAGTCGGTATTTTTTTTTCTCTCACTCGGTCAGTAAGTTGGCTGCTAGTTGATTTGTCGGTCGGTTGGTCTGTCAATCAATCAGTCAGGGGAAATAGACCAGCCTTCGGGTCCAACAAACAAAAAGTGATCCCACAAAATATCCAAAAATAGGTTCATTTGGGTTCAGATAAGTTGTCAAACAAAATGTGTAGGAAAAGCCTACATGTATACCAATAAAGCACTTGTGAAGTGTGACTTTTTCAAACGGAGACATTGACAGCGAAGCAATGCCAATTAGGTATTACTACAAGCGCTGGGTACTTGTTTAATGTATTTTTATTAAGTATTTTGTGTTTTATGATAATCATGGTTTTAATAGTCCGGCAATTCCACGGTAACGGAAGGATGTTTTCACTCATTAAACAAAATTTCAAATGTGTGTATCACAGACACTGTTATTAGTTACAACAAACAAATGTCACAATTGTATTGCTATAATGCTACCTTCAATTTCAACACTTTTGGGGGGCATGAATACCTCTCGTTCATGAATTATGAATATTAATGAGGTCGGTAACGGAAGAACGGTAAAACGGACAAGGGTTTTCCAACTTACATGTGTTTTGCGTAAACTGTGTGAATTTTATGGGGCAATTTTATTTTAAAGGTAGGAAATGGAATCCCTGAAGCTTTATCTATACTATACCACCTTTCATTTGAATTTAAGTGTTTCGGTAATGTAATTACAACGTCTTAAGTTGATTATAATTTGGTAACAGAAGGACGGTAACGGAAGGACAAAAGGTTTACTCAATTATAGCATGAACAAAATGTTAATTCACACTAATTTATACAAGTGAAACAAATTGCTGAAATGTGTAACTGAATGTGAAATCAACAATAAGCAGACCTGGCATGAATGATTATACCCAAGAAACTATTGAGATAAAGATAGGTGCCTGCTAATTAATGATAATTCATAAATACCTCAGACAGTTTAGCTATTCCTATTGGTCGAGAGCCCGTCACGTGGCCGGTCTTAAACGGATGATAAAGACATGGCTAGCTGGTCTTAAACACTTTCCCAGTGTCACATAAAATGTGGACCCCTAAAAATCCAGTGCCTCTTGCCGTTTTATTGGTTGAACGTTCACAATCCTCACGTTATAGGCATGCGCAACACTACCAGCGAGTCAGAATTGTATCCTTACTATAATTCCAGGAATCTCTGTCTGTCTGTCTGTCTGTCGGGCTGTCTGTCTGTCTGTTCGTCGATTATCTCCAGAACCGGGCACCGTATGAAGTTGACAATCGGCGGGTATATTGCTCGGGACCACAGAATGTGCAGTGCTAAGTTGGAAGTGGTTTGGACGAGGGGTTCTCGAAAAAGCTGCAAAAAAGCAGCATTTTTTTAGCCTCAACGTGGCAGATTATATACCTAGAACACGCGCAGTCCTTTTCAATTGTTTACGTCATGTTTGAGCAAAAGTGCGTGTGCTTAATATGACGCAACAATGGAAAAAGGACGGGCACATCATGGGGTTCTTTTCAATTGTTTACGTCATGTTCGAGCTAAAGCGCGTGTGCTTAATATGACGCAAACAGTGCAAAAAGGATGGGCACATTGTAGGGCGATAGCACTGCACACCATGTCTTCGTACGTACATGTACATATACGTGAGTGGCATGCACGGGCACATGCATTTTGTAGTCAACTGAGCAACCATGATCACTGCACTGTATGTAGGCGGTCGACTGAGCAACTCTAATACAATATGGTATCGCCCTACAACTACGCCCTACAGTTGTAGGGCGATACCATATTGTCCAGTAGGGGTAAATATCAGTGCCAGGGGGGTGACGACAGTTAGTGCGTTTAACTTGCGAGTGTGCGTTCACACCATTAAATAATGTGCGTTGTGTGCACGAGCTGCAGTTCTCAACTGCCCCTTCCGAACACGCACAATTTCGACTGGCCCTGCACTAGTCTTACTATAATTCCAGGAATCTCTGTCTGTCTGTCTGTCCGTCGATTATCTCCAGAACCGGGCACCGTATGAAGTTGAAAATCAGCGGGTGTATTGCTCGGGGCCACAGAATGTGCAGTGCCAAGTTTGAAGTGGTTTGGATGAGCGGTTCTCGAAAAAGCTGCAAAAAAGCAGTATTTTCGGAGGCAAACGTGGCAGCTTAGAACATAACACCACACACTGCCGTTCTTTTCAATTGTTTACGTCATGTTTAAGCTAAAGCGCGCGTGCTCAATATGACGCAAACAATGCAAAAAGGACGGGCACGCGCACGTTCATTGTAGGGCAATACATTGTCCAGTATGGGTGAATAGCACTGCATACCATGTTTTTGTATGTACACGTGCACATTATTTTTGCAGTCGACTGAGCGACCATTGTAGGTGGTCGAACTTCAAACTTGGCACAAACTTTGACGTAAGTGTGCGTTCAACCTGTGAAAACAACACCATTAAATGCGTGCGTTGTTTGCACGAGCAGTTCTCCAAAACTCTGCAAGTATGCAACCTATACCAGCGGCAAAGCAATTTGCGTTTCCCGAACATGCACATTTTAGACGGGCACTGCACTAGCAGTTCTAAATTCAAAACGCAACGCCCCAGGTACGTTCTGCGCGACGTCGCGCAGAACATGCTCCGTGCGCGTCAATCTCACTGATCTCTTTATAAAGACTGGATAGCTGATATGCATACAACATTCACACAGTAGACTTTGCATATTGACCAATTCGCCCCCGGTCTCACGAAGATGGCCGCGTATAATACGAACGTTCTACGCGTAAATACGCGCGCGTTGTATCAACAGTTTACGCGCATTTTGGTCACGTACACATATTATGATGTTCTAAAAGGGACACATTTCCGTAGTGATTATTATTTCAAAAATGCAGAAAAAGTGATTTGCGGCATTTTAAAAAGTAACCACGATGTTAGAAAAATTGTAGTAAACCTTGGTCAGTGGGGGTGGTCAAAATATAAGTCAAGTGAACCTTGACGTTACAAAAGAAATCATGCTGTCTATAAAGACGGCAACTTGTCCTTTGTAGATCACCAGCCGGTCTCGCCAATATGGCGTCAAATTCATTCATTGTGCGGCTCTTTATTAGCTATCCAGTCTTTATATAGAGATCAGTGGTCAATCTCCATAAAACGGGTTGTTTACATCTTACTCGCCAGCTGAACACTCTATTATTTTGCTAGAGGGATGTTTCAAAAAGCATGAAGTGAACTTGTTGAACAAAATCGGGATTTTTTTAACGAATTATTTGATTTTTTTTTACCGAAAAGGTATTTATGAATGGGAATAAATATGTGCTCGGTCGGTACCGCTTAGAGTCTGGGTGCTGATAATTACCCTCGCCTATGAATGTCAGCTCAGTAGATAATCTTTTTGAGAAGACTTTTAAAATGATGTACAAATAAGTTTATGATCAATGAAATCGGTCTTATTGGCGCGCATAAGTGATATTTATTATATTTAAAGCGGTGATTATTTCAAGATATCTCGAAATGATTTAGAGATATCTCCAAATGATTGAGAGATATCTTGATATCATTTAGAGATATCTTGAAATCATTTAGAGAAATCTTCAAATGGATTTAGAGATACATGTGTATCTTGAAATGAATTCCAAGATTTCATCATCACTCAAACGCGCTAATGTCAAAGTGTTGTTTTAATCGGCCTATTTTGAAATAATTAGAGCTATCTTGAAATAATTAGAGATATCGTAATTAGCGATATCTTGAAATAATTAGAGATATCTTAAAATATCAAAAGCTTCCGTTTAATAACTTGAATACATATAACTTATGGACGCCATACGTATTTGTGTACAGAGTCTACTGACGAGTGTAAAGATCTATTATTCGATGTACAATTCGATACTAAATGTCGAATATTCAACATCAGACTAGTAACATTCACATTCGATATACCGATTTATAACACCTCACCCACAGATTCTTTGTCTTGATTGGCCGAGAGCGAGTCACATGAAACTTTCTATTTTTGCTATCTTTCTGTGCACGGCCAAAGTACTATACCCGTAGCAACCAAAGTACTATACCATTGGCAACCAAAGTACTATTTCCACGGCGCGGTATTTGTGTGCAAATGCATGCTGGTGTGCGCGTTGCACGCAGCACTTTTTGTTCCAAAGAGAGCACGCCGCAGAGTTGGGTTCAAACATTTCGCGAAGGGGTAGTTTGGAAGAGAGAAATGCATTTTCCTCCAGTTTTGTATTGAAATTGAAGTTTATTTCAACTGTGTTCAGATTTAAATAATTTAAATATTATAACCCAGCAGAATCTGTGGGTGAAGTGTTATAAAACAAATATTGAATGCTTTATCTCGTGGTGAAGTAAAACTAGCCTCCCTTGGTGATCCATGGACCATTCTATTTTCGCCTCGGGAAAATAGAATGGTCCATGGATCACCTCGGGAGGCTAGTTTTACTACACCGCTCGAAGCATTCAATATTTGTATACTATATGAATGTCGAATATCCAATGTCAAACTAAGTTTATTGTCATCTCTATGATAAGAGTCTTTCAATGAGGATGTACAGAATGCTGTCTTTTATACCAAACGCTCAGATTATCTTGAAGGCATGACAAGTTTCACACAATTTTTGTGGCTGCTGTGACAGGGTCTGTGGTGTTTTGTACACCTGACGTGGCAAATGGCACCTGACTGACCCAAAACGAAGCCGAGAATGCCATTTAATAATAACAATGTTCTCTGTGCCTGTTTAAATCTCTACTGCTTTATCAACCTCTCTGCAGGAAATGCTTGTGCCTTTGCCAATGATGACGAGCACAACATAAAAAAAGAAAAGAACATTCCAGATGAAGCTGTGATCCGGAAGAACCGCGCCCATAGTAAGAACATGCAATTCTGTTCTGTTGCTGCTTTTTTTGGTTTGGGTTTTTTCTGGTCGTTGTTGTTTTGTTGTTTTTGGAAATTTGGAATTTCTGGAAATTAATTTACATATATGATTTACATGATAATTTCAAGATAATTTGTCATTAATAAATAGACCAAAAAATTTAATACAATTGGTTTGATTGATTGTTAAATTATCAGTGTCTGTAGGAATTGAATTAACTGTTTATTAAATAACATAAAACGAGTCTTATCAATGTTGAGAGATAATTTGTTGGCTTTGATACATTTAGAAACAGAAATGGGTCTCTAAATTAACCGTGTTAACAAGTGTGGTCAGATTACTATCTATGAGTATAAAATAAGTTGAAGTCATCTCCGAATAAAATAAATGACAGGATTCTAGATTTATCAGTCATTAATGTAAATAGAAAAGGCAAAACGCTACTTGGTATGAACGTGGACAGGGACACGTTATGAATAAAAATGGAAGTGACGTTATGATGACATCGTTATGGGTGTGTGACGTCATCTTAGCCATGCAATGTATTTTTTTGGATGCAATCCTTGATAATCCACCTTTGTTTCACATTTTCGTTTTGCCATTTTCAAGGGTATTCTGATGCCTGTTTTGTTTTTATGCTAATGTAAATTTCCATATTCATGAGCAAACGTGTGGTGTTATTTCATGCAGAAAATTATCTTTTCATTGGTTATTCGTTGTTGTCTCAGTACATGGCAGTATGCCAATAATAAGCAAACTTTTCTTACAAGTGATTTCAATGAACTCATTTTGGGTAAACTGAACAGTGTCTTCCTTATAAATGACATCACAAGAACCGCGCCTGCAGTTGCCCGGAAAAGCATGGACAGTTTTAAATAAGTGCACCTTTCAATAAAATTTACCAAAAAGGAATGTCAAATAGTAAAAAACAAATCAGCTCATGAACCCTTTAAAGTAAAAACTATAAAGCCCTCTGTCTAGAAAACAAGTCCGATTGGTTTCAATTGTATGTACGTATGTACACAGGGACGTGTTGTACATCTACAGTGAAGTGAATCACCAAAACAGCTGACAATTCAAGAAACGTTGTTCGTACATGAAATCAAACATTAGAAGAAAAAGCATAAACATTTCAAAACAATTTAATGCTGAATAGCCCTACATGTATGTTCTGTTCATCTAAGGCCAAAAAAAAAAATAAGTCGGTCTCTGGTCAGCGCGCGCGTCGATTTTAATCATGCGCGTCGATCTTCTTTTTTTTCCAAAATGTTCCGCGGTAGCTCCAACAGCGCCCTCTATTTCCGCACCTCCTCAATTTGTTTTTACCAAAGAGCACCAAGGAATGGGAAATTGCACCAAGGCAAATGATCGAAAGCACCAATGCAAATTATGGAGGACACCAATGTACATGAGGACACCAAAAAAGCAAAATAGTACCCCACCTTGTCTGTACAATCCAAGCTTGAAGAAAAAAAAAAAAAGGGAAAAAAAAAACAAAAAAAAGCCGCGTGGCCGCGTCAATTCCGGAACTTTGGTCTGACCAGAGACCGAATTTTTTTTTTTTTGGCCTAACAGGCATTGACCTGTCCTTTAGTTCTCTTTCCAGTTTCTTTTATTTCTACCCCACATCCCATAAAAGGTGTACATGTTTTACTCCAGCCGGCACTTTTGGCATAAAACAAAGTCATATCCCAATGAAACTGGACTGGCCCATGTAATGTAATTGTTTTAGCGTACTCGCACGTACAAGAACACTGTCTGTTAATTTGTTCTGTTTTGTTGGATATTTTTAACTGACTCACTGAAGTAATATAATATTGTTTCTGTCTGATTTGTTGAAAGCTCGAACTGTATATGTAAGTGCAGAGAGTAATTACACCATAACCTCTACCAACTACCCGAGCAACTATCCCAACAACGCTGATGACATCTGGTATCTTCAGACTGACAAAGGTCGAATCATCCAGCTCACATTCGTTTCCTTTCGACTCGAGTCTGGGTACGACAACCTGAAGGGGGGCGATGGTGAAGACGCATCCACAGCGCAGCTCTTTTCCCTATCTGGGACTGGCGTGATACCAACAGACAAGGTTTCATCAGGAAACAAGATGTGGCTGAGGTTCACTTCAGACAGCAGTGTCACCTATCAAGGGTTTTATATTGTTGCCCTAAGCGTCTCAATGACGGGTACGTCAGTATAAGTTGTGAGCAGATCTATCCCTTCATAGATTTAGAATTTTCAAGTAATGTCAGGGCATAAAGTTTGAATATTGCACCCTCATTACAACAAGTAAGATTGTAGTTGAATACAGTCAAACTTGCAACTTCAATTCCAACCCTAGTCATAAAAGGAGCAGGGCGTATATACAACATAAGTAGCTTGCACAATTAAATGCGGAACGTTATGCTTGATGGTGCCCATCTCTCTACTTCAACCCGTGATATAATTTGTATACATGTAGGTAGGCACTGCGTCACCAGTGGTGGGTAAACCAGGAGGGTTTATGGTTAAACCCTTCCAAGAAGAGTTAGGGAAATATTGTGTTGCAAACACCTCCCTGAATGGTGCTTTAAATTATTATTTCAGGGGCGGCTAAAACTTGACTCGTAAAACATAAACATTTTCAGCGACTGTTTCAGCAATAAGTAAGAGCACATGCAACGATCTCACCAATGTATCTGAATGACACTTGTGTCGCTTATGTGTTATGGACATGGAATAGATAACCTGACTGTTACTTTGACGTACAAACGATATAATGTGCAGAAGGATTTGATTTTGGGGTTTTTTAATATACTCAAATTCCAGACTCCACCACTGAACCATCCTACCAAGGCTGTAGTTCATATCAGTGGCGATGCTACTACAACGGCCAATGTATTCAAGACTACCATAGATGCAACGGATACTCTGACTGCTACAATGGCGAAGATGAATACAACTGTTACGGTGAGTATTCAATACAGAAAGTTTGTTAAAGATGGGACACAACACATATTTGCTACTGTCTTTTTAAACCACACCTGTCATTTTCAGACTACACCACTGAACCATCCTACTACGGCTGCAGATCATATGAGTGGCGATGCTACTACAACGGCCAATGTATTCAAGACTACCAAAGATGCAACGGATACTCGGACTGCTACTATGGCGAAGACGAATACAACTGTTACGGTGAGTATTCAATACAGAAAGTTTGTTAAAGATGGGACACAACACATATTTGCTATCTGTCTTTCAAACCACACCTGTCATTTTCAGACTCCACCACTGAACCAATCTACTATGGCTTCATTTCATATCAGTGGCGATGCTACTACAATGGTCAATGTATTCAAGATCACTACACCTCATAAATATTCATGATCAAATTTGAGCACGTCATTGACTGATTCCGCCGTGCGTCCGGGAAGTAAAATTTATATGCACCCAGGTGACTTCATCCCGGTGAGTATCCAGCTCGCTGCCGTGCTGTATTTTTTCTGGTAGCACCAAAAATTCTCTCTGGAACCCGCCTCGTAGACATATAGTCTGTGGTATGTAATACCAGTCTGTTGTTGTAGTCCTTGTAACTACTACAATAGACACATTAAAGAGTGTTGGCACTAGACTATTGACTGTCGAAGAACTTGAATATCTTGTGCTGAATAAAGATGCAAACTCTACGAAGGCCGTTATCGACAAGGCAGTGAGATTGCTACTATGGCGAAGATGAATACAACTGTTATGGTAATTATTCATTACGGAAAGCTTGTTAAAGATGGGACACAACACATATTTGCTACTGTCTTTTAAACCACACCTGTCATTTTCAGACTACACCACTGAACCATTCTACCAAAGCTGTAGTTCATATCAGTGGCGATGCTACTACAACGGCCAATGTATTCAAGACTACCAAAGATGCAACGGATACCCAGACTGCTACAATGGCGAAGATGAATACAACTGTTACGGTGAGTATTTAATACAGAAAGTTTGTTAAAGATGGGACACAACACATATTTGCTACTGTCTTTTAAACCACACCTGTCATTTTCAGACTCCACCACTGAACCAAGCTACTACAGCTGCATGGTCAATGTATTCAAGACTACCAAAGATGCAACGGATACTCAGACTGCTACTATGGCGAAGATGAATACAACTACTATGGCATAACTACCCACATCTGCAGATATTTTACTGCAACACAAACCGACTTTCTGTGAACATTGACAACTAGAGTTGTAATGTGTATTTCAAACCATTTATTCCATCCATCGTATTTATAGTAAACACCGTTGCTCCCACTGTAGACGTCAATCCACCCTCCCCCGTGGTGCGACTAGTGAATGGCGGCACCATCTATGAAGGCAGAGTGGAGGTATTTGTCAACGGAGACTGGGGAACGGTGTGTGATGATACCTGGGCATGGGACATGAACGATGCTGAGGTCATCTGCAGACAGCTTGGCAATGGACCGGCCGTTAGTGCCCTGCGTCGTGCTCAGTATGGTCAGGGTACTGTTGGCCCTATTCACATTAAAAATGTCCAATGCAACGGATCAGAAAGCTCTATTCTCGATTGCCCATCGGACAGCTGTGCCCCTGGTGATTGCAGCCATGACTATGATGTTGGTGTTGAATGTTCAGGTAATGCAAACTTATTCATCCAAACACCGCAGAACTTTGTATGAAAAAGTGGTTAAAAAAAGAAATTTTTTCAACAATTTTTTCCATTTTTTCTACCCCAAAAGGTGTATGATCTTCACGTAATGAAGTCGCATTAATATTGATGACTTAAATATTAGCGATCCACATTTTTTTAAAAAATATGTTGGATCCAAGGAGCAGGAGCCAACAAGGGCAATGGCCTCCAAAAGGGTTTTTTTTATTACATCCCTCGCAAGCCATCAGCTATACATACATGTACCTTTTAGTGGTAATATTATTCCAATAGTCTTGTTACTATGTGGATATAGGGCAAAAAAGTATCACTATTTGCTTCCCATTTTTGAAAAAAAACTCAAGCCCCCTTGAAAATTGTGGATCCGCCCTTGCATGTACTTTGACGAACTGGAAATCGATTTTGTTTTCTCACAATTTTGTTAACTTGTTTTTATTTTAATGAATTTTTTTGGGGGGGAGGGGCCAACTTTGCAATTTGTTGGTGTATGAAACTTTCTGTTTTCTGTTTGCTATTATGTTTTGGGTGTTGTAAGCGCGTTAAGAGGCGTGTTATGCGACTAGACTGGTACCCAGTCTATATATTGATCGGTACTGATAGAGGAGCATGTGTCCTGCGACAATTGAATTATTGTTGCGTTAGGACTTGCGTTCCGGTGCTGTTCATCACCTGGCCCATATGAACTGACAATGTGACATCCCATAGACGCAGTAATAACATTGATGTCTGTGTGCTTCAACTGAAATAATTCAAGCGTGTTGTTACAGTGAGGTTATATCAAAGCATGTACACCTTATCCATGAAACAATTCTTTTTCCGTTACTTTAGTTCCAGTTCGTCTCGTTAGTGGAGCCTCTTTTAACGAGGGTCGAGTTGAGGTTTACCACGAAGGCGAGTGGGGTACAGTCTGCGATGATGGATGGGACCAGAATAACGCTGAGGTTGTCTGTCACATGCTTGGTTTCCATTCGGCATCCAGTGCTTGGAGCAATGCTCACTTCGGCCAAGGATCAGGTCGGATCATGCTTGACGATGTTAGCTGCCAAGGGAATGAATCTAGCCTAGCTAAATGCCAACATCATGGCTGGTTTAGTCATAACTGTGGGCATAGCGAGGACGCCGGAGTTACTTGTTTCAGTAAGTTTATCCTCTGAACATCATTATGTATCAACTTGAACAACTAAATAGTCAGATTACTGTGTTAACGGTGAGGCAGGAAAGTAAAATGCCAAAAGATCAAGGATCTTGCTTGTCCAACTTGCCCTAACGTGCCACCGCTATGTTGTCTTGCTCTTATATCTGGTCCGATTATGACTTTTAACCAAAATTGCAAAGAAAACTCTGCCGATTTTGAAGATGAAATGTCTTTTTTTATTATCCGACCACTTATATTTGTTTTTTCTTACACGATTAATTAAATCCATAAACCTTATTACTAACTTTACTTACTTTCTCTTTTTTACCCATGCCACAGAACCACACTACTATGACTGCCATTTGCTATTCAACAAAGTCGAGTTTGTTTATTCCCTGATGAATGTTCAAATTGTTTTATTTTGATGAAAACTACTTTTTATATTTCGAGTGTCTTCAACTTTCTAAAAAGGTTTTTGTTTTATGTATTGGTGGTTTGGTGCGCGTTAACTGCTAGAGCCATGCGAGTAGACTGGTTCCCTGTCCCTACATTACATGTACTGATACTGAGAACTAAACCCAATTTCATGGCTCTGCTAACCACAGAATTCCGCGCTTACGATCACCATTCTATTCGTATCACAAAAACATTATTGTTATTAGGTACGCATGCATATGCGCACTGACCAAAATTCCCACTAACCTGCGAAATGCGCTTGCTCTAAGCACGGAATTTACTGCTCAGTATTGTACATGGGGATTTTTCCCCAATGTAATTAGGCAGATAAACATGAAACTGGGCCCTGAAGTATTGTTGGACTTGCGTTCGGGCGCGGTTCATTATCAGACCCGTGTTTGAACTGAAGGTGGGATATCTCATATAGACGCAGTAATGTACAAGCATTATATTCACTGTGTGGACTTCAGAACAAAAGATGTCCACATTAACCAGGTTATCAGTGCCAGGTGGCGTTGTGTGGAATTGCTCACGTCCACACAATGTTTCCTCCTCTCTGGAAAACAGGTTTAGAGCAACCTCGTCCCCGGTGCTTACTTTATTTTCAACCACGTTTCCAATAGTAAGCCCTGGATAGGAAACTTTCTTCCTGTATCCTGATTCGACAACATACTTGGTGTTGTTATTTCAAATGTGCATTACGTGTTTTCACAATCATTGTAATTATAACATCCACGCCTTCTCAAAAATACTCCTTTCTTCAGTTCCAATTTGCTCATATTAATATGAAATGTGATACTACATATTGGCGGGATAAGATTGTAACATTTAAACTTGGAAAACATTCGTGTTTTCGTAACTCACAGCGCGACGAATTGCTGCTGTTTTTACCCCAGACACTGCATACAAAAACAAATGCTAATGTAACGCACATGCAGGCACCAGACTATTCCGCATTTGCATACGACTTGTTCAGAAATCTTGCACATATGCAAATGATCCAATACCAGGGTGAGAGAGCAGGTAGTGGTGGGCGCGTACTGCTAGACACCCTGGGGATGAGGTTGGGTTTAGAGACGTTGGGGGTTATCTGTTGCAAAATGAAGAGAAACACTAAAGGGAATCATATCAAAAAAATTGGGTCAAAAGAGTTTTCACAGTGTGATTAAAACAAGTTTTTTTACAGGTTTTTCTTAACTACACGAAAACAAAGAAATGTCCACACTAGTTATGTAATGTAAACATGTATGAAACTGTGTGTGTTTCACCAAAAACGATCAAGCACATTATATTGGGTTATATCTCAAGCCTTTACTTATCGACGAAGCATTTTTTATGTTCTAGTTTCAGTTCGTCTCGTTGATGGAAGCTCTTATAACGAGGGTCGTGTTGAGGTTTACCACGAAGGCGAGTGGGGTACAGTCTGCGATGATGATTGGGACCAGCGTGATGCCCTGGTCGTCTGTCGCATGCTTGGTTTTTATTATGGCGAATATGCCTTGGGCAATGCTCTCTTCGGCCAAGGATCAGGTCGGATCATGCTCGACAATGTGAACTGCCAAGGACATGAATCTAGCATAGATGAATGCCAACATCATGGCTGGTTAAGTCATAACTGTGGGCATAGCGAAGACGCTGGAGTTTATTGTGCCAGTAAGTTTATTGTTGGAATGTAATCATTTACGTGAACAAACAATACAAACAATAACATGAATAATCCATTATGTGATGGAGTCGGTTGTTCAGCTTAAAAATCTACCTACGTCTTTTTATATTAAACTTGTTTTAAATTCGTGTTTTATGATGCCATCGAGCTATTTTTTTTATTGCTGATTTGTACCTTTGTGATTTTACTGGGGGTGCATGTTGTCCCACCATTCTTGTATAGCTCTTTTCCCTGGTTATGGGGTGTGTGTTATAATGTATTGCCTGCCTATTCTTTTGTATTTTGCAAGTTTTAATCGCTTTTAGAATTATTTGTTTTTAATTTGGGCCACGATTTGAGACAAAAAACAAGAAATGAAATGAAATGAAAGTAAAAAGATTCAAGAAACAGTAACCATTGAAAGTGTGACATGTAAAAGGTGAGACAAGAAAGTAAACTGTCCATGGCAAAGTCAAGTTACTTGATTTTCCAACTTGCCCCTGACGTACCACCGCTATGATGTCTTGCTGTTACATTTTGGCATATCAGTTTTAAAGCAAACCTGCAAACTTGATGAGTTTGAAGATTTAATGTCTTTGCAGTTAGAGAAGCATTTTACACGTTTGCTGAACCGCAAACCCTTTGTCCGGAATTTCTAGTTACACTTTCCAATTTGATGCACACCACACAGCCACCTGTACTACGGATGTCTATTGCTCTTCAACACGGTCGATTTTGTTTTCCCCTCATGAATTATGAACTTTTTTTCTTTATTTTTCGACGAAAACTACTTTTCCTATTTCGGGCGTCTGAAACTCTCTGCAAAGGGTTTCATGGTGTTTTGGAGGGCATTGGCGTCAATCCAATTGCCATTTTGAAGCAATGTTATTAAGGTGTGCATTAATAAAGTGAGCAAGTATACTTAAGATGTACACCTGTATTATGACCAGTGAAGCAAATGTTAAACATTCCGTTAAATACATTTTGGCTGTTGAAAAGTTCAAAAAATAACCTCAAAATCCGCATTTTTTAAAATTTCTTACCACCCAAAAAAGGGGGAGATCCAATGTTCCATGCCCCGCTCAGAAATTGGGGAATATTATAGGACCACCACCACCATGCGATTATCAATACTGATAGGAGAGTCGGTATATCCAGCGAAACTTAATAATTGTCACGTTTGGAGGTGCGTTCGATGTGCGCTCTTATGTGTTATATAGAAACTCTTTTAAATACTCCTAATCAACGAAGCATTTTGTGATTTTTTGCTCTAGTCGGACTTCGTGTCTTTGACGGCGGATCTGTTAACGGGGGTCGAGTTGAGATTTACCATCAGGGCGAGTGGGGCACAATCTGCGATGATGGATGGGACATTAATGATGCTAATGTCATCTGTCGCATGGCTGGTTTCGCTTCGGCATCACATGCTTGGACCAATTCTCACTTCGGCCAAGGATGGCAGACACCGATCATGCTTGACGATGTTAACTGCCAAGGAAATGAATCTAGCATCTTTGAATGCCAACATAGTGGCTGGTTTAATCATGACTGTGGACCAAACCAGGAGGTTGGAGTTACTTGTAACACTGGTAAGTTTATTCTCGGAACAAATTAGATTAAGGTGACAATGGAACAAGCAGTTGCCGTTGAGGGCGCCCTGTTACAGTGAGGAGGGAAGGACAATGTCCATGAAACCATCAAGTTTACTGAATTTTCAACTTGTCCCAATTGTGCTGCTGCTATGTTTTCTGGCTCTGTATGTCGTGTCTGATTACAAGTTTTATAATCCAAATTCCAAAGAAAACCTCTTTGCTTTTTTTAAGTACTTTACCTATGCATGAGCATGGGTTTTTATTCTCTGTAACACGCCAGTACCTTAACGTCAAAAGTACTCGTATAACCATTCTTAGAATAACACCTTCAGAGCACTTTTTTTTGTATGAATACCTTTCACAGTTTATCCATTCCTGAAAGTCAGAACACGTAACCTATATAGTTGGTTTTAATTCACCGTCTTTGCCGATTCATGGAACAACCATACAATGAGTCTAAAAGATGTTATTAGAAAAGAACATGCAAACACCTTATGAATAACATGCAAAAAAGATTTTTACACTTATGAATAGCATGCAAACAAAAATCAGCTTAGTATACGTTTTGAGAAAACTTTAAAAATGCAGTCTCAGTTTTCTCGACGCAAAGTATTAAGGTTTCGTTGAAAACCCTCCCTTCCAAAATGTTTGTCAATACGTTTGACTTGCACACTCATCAGGTGACTTCTCCAGTTTTTCATTATAAAAAACAGTTCCGTATTCAAGGATACATAACCGATTAATCTCATTTTGATCAATTTGGGGAGTTAAAGTGATTGAGTGATTGGTTCCTATACCATCGTGAGGAAATAAAGGAAATTCCTCATTCCTCGAGAATTTTAATATATGTGTACTTAGCCACTTATAAATTCCTTATACTTTCAAATTAGGTAAACTAAAAATGCCAACACCTCACAAATAAAAGTACAACATTTCTTTGAAATGATTCAAAGGATGCAGATGAAGTCTGATGGGAATTACATCCATGTCCGCAGATATGAACATTTCTGTGACGTCAGCATGCGTTTTTCATCAAATTACAAGTAATTTAGGGGCCTATGTAATTTTTTTTATAACCTGTAACCGTGATCTGGGAATTGTTTTCATTCATTGTGTTGTCGTAGATATTGTATTCAGCGTGTTGTTTTGTGCTGGGGTTTTTTTCATAAGTATTCAAAAGAAAACTTGAAAATGTTCAGTGTGTTCCCGGTCCGATCACACAACATTTGTGTTTGACACAAACGTACAACCTGTAGGTAATGGCCGCCGTTTGGTTGATTTTGTTTTACAGAATGTAAAAGTTCGTCTCTGTGGCCATGCTATAACAACAGCAGATGTATTGAAGACTACCTAAGATGCAACGGATACTCAGACTGCTCACAAGGCGAAGATGAATACAACTGTGACGGTAACTATTCAAAGAATTAACGTGTTTATAATAGAACATGAAATATTGGGAGCCGGGAAACAACGTTCACTACTGTAATAAACACGACCTAATCATTTCTGATAATGGCGGAAATAGAACTAGCATCTAAGATCTCCCAACACGTCGCTGGCCTCGGAAGGTATGACGTAGGGGACAACTCAGTTTAAGTATCCACGTGACCATGACATGGGCACTCTGTCGTGTAACGTGAAATGTCCTATAATAGAGAAGTAATTAGGCATAGGACGATCATACTGCAGGTAAAGAGGCATCGTCACGGCATAACGCAACATCAGTTTTTCGGAATCACGTAGTCGCTGCCTGTTCTCGTAGACGTGTGTGAATATGTGGTCGGGTACCAGGTTACAGCCATGAGGTTGCTAACGCCAAAGCGTGCCGATTGTTAAGCAAAGCTAATCCGATTACGTACTTAGACGCTGTAACAGAGCAGTGAAATCCGTGAACCCCGAAAAACATGGCCTTTTGAACGTTGTGTTTCTCAGAAAATATGCTCAGTATGATTTAAATGATCAATTATAACGGAAGAAGAAATTCTAAACTTCGTGTCAGTGAAAAAAATCGCCGTCATCAATGCCGAAACGTCAATCCTTGTTACTGGTAAAGCCGACCTTCAAGTCTGGAAGAAATCGTTCGAAAACTTCCCCAAATCTATGTATTTATATCAATTTCTAGGAAGCTATGCAAGTTGTTATTTCACGAATAGTTGAACACTTATATTATCTAAATATATTCCGAATGTCAGCTTAATCTGTTGTTGCGAACGCTTGCGTTACACCTGAAAGTATCTCCATGGAAAAGTTCGACGAGGATTTTTTTCCGACCAAAGCCACGTTTATGGTTTTCCTATAGCACCGCAGGCGCTACGGTTGACCGATTTTGACCCGGCAACACCATGGACGATCACATATTAGCATATTAAGCGTCACTCGGCGTGACTTGGCGTGGGTCATCGATCAGTGGAAGCCGGCAAAAAGGGTGATATTTATTCATTAATAACTCGTGAAGGAGGCTTTTATGCAATTTTTACTGCAAACCATAATAGATAGGAACTTTATAAAAAAAAAAATCCAAAAAACAATATTCGTGAGTCGTGAAAAGATTGACAGATATTGCTAACGCCTGTGTTACAACTTTCGAGAATGCGCGTAACCAGGCCTATTTTTCCAACTTCAACGAAAAGTACTGAACATATCACAACGATTTTTGGCACATACTTGGATCATTACAAGGGAAATCAACCCTGAGCGTTGCAAGAAGATACGGTATTCCAAATGGGAATACGCCCGAATATATTCCAAATGGGATTTCGCCCGCCTGTTTGAACATGTCTGTGCACATGTAGTTTCATTCAAAATAAAGTGTTACATAACCTTTTAGAAATCGCCCTTCGCAACCACATGGCTGGTTAGGTTTTTACTCTTGCAATCCAAGTGGAGCAGCTTTCTCCTGGGGATATGAACCATATGGCAATGGTTAACATCGAAAATAGTGACCGAGTAACACTGTTGATGTTATCCTTTCTTTTCTTATACCACACCAAAGCTCTTTTTCTTAAAGTTATACTTTCCTTAAGTGCTTCATCTATGTTTTCTAATCATAAACACTTAAAACAGTTTATCCATTCATATAAGTCAGAGCATCGTGCTTGGCTGATTTTAAGTCGCCGATTTTTTTTCTTCCGAATCTGGGAACAATAGATACAATAGACACATTGCAAGATAGCATTGAAACCGAGGATCTGAGTGCTTAGGCATTGTATGAAATTGAGGACCCTTTTTGAGAATCCTCTCAACTGTATTCAAGACTACCAAAGATGCAACGGATACTCAGACTGCGAAGACGAATACAACTGTTTGGTAACTACTCACATCTGCAGATATTGAACTGTAACACAAACCGACTGTCCTTAAGACATTTACAAGAACTGTAGACTTAACTGTGTATTTCAATCGATCATTGATCACTATATTTATAGTAAACACCGTTGCTCCCACTGTAGACGTCAATCCACCCTCCCCCGTGGTGCGACTAGTGAATGGCGGCACCATCTATGAAGGCAGAGTGGAGGTGTTTGTCAACGGAGACTGGGGAACGGTGTGTGATGATACCTGGGCATGGGACATGAACGATGCTGAGGTCATCTGCAGACAGCTTGGCTATGGACCGGCCATTAGTGCCCAACCTAGCACTACGTATAGTCAGGGTGTTGGTCCTATTCACCTCAAAAATGTCCAATGCAACGGATCAGAAAGCTCTATTCTCGATTGCCCATCGGACAGCTGTGCCCCTGGTGATTGCAGCCATGACTATGATGTTGGTGTTGAATGTTCAGGTAATGCAAACTTATTCATCCAAACACCAAAAACTTTATATGAAAAAGTGGTTTAAATAAAACAGAAACTTGTCCTACATATATTTTGTACCCTAAAAGGTGTATGATCTTCACGTGCTGAAGTCGCATTAATATTGATGACTGAAATACAAGTGATCCACATGATTTGTTTAAAAAATATGTTGGATCCAAGGAGCGGGGGCCAACAAGGGTCATGGCCTCCAAAAAGTTGTTTTAGTATTATCCCTCACAAGCCACCAGCTATACATACCTTTTAGTGTTAATATTATTTCAATAGTATTATTACTATGTGGATATAGTGCACGATGCTATCAATATTATTTGTTCCCCTTTAAAAAAAGAAAATCAAGCCCCCTTGAAAATTGTGGATCCGCAATGTATGTCCTTCGACAAACTGACGTGTCTTCTATTGCTCTCCAAAGAAATATTTTTTTGTGAACGATTTGATTAGTTGTTTTATTTTAATGAAAGCTTTCTTTTTTTTGGCAACTTTGCAATTTTTGTGTACGAAACTTTCTGTTTTCTATTGTGTTTTTGGTGTTGTAAGCGCGATAAGAGGAGCGCTATGCGATTAGACTGGTTCTCGGTCTATACATTGATCGATACTGATAGGGGAGAGTGTATCCTGCAACAATTGAATTATTGACGCATTAGGACTGGCATTCAGGCACTGTTTATCACATCGCCCATTGGTGAATGGGCAATGTGACATCCAATAAACGCAGTCATAACACTGTGTTTCAACTTGAAAAAGTCAAGCACGTTATAGTGAGGTTATATCAAAAGCCTTTGTAGGCCTACACCTTATCCATGAAGCAATTCTTTTTTCTGTTACTTTAGTTCCAGTTCGTCTCGTTAGTGGAGCATCTTTTAACGAGGGTCGAGTTGAGGTTTACCACGAAGGCGAGTGGGGTACAGTCTGCGATGATGGATGGGACCAGAATAGTGCTGAGGTCGTCTGTCGCATGCTTGGTTTCCATTCGGCATCCAATGCTTGGAGTAATGCTCACTTCGGGCAAGGATCAGGTCGGATCATGCTCAACCATGTGTACTGCCGAGGACATGAATCAAGCCTTGACGATTGCAGTCACCCTGGCTGGTTTAGTCATAACTGTGGGCATGGGGATGACGCCGGAGTTACTTGCTTCAGTAAGTTTATCCTCTGAACATAATCAACTTGAAAACTGAATAAACAGAGTTCTGTACTAACGATGAGGCAGGAAAGTAAGATGTCAAAAGGTCAAGGTTTGCACACTTGCCCTAACGTGCCGCCGCTATATTGTCTTCCTCTTACGTCCTGTCCGGCTATGAGTTTTAACCAACATTGCAAAGAAAAGTCTTTGTTATTTTCCAACAACTTAAAAAAAATACAAATTGCATGATTCTTTAAATTTATACCCTCGCCACGGAACCACACTTCTGTGGCTGCCATTTGCTCTACAAAAAAAGTCGAGTTTGTTTTCTCCTGACGAATTTTCATTTTTTTTATGTTGATGAAAACTATTTGTTTTTTCATGATTTTGTGGTTTTGCGCTCGTTAACAGGAGTTAGAGCCATAAGAGTAAACTGGTTCCTGGCCCATACATTACATGTACCAAAACTTGACCCAATTTCACGGCTCTGCTAACCACGGAATTCCGTGCTTACGATCACCACAGAAACATAAGAGAAGTAATTAGGCATAGGACAATCATACTGCAGGTAAAGAGGCATTGTCACAGTGTAAAGCAAGGGAGGTGCTTGGCCCTCCACCCCAAAAAAAGCAAAAAAAAGGAAGGAAAAAAAAGAGAGAAAAGAAAAGAAAAAGAGGCGCAAAGTCTTATCAAATTCTTATCTTACTCGGTCTCCCTGACCACGAGCTTCTGCCTCAACATACACTTGTTTGTTGCTTTAGAGAAGGATATCTTCCCTTAAGGAATGAACTAGATCAGGATACTTCCAACTGGATCGGGTTCGGGTTACTTTACCCTTTTTTTTCCCAGTCGGTAGCAGTCTGACATATGGTGGCCCATTATCAAACTTTGACATGCAGCAAAGGAATTCAGATGGAAAGGCTTTCTACTTCCCTCCAGTCTCTGAAGACAGGTTGGTTTGCTGCTTCCATCAATCATTGGGATACTAATGTCCTTGTACAGTACCCATACGTGGATCATCAGAGGTTGGAGTTCCGCATACCTACAGGGTTTCGCTACAGACCTTTTGGATTTTCACAGCTCCTTTGGGTCTTTATAAAAATCACTGTTGTGGCAACATTTCTTTTTACAGTGAAACAGATCAATTTACTCTTGTGCTTAGATGATAGGCTATAACACACCTTACATGTATCTCCAGTATAGCATTTAACAGTCTGCCTAACTCGCACTTGATGTTGTTTATCTTCAGTATCAAGCTCCTTCACGACAGCTGACCTACCTTGAAACATTTTCCAACTTTGTTTCAGGCATTACTGGGGAACGTTAGACACAACGTGATGGCATCAGAACCTTCTGGCATCTTGATGATAGACCTAGTTCCCTGGTGCATGACACACAGGCGCTCTGTGCAGCCTTTCCTTTGTCTACACTAAGAGTCATCTCCAAAGGGATTCCAGTTACCCATCTTAGCTATGACCTACTGCACTGATGGTCTTTTCAGGATAATGTACCGGGTAACTACATCTTCTACCATCGCAATGGGTACCTCGGACAGGGTTTGAGATTCCATCTGGATGGTCATTTAGTACCAAGCACTTGGCCAACTAAAGAGAGCCAGTTGCGTTCCTTCAACCAGAGCTATTGACAGTGCTCAAGGCCTTGCATTTGCTCATATCCAAAGTCCTAATCAAGCTTGTCTTGGCCCAGACGGACAATTCCACAGTTCAGATGTAGTGTACTACATGCTTTGTCCGGGGAACTCACTATTTCTTCCTGCCTGTCTACTTCAGCGCCACCCAGTTGGCTGTTCCTTCTAACGTTCCACCTGGCGAGAAAGAAGGTATTGAATTCACGCCAACAGAATGATTTCTTCTCCCATCAGTATTCAGATAAAGGTCCTCAACATTCTCAGTATGCTACCGGTACTTGCACCTACCTACATGTATTTGCATCCCTTCCAGGCTACCAGCTTCCAATTCCAGCCTTTCACCAAGTTTATACTCATCCTATGGTCCTCTGGTCTAGAAGAATCTTTCAGCTTCAACGCGAGCGACAGGAATTCATGCATTTGATAGACAGAGTTATGGAAATAATTGTAGCTTTCATACATGTAGCTCTTTGGTCTCACACCTTGGTCTCACAACAATAATTCTACACGCAGACACAGCTACATGTACTCTCCATCTTTGTGCCTGGATGCTTTCATTATCTGAAAGCTACAGTCTTTACAGTCGGAAGCAAGTTGATTCCCCATGGGGTATGATAGTAGCTGCCAATCCCCGATCTGCATCTGCACCTTCATTTGGGATTTCGCTGACAATCTTTCACACCAGTTTCAGATATGTCCAGGGTTACCGATGAGCCATAATTGTAGTCCTCTATCAGGGTTCCAATGATAGATCTACAGTTTCCTCAAAATCACTCTGATGCACGGCAGGTTTATCTGTTGACCTCCTACTGTGAAGTACCGGTAGATAGGCCTACCATCTTTGGATCCAAGTGCCGTCCTTGGGTCACTTGCCTAAGCCCCATTTGGAACCAGCAGGTACATTGAGGCTCTCCTTTCTGTCAGGTTGCGAAACCCATATTCTTACTGGCTGCTGCAGTAGCTTGCCTTAAGAAGGGAATTTCACTAATTTTCCAGGTCATAGCCATTGGCACATGACCGCATTTACTTTATTCCATAGGTGAAGTTTAACACATGGAATAAATCAACTTATTTGCAGACCAGATATTTCCGGCCAAGTTGACATCCTCTTCATTAGTAGCAGAGGATATGGTGGTGCCCCATGCGAGCTCTGCAGAACTACAATGCTCGCACTGAGCCTTCAAGAGGCTTCATCAAGCAAATGCTCGTACAGTCATCTAGCATCATCTTCAAGCCTCTGTGACCATGATCGCTCGATTGTCGGTGTCACCATAGAGTGCACTCCCGAAATCGAGGATCAAAATCTCAAGCTCAGGAAACACCCAGTGTGACAACTTCCTGAACTCAACTGCTTGGAGCTTCCTTTTCAGATACAGGGAACAGGACTCTCTTTTTCAGGTATCAGAAAAGCGGACTGCTGGAAGAACCCTTACACTGTCGCACCTTGCTTATAGCTGTTGTGCATGCAGAGGGTTGCATTAGCAGAAATTTTCCAGGAAACTGCACAATCAGCAGCCAGTAAAGTCCGCAAAGCTCCTTTAGAATAGATAGGCAGCACCTGGGCATGTCTAAGCAACCTTTTCATGCCATTTAGAATTGCATGTAGGCCTAGTTTAGACTTTGCCGTTGCTGCTACAGTACATGTCCCTTCCCTCCCTAGAGTCTTTCGGTGCTACTCTGCAAATGTAGGTAAACAGAGGTGAGATGTTTTCTGTAATGGAATTCCTAAAATCCAAAGGGATTTTCCATTCTAGTAAGAAAACACTCGCCTCTGTTTACCATCCCTCCCAATTGAAAACAAAAACAAAAACAAAAAAAACCAGGAGGAGTCTTTGTGTAACAGGGCTATTTAAGGGACATGTAGTGGGAGCGGAGGGTGAGGCTTGGGCGCTATTCTTTTCAGCGAATGTTTGTGCGCATGCGCGCTGATATGCAAATGTAGGTAAACAGAGGTGAGTGTTTTCTTACTAGAATGGAAAATCCCTTTGGATTTTAGGAAATTTAACAGGTAATGGTGGGTAGCAAAATGTCCCTGCCCCCTTCTAAAACTGATAAATCGAGAATATGTTGAAAAATGCAGGCATTTTTCGGAAAAAAATCCTGGCGACGCCCATGCACTCAGTTTTTGACAGTCGTCATAGACACGTGTAAATATGTGGTCAGGTCTGCAAGCTTAGGTCTACTCTTCCAGTCCAAAAGTGGGGCAGCTTTCTCTTGGGGATATGAACCATATGGCAACGATTGACATCGAAAATAATAAACGGCGAGTAAAACTATTGATGTTTATCCTTTCTCTTCTTACCACACCAAAGCTCTGCACCCTAATACTGACAGTCCATTCGACCACACCACTGAACCACCCTACTACGGCTGCAGATCATATGAGTGGCGATGCTACTACAACGGTCAGTGTATTCAAGACTACCAAAGATGCAACGGATACTCAGACTGCTACTATGGCGAAGATGAATACAACTGTTATGGTAAATATTCATGACAACAGTTTGTTAAACTTCAGTCAAAAGACATCCTTAATCTTTACTGTCTTTCAAACCACTCTTTTTCAGATTCTACCAGTGAACCATCCTACCTCAGCTGCAGATCATATGAGTGGCAATGCTACTGCATTGGCCAATGTATTCAAGACTACCAAAGATACAACAGATTCTCAGACTGCTACTATGGGATTTCTTAAAACATTTACAAGAACTATTGACTTTACTACGTACATGTATTTCAATTGTTTCTTTTCCATTCACCATAGGAAACACCGTTGCTCCCACTGTAGGCGTCAATCCACCCTCCTCCGTGGTGCGACTAGTGAATGGATTCAAACAGTTTGAAGGCAGAGTGGAGGTGTTTGTCGACGGTTCCTGGGGAACGGTGTGTGATGATGGCTGGGACATACGTGATGCTGAGGTCATCTGCAGGCAGCTTGGCTACGGACCAGCCATTTTTGCCATAGGTAAAGCATTATATGGTCAGGGCGTTGGACCTATTCACCTTAGACATCTCCGCTGTGAAGGTTGGGAAAGCTCGCTTCTTGACTGTACATCGGATGCCTTTCCCCCTGGAAATTGCAGCCACAGCGAAGATGCTGCTGTTTTATGCTCAGGTAATACACAGACTTGTTCTTCCAATTACCGCCAAAAAGTAAAAGAAACATTGGCAATGAAAAAGCAATTGATATCGTAAGTGTCGTTCGCTATGTACTGTGAAGACAATCTAATAATTCCTGATGATGGTGAAAAGGCCTATTAAGAGCCTGAGATCTCTTAGCACGCCGCTTCCCATGCCGTACGTACGAATACATTGAAATATTCACGTGACTATGATACGGGCACCCCATGCCGTGGCGTAAAATGTGTTGGAAATGTAATGATCAGAACAAAGAATTATCAGTTCCATACTTTTCACCCTCCTTTAAGTTTAGTTAAAAATTGATTGCCATTTATAATTTCAGGTATGTATTATTACTTTGTTTTGATATGCTAATTTAACTTGATTTATATCTGGAAAGTATGTGAATATAATTATGTTTCTATTGAAACGAATGTTGATTTTACTTTACAGGCTGTAGTTCATATCAGTGGCGATGCTACCATAACGATCAATGTATTCAAGACTACCAAAGATGCAACGGATACTCTGACTGCTACTATGGCGAAGATGAACACAACTGTTACAACGGTAACTATTACGACATGCGGTGTTTTAAAAATGGACCATAAAAAGTTTTTGCTTTAATTGTTTTAAATTCACACTTGAATTCCAGAATACACAATGGCACCACCACCTGCCTGCAATGACTATGAGTGGTTATGCCATTCCAGTCATCAATGTATTCCCCACGACCAAAGATGCAACGAAAACCCAGACTGTGACTATGGCGAGGATGAATCAGACTGTAATGGTAAATATCACAAGAAAGATAACTTTTATTTTCTTAAACACAAGATTACTTAAATTTCAGAATGCTTTGTATACTTTTTTCCCTCAAAGGTTTACTTTCTTTAAGTGCTATATTATTATTATCGTTTTCATAAATACTTTTGACGATTTAGAGCATGTTAATTGGCTGAATTTAAGTCACCGTTTTTCCTTACTATACAATAAAGCTAAAGCATGTTATTGATATTTCAGCTCGGTAGATACAGTACGTTTGAGAAACTTTGACAGTGCAGTAATATTTCTGGACGCCGAGGTTTTCATTGAAAGGCCTCCCTTCCAAAATGTTGGTTAATTAGCTTTGACTGATACCCTCTTGTGTTTTATATGCACACTTTACTTCCAGACTTCTCAACTGAACCACCTGCTTGCACTGACTATGAGTGGCGATGCTATTCCAATGGCGAGTGTCTTCCCCAGTACCAAGTATGTAACGGATACTCTGACTGCTACTACGGCGAGGATGAATCCAACTGCAATGGTAAATATTCATAGAGAAACATAACTTTTATTATCTTTAACATCCCATTTCTTAACGTTGAAAGTTTGTCTATAACTTTTTCCTCAAAGTTATACTTTCTTTAAATGCTTCATTCTTTGGACAGTTTATCAATTCTTATAAGTCAGAGCATCGTGCTTGGCTGATTTTAAGTCGCCGCTTTTTTTTCCTTCCGAATTTGGGACAACAGATACAATAGACAAATTGCAAGTTAGCATTGAAACCGAGGTTCTGAGTGCTAAGGCATGTATAAATAAGTACCTTTTGTTTAATCCTCTCAACAAAAGAGAGCACGATTTGAATTTCCTCTATTAAGCTAAGACAGATTAACAAACATTATTAGCTGTTGAAATTTCAGCTCAGTACACGAGATATACTTTTTGAAATAAACTGTTAAAATGTATTATCATTTTGTTCCAGCTTGACGCAAAGTAAGGTTTTGTTTAATATTGGCCTCCCTTCATTAATACGTTACGTTTTGACTTCACTCTGTTGTGTCGTATTCCACAGCAGTTTAATTGAGGAAATCAATTCCGTTTTAACGGATATCTATATAACCGACTGCAAACTAAGCTAAATTCGATCAATTTGAAACAAAGTGAAATCTGATGCAAACATGAATCTTTACATCTCATATAAAGAGGCATCGCCACTTCGTACATAACTTCCAATAAGATTTCAGAATCATTCAGCCGCTTCCTGTCCTCTTATCCACGTGTGAATATGTGGTCAGGTCACCAGTTTAGGTCTCATGCACATCTGCAAGTAGTTCATCAATCCATACAAATGTTTGTATTTGTTTCGATTTCGGGTGTTTTTCAGACATTTTCCACTGTGCTGACGGTGACGAAATCCCCATGAGGTATACCTGCGATCGCATCATTGACTGCCTCTATGGGGAAGATGAGTGGCAGAACTGCTACGGTACAATAGTTATACCTAGCTTACCTATATACACATGCTTCTGTGTAGACATTTGTATCACGAGATAAAGGTCGAAGTAAAATCCATCTTTGGATTTGTGGTTAGAAATTGCCAGTTACTGCTCGTAGGTATCTTGTTCACAACAGTAATCAGGTTCATTTCCCACATAGGTCAGGAAAACCACGACGAAACATTGTATATGATTGTATTATTCTGTCTTGCAGTGACCATTCAACAAGCCCGCAGGATAACTCCAGTGGGGTTTTTTTATGCTAAAAAAGCAAAACAAAAGGATGGGGTTGATTGACATTCAACTAACAATTGGAGAGGCAATGACAAACCTGATGCATGCTTACAGCGTAAGATGGCTCTGTAATGTCGGAACATTTTGATATAAAGCAGTACATCCAAAATCTGCTATTTAAGCTAGGCCTACTTCTTGCCATAAAACAATGCAACAATTTGAAATGTTGGTATTTAATTATGATTCTGATTGCTAGATAATGAGGTCAAGAGGGACAACATTGAGTCGTATCCGCGACGGGTACAGCTTTTGTCAAAAGGGCAGAAGACTGATGACCACGACCAGTAGACGTATCAAGGTGAGCTGATCCTTGATTCTGCTGGCACAATATTGAGGGCGCTGTGGCACAAAATGGAGGGACTCGCACACTGATTTCACACTTTCAAAACTTGTCCTAACCAAAGCGGCCAGATAATGGACATTCGCCTGAGCTAACCCTAACCCCCATAATTAATTTGGGGTGAAGTATAGTACTGTATAGACAATATTGCGTCTCTTTGTGAAATCTTGAAAGGCAAAACTTGAAGAGAGCAGAACGTTTAATTTCTGATGACAAGCAGAAGTTGATGTTGTGCTTTGTTCTTAGTTGATGACAGACACTACCACAGTACCTCTCCAACACCGGCTACACATGCGCCTATACTATGCACATATTTGGGGTACCAAATGTTACATATTACAATAATGTACATGTACACTATAATGCATACAGAGTACTGCGTGGAGCCAGTGGCGCACCTATAGGATTTGGCTTGGGGGGTGGGGGGCTCACAATTTGTGATTTTGTTTTTGTTTTCATTGTTTTTTAGAAGTTTGAATTTTTTCGAATTCATGAGTTGCCCAAAATTTTGGCCGCAGATTATTTTTCTTTTTTTGGGAGGGGGTGGACTATTTTGACCTTGGTGGCATCATTTACACCCCTATTATACTACTCCAAAATAGGCCACACACATATCACCATGATCAAATCGTGGTAATTAAAAAAATTTAACGAAAAAAAAGTGGGTGCGCCACCATGGGCGTCGCCAGGATTTTTTCTAGAGGGGGCAAAAAAAATTTTTGCCCAAAAATGCTTGTATTTCTCAACACATTCTCGAATTATCAGTTTTAGAGGGGGGCAGGGACATTTTGCCCCCCCCCCCCCCCAACTCATTAAATTTACACCACTTTGTCTTCGCGCCTCTTTTTCTTTTCTTTTCTTTTCTTTTTTTTCGTCTTTTTTTTTTTTTTTTTTTTTTTGCTTTTCGAGGGGGGGGGCAAGTGCCCCCCTTGCCCCCCCCTCGCGACGCCCATGTGCGCCACGGCATGGTACACATTACAAATTACGACTGTTCTTCTTTAGCTTTTTGGTCAGGTTAGTTCTTAGAAAGTATTGTACATAGAACAACCGGTTTCATGTTTCTAATAATCAACGGTGAATCCAGGGGGCCAATAGGGGCCATGCCCCCCCCCCCCCCCCAACCAAAAAAACGAACCCAATTATTTTTTTAAGTGACGTCGAAAAAAAGCAGCTACTGCGTACAACACCATCTTTTTCTAAAGTGGTCAGAACTTGCCTCAGATCGCACTACAGAGCATAGAATTAAAAATATTTCCACCCAACGCTGTAAATGTTTCATTAATTTTTTTGGAGGGGGACAATTTCTTTTGCCCTACCCTCCCCCCAAAAGTTGCGTTCTGAATCCGCCCTTGTTAATAATGAGCCCTTTAGGAATGCATATTCTGGGCATCTATCCGGCATGACATGCTACGGTCTTTCTTAGTTTCAGAAGCACACAAATACGACTTTAAAACAAGTTTTGCAGTTGTACCCAGGACAAACTCTGTGCTTCAAATAAAGATTTCATTGCTTTTATAATTTTTGAATCGTCAAGAAACGTAAATCAAAATGCGCAACTAAGAAATTATGTTTCAAGTTTTCTTCAGACATTAATCTCTTGTTATGCATGTCCATGCATTTTGTAAGTTCGTCTTAAATTCTTGATTCGTTGCAGGAAACAGCCGTCGTCTTGAACTGAAACCAGAAATGGAATTGACTATGGCACACCAAATTCTGATCTCCATTTGAATTTTTGTAGAATTCGTTTTGGTTTTTTGATTTTCATTTTGTTCCTGTTTTCATTTTCGTTTTTGTTCTTTTAACGTTTTTGTTCCAAGTTTATTGAACACTATATTCAGGGTGAGTCCAAAAGAAAGCAAGCGCGGATCACCTCTGTCCAAAAATGGGTTTTCCATAGAAATTCATAAAAAAAAGACGCGAACACTCCCCCCCCCCCCCCCCCCCTGACACCCCAAAATGTTTTACTGGTAATAATGTCCGCCTTGGCATAAAATACGGACAGAACCAGCTTGGTTAGGGGGCATATGTGCACTATTATATTGTGAAGCTTTCACTTAATTCACAGAATCCCAAGCTATGTCATGTAAATACAAACATCACAAAATCAGCTGTCTACTGCAGTTCAGTAGCCATTCCTATACGCATGATGAGGACCTTTCAAATACCGTTGAAACAACTTATTTACCTCCATGAATGAACGGAAATTCACACAGGAAAACAGACAAAATTCACCATCATTATTTCAGAAAAAAATCCAAAAATCCATTGGAAACACAAAAGCCAACAGTTAATATAACGTTTCAGTCTTGACTCAAAAGTATTTAATCTCGTTTGTATTTGAATGCCTGTGTGTAATAATCTGGTTCGAACTCGGCTCAATAGCTTCAAATGGCAATTCGAGGTTAGCTGAAAAATTAGTTCTTTCAGTAAAATATGCATAACTCCTAAGTTTTGCATTGATCAATTTCAGTATTTTTCTCCATTGAGTACACGAACATGCTCATTTAATAAATGCTTTATTGGGGTGTCAAATATAACAGCTTTTTAAGGGGGAAATATTAATATATGTAATGCGCTTTTTGACTCGTCCTGTAGGCCTTATGTAATACGAATTGTGAGATTTTCATTCCGTTTTTTTCCCTATTTTCATTTTCGTTTTTGTTCCTTTAAGCATTATGTTCCAAATTTTCGTTAACCAAGAATATTTACTTATTTGATCTGTGAAGAAATGTGTGTAAACTTGAGAAATATTGTGCAATCATACGGACACTTTTTTTCCAAAGCCTTTTTCTATGGAAAAGAGTTTGCGCTGGACGGAACCCTTTTTCATAGAACCATCGGGCTGTCAAAACGAGAATCAAATCAAATAGTGTCCCATCTCTACAAATGTGTAAACATTGCATTCATTTCATGATTTCCCTAGTAACAGTGTCGGGGTGAATGAGAACAGGTACTTTAATGTCTTTGTCTACAGCAAAGTTGGATATTATGTCACGGTATCAAAAAGGCACATAATAATGTACTTACGTTTTTATCAAACTTAGTACCTTAATACGTGTGTTTTGTTTTACCACACACCTCCGCGTATGTTAGTGGTGCTGTAATCTTCTGTGCCCAAAGTTCACTCCAAATTATTGGCAAACATACAAACTTCCGGGGAAACCATTCAGAAACGCTTGAAGCCATCATTTCGAAATGGTTAAATGAAAATAATTCCATCCAACATGAAGACTCATTAGATTTATACTGATTAGTCTGTTTTACGAGAAATACTAGTTTTACCGGCTTCCAGACTATTGTTGTGAAGATTTTGCCTTTTTATGCCAAAATATTGTATTGAAATTTGGAATGCATAGAAGAATTCGGTGATTGAAACATTCGTAAGAGTCACCGGCAGTTGTAACTCACTACCCAATGCGAGTTGTCATCTTCCCTGTGCAAAGACTAAGGCGTAAGTTAACATACTTCACCTTAGCTTGCGATTTCAATTTCTGTTCATTTTTTAAGTGGTAAAAATACCTAGCTGCACAAATCAGAGTTTATTTCCCGGTCGTTTTGAATGCGAGAAACATTGTTTGAATTCCATCTTGGCATTCCAGCCAAAAATGCCGTGGGAAATGTCATCCCTTCAAAATGACAGATCTTGAACCGACTGAGCAGCGATCATTTGGATCAATTGTCTCTGAAAAACACAACAATTTGAGAAACACACGAAAACGGTTTGCAACGCATTTTGTCATTTCAAATAAGTTTATATTCTTAATTTTTTTCTTTATTGTTTCGTTTTCTCCATTTCAGTAATTTCTCTGATATTTACTTTGGTAGAATTAAAACAATTAGATTGAAGTGCAATGCCAAGTTGTCCGAGTGAGTAAATTCATTTTGTTCGTTTTAATGGGTGGTTTTCTCCCAAGGCTTCTGGTGGTTTTACCTCTATCGGTTAAAGTACCTCTGCTGCAGATAAATAGCCTTTTGATTCTGACAATAAAAAAAGAAACTAAACAGTCTCAACAAATGCGTGGAACACTCTCAAAGTATGCAATTTAAAATCATGTAAGCTTTTACTTCCTCACAATGGAAAACGGACTCGGTGCAGGCAAGGGGGTCTACCCCACCCCAGCCACAAATAGGAAAACCTGCAAAAAAATAGCACATGGCTGTTAGCCACCACCACTCCGGCTACCCCCCCCCCCCCCCACCAGTCTAAGCTGGATCCGCCCCTGCTTTTACATTCCCTACGAAATTAGGTAGGTTTTCCTGTCTGATGAAGCAGCAAGGCGTAGCGGGAATTTATGACTCCTTGAAATAATACGGACTCATTGGTAGTATTGCGCATGCGTAACTATGATAATTAGGAGAGTGACTAATCACGTGAGCGGGTTTAACCAATAATTGGGATAAGGAGTCTTGCTTTCATTATGACACCAACGTTAACCGGTACTCGCAGCTGCAAATTCAAAAGGGATGGGGTACTGGGCTAGCAGCTGACACATGAGGGCGCTCTTCGGTGGCGCGAAAACTGGGCAGAAACTGTCACCGTTGGGTGATTTTTATTCTAAATCGTCCAGAGTTGCTGACTCGAGTCATGTGACTTGGACTCGAGTCGGACTCGAGTCGCTATTTTTGTGACTTGTGACTTGACTTGTAAATACCAGCTTTGACTTGTGACTTGACTTGGACTTGCAAACAATGACTTGTGACTTGACTTGGGATTGCAAAAAATGACTTGTTACCAACCCAAGTCGGACGCTACTCGAGCGACTCAATACACTTTAATTAAGCTATTATACTTTTAATTAGCTTTTTCATTCCAGAAAATAGACCTCAGTGACTGAATCCAGTAAAATGAATAGTTCCCACTAGTTTCAAAAGTTTTCAATAAGACTGTCACAACAAACTACAGTTTTCAATGACCAATTGTCTCTTGCTTAATGTATTGGTTGAACAAACTTTGAAAGGAACCTTTCATGAAAAGAAAGCAGGCCTTTGTCAATTGCATGTAAAATACCGGATAGCCTAACCCATTGGTAGGCGTTTAGTATACATGAAAATTGAACAATAAAGTGTTAGTATACTACATGTAATCGAGTGAGTGGAGTCTTTTTTTCACGGTCATCTCAACATTTATTTCTACAATGTAAAGTAAATTTATTAAAGTATACAAAGGGCTAATATCCGACAGATATGTGATAAACTACAAGAATAGTAATTGCAACACATTGAAAAAGGGGAATTAAGGAGGCATGTTCAAAATAACTCGTAAGTTGACGCCAGGTTAATTCTTTTAGCTTTTACAGCTGGACAAAATAATGTGCAACTTGACGTGTTCTTGGACAAAGATACTTGTGACTTGACTTGTGTTTAGACCAAATGACTTGTGACTTGACTTGTGACTGGACCTAATGACTTGTGACTTGACTTGTGACTGGACCTAATGACTTGTGACTTGACTTGTGACTGGACCTAATGACTTGTGACTTGACTTGGACTTGCAAACAATGACTTGTGACTTGACTTGGACTTGCAAAAAATGACTTGCTGCCACCTCTGAAATCGTCTAGTCATTTCTTTTACTCTTTGAAATTGTGAAAGTGTAATCTCAAGAGTGAAACACTGGACACTTAAAATTAATTCTATTTATAAGGATTTAGCGTACCTCACAAGTCCTAAAGTGGAACTTTTTATAAGGGAACGCGGAGCGCGAAGCTATAGCAGCTAGCGTGGGGTCCAGGGCCCGCTTAAATAGGGCCCCGGGATATTTGTGGATTCTAAATGCTCTGTGAATGAATGAATCGTCACTGAGAATCACTCGGATGGGACTCGAACAGTGCAGACGTCTTTACCACTCGACCACCGAGCTTGACGGGATCGGCTGGCTGGGTCGAATCTGATGTAGCATGAATATTCATAAGACGGAATTTGTGTCGGGGTGATGTCAATCAATATTAGATGTTGCCCTTCACCGACGTATAAACACTGTAGACTGTTACCCCCGAGTGAAAGTTAGAAAACATCACTCGTTGGGACTCGAACCCACGCCCTACTGCTTTCTAGTGCACTGACGTCTTACCACTCGACCACCAAGCTAACGGCCGAAGCGGTTGGCGCGCTGGTTGACCACCAAGCTAACGGCTGAAGCGGTTGGCTGGTTCATAGCTGATTTACTGACGTCTTACCACTCGACCACCAAGCTAACGGCCGGAGCGGTTGGCTGGTTGACCACCAAGCTAACGACCGGAGCGGTTGGCTGGTTCATAGCTGATTTACTGACGTCTTACCACTCGACCACCAAGCTAACGGCCGGAGCGGTTGGCTGGTTGACCACCAAGCCAACGACCGGAGCGGTTGGCTGGTTGACCACCAAGCTAACGACCGGAGCGGTTGGCTGGTTCATAGCTGATTTACTGACGTCTTACCACTCGACCACCAAGCTAACGGCCGGAGCGGTTGGCTGGTTGACCACCAAGCTAACGACCGGAGCGGTTGGCTGGTTCATAGCTGATTTACTGACGTCTTACCACTCGACGACCGAGCTAACGGCCGGAGCGGTTGGCTGGTTGACCACCAAGCTAACGGCCGGAGCGGTTGGCTGGTTCATAGCTGATTTACTGACGTCTTACCACTCGACCACCGAGCTAACGGCCGGAGCGGTTGGCTGGTTGACCACCGAGCTAACGGCCGGAGCGGTTGGCTGGTTCATAGCTGATTCATGGCACAGAGTGTGCCCCCAAAAAGTGCAACATTCAGAAAACAAATAATCATTAACTGTTTATGTTTTTTTCTTCAATGAAATTATATATTACATTAAAGCCTGAATAGTTCTCAATCCAATGCTTATACCCCATTCCATTTGGGTCCCTAGACCCTGAAATACAATCAATTAAATTTTATTTGGGCCGCTCCCACATGTAATGGCACCAACTTTAATACCTATTCAATACTTAACCAAATCCCACCTTATTATGTCTTCCTAGTACGACTCCTCGGAATATCAGTTCTGTCTGTAATTTTGTAAGTTTTTTCTTCAATGAAATTATATATCCTCAATCCACTCCTGTTTACCCCCATTCCATTTGGATCCCTAGATCCAGAAATACAATCAATGAAGTGAAAGGTGTATTTCTTGGGCCACTCTGTCTCACCCGTGATGTCACTTTTGCAACTTTAATGCCTATTCAATGCTTAACCCAGATTCAGCATGTCCAGGTGAGAGTGGCCCTAGTAAAATGTACTCCCTTCCTCTTAACCCTAAAAGGGCCAGGATGCGGAATCCCCCCCCCCCCTCGACTTTCTCCGCGATGGCCTTTTAAAAAAAAATTCGCTACCCGAGCTGTTATGACTTTTTAGCCTCGAGCCTTGCGCATCTTTTGACACCAAAAATATAATAATAATGGGTTTTTTTTTGGGGGGGGGGACATAACCCCCTTTGCCCCCCCCCCCCCCCATCCACCTTTGACCTGAAGTGCCATGGTGGCTACAATCTCGATAAAACGTTAAAATATTTGTGATTATTTTTGGTGATGAGATACATGTATACCTTTAGTCCTAATGCAGTCTTGGACAATAATTCATTAATCCTAAATATATAGCACGATAACATTCTTGTAATTGCGCTACTCGGGGCGTGGCCTGAACATGGTCACATCCCAAGCTTTAAATAAATAGATAACAGAACATTATCAAAATGTGTATTTTTGAATGAGGTCGCCCCATTAGAATGAATTAAGTTCATGCGGATGAGCGAAGCGAATTAAAGGAGCATGTCTTAATAACCCCATTTGCTCTTTCGTAATTATTACTTCCAGGAAGACCGACAAAAATGCAGTAATGTGTGCACAAAATATTCAGAAATTAAACACTAAGTAAACAATTAACAAATACGACTTTTTTAAAAGAAGATGTGCCATTGGAATTACGACTAGCACACCAAACTCTCGATTTTTGAGGATCTAAGTGACACCGAAATTCTTTCTTGGATATCACAAAATGGCCAACTTTTATGGTATATGGTTGTGTGCAGTATATATCCAATTTTTAAATGTTTTAATTCCAACTAATAATTTCGTGAAACAACCGGGGCAAGGCTAGGGAGAGGACGGCGCGCCCACCCCCCTGCCCCCGGTGTAAAGACAATCTCCCCCCCCCCCCGTGTAAAAGTCGATCCCCCCCCAAAAAAAAAAAGGGGGAGGGGGAAAGAAAAAGGAAAGCGAATATAGGAGAGATTCGAAATAAAGATTTTACTGTTCATGAATTAGCAGTATAATAGCATGATAATAGGAACTGAACCCTCAGCTTGAACTTGAAGGGTGCAGACCAGTAAATCGGTCCGAAATTGCCTGCGCCGGCCAAATCACGATTTGCATGCCCTCAAAATCTTCGGTATTTGGGCATGCTGTGGGCCATGAACTTGAGGGTTTGTAAAAAATATGGGTGGAAGCCGTGCACAGGACTGGGAGCTTGCAGTTCTGTGTAATTTTGATGTAATTTGGACCCTAAGGCCAAAAAAAAAAAGTCTCCGGTTTCTGGTATGGAGCTTGTCCAAAAAGTGGTGCGGCGACGCGGCTTTTTTTTTTTTTTACTCGACTTTTTTGCTTCAAATTTGCTTCAAATGTCGGCTGATGACTGCAAATGGTGCCCGACTAAACTTAGTGCAAATATATAGGAGTCCAGAGAGGCCACATAAAGCTTATTCTCGATCATAACCCCATCTAAAAAGACGTTGAAATTGCGCAGCAGCAGAATTCCAGTCAAACCAGTGAGTTTGGCGATTTTGAGACATCATCTTTCATTGAAAAAAAACCTTTTTCATTTTGCCGACGCGCATGGCTACGGCGACGCGCGCGCATACCAGAAACCGGAGACTTTTTTTTTGGCCTAAAAGCGCTCTATTTTGCAATGGAGTGTAGGCATCGTTTTTCAAAATGGCGATGGGCTTCAGGACTATTTTCAGATTTGAAGATGGACATTTCTCCTAAAAGTCATCAGTTGACCCCCCGAAAATTGAAAAGAAAATGAAAGATGATGAAATAAGCTTTAATTTGATGTGCGTCTCGAACACCTTGGAGAGTTGTGAGTATTTTTCCCGAATTTTTGAAGTGGGAGCATTTACCATTGGGGTCTATGGAAGTTTATTTACTGGTCTGCTACCTGAAGATACGATAAACGTTTATGAACAGCGCCTCCAAGCGCTCCATGTGTCCCCAAATCAACCGGCCGGGTATTCCCCTTTCAAATTCATGCATTGTGTGTTCATGATCTGTGATTATGTGAATGTGAAATCCTTCCATGACAAAGCGTTCCTGTTGTATCGGTCGCTTCGGAAAACACATCTGTTGCAGTATCGAACGGATTTTACTTGAAAAATCCGATTTTTGGCTAGTTTTCCTGTTGGGCACAACGCATCATCAACTCCACTAAGTAATTAATTTAACTAGAGAGGAATCTCGCTCTGTCATGTCTGTATGTGTTCGTTTTTTTACATTGTTGCGGAAATCGAGGGTTTAATAGTTTTTGGACCATGTGGACGCGTCAACGATCGAAGGTTGCACTAGACATTTCAATTATGACTATGAGTATGAGGACCTTGTAGTCCAACTTTCTTAAAGAGATGCAAGTACAATTTGCAAAGTAGTGTAGTGGCATAGTGACAGAATTGTGCACTTTTTGTAAACAAAAGCCCCCCCCCCATAACAATTGTGTGTCGCCCCCCCCCCCCCCCCCCCAAATTTGGCAACTGCAAGAAACTACAGTGCGTCCTATAGTTCGTGAGTTACCATGATTAGTTGGAGCGACTAGAGCCCCATAATTCTAGGGGTGACCTATTGTCTGACATTGCTGACCATGAATCATGATATCAGTTTTGAACAGGGCGCGCGACAATGGGAAGATGGTCCCCCCCACGCCACACACACACATATACTATAGTCTTAATTGTTCCATAGTTGTGGGGACTACACACGAGTTGTCCCAATGGGGACTGAACATGCTATGGGGACAGCAGAAAGTCCTCACGACTACATAGGTCCTATTTTTCCTATTTTTTTTACTGGTGAAGGCCCGCCCACCCACCCATGCTTGTTCATGACGTAGACTTCCATTGGGTCATAGGAAAGTGTAGACCCGTGAACGTGGCGTTGTAGCCACGTTCACGGGTCTAAGGAAAGTGAAGTTTTTAAAAACAATTGAAGTATGTAATTGTCATTGACCTCAAAGATCACCCGAGGCCAAATATGAAATGCCTCGATATTTGAAGAAAGAAAAAAATCACGGCATGAAGAACCAAAATGCAAAGTTTCATGCTTTTATCACAAAGTTCACAATTCTTAGAAATATTGGGGCTGAAAAGTGAATGCCGCTCCACTAAAGTACATTAATAATATGTAAAAAGATTTCCAAGCAGTGCTGCAGTTGGCTGAAAAGGCTTTGTAGTATCTCGGATTTTAGTAATGTTGCGTGACGCGTTTCTTTCATTTTTCTGGGGATTTGCAATTGCAAACATGACACGTAACACTTTATCTATGTTTGCTTAAATCCATCACAACCCCACTTTTAATCAGAACATTGCCATAAAGATCTGAAAAGGACAGTGCCCAGAGTTGGGTTGATAGCAAATTCGACCACGTACAGTATACCCAAACAAGGACCTGGAAAAGCACGCAATAATGATGAGTTAATTGAGAATGTGTACTTGACCAGGGTGTACTTTAAAAGACTCTTGAAGATATACTATCTTTAAATTATTATGCTCCTCAAACATCAACAGGAATTTTCCATTCATGATGTCGGAGGAGTTGCGGAAGGCAGGCAATGTTCAATACAAGGCGGCACTTGAAGAGGGCTTGTCTCCTGTCATCAAGTGTTCTAGACTTCAGTCAGCAATTAATCTATATGCCAGGGCCGCATCCCAAGCCACTGGACCAAGAATGGTGAGTGAGTGGTCCTCGGCAACCAAGAATCTCGGAATGGCTACAAAGAGGATGGCCCAAGAGTACATGAAAGACAAACAGGACACAGGATTTGCGAAGACTCTCATAACATTCCGAGAGGCTCTGAAATACCTCGGCCAGGCTTTGGTCAGAGGTGCTTCTCTGCTGGGTGACGCCTGGAGGAGCAAGCTGCAAGAGGAGATCAAGGCTTCTTACTTCGAGATCTTGGAGATTATCGGTACGTTTGATGACCCAAAGAAGAAGCTTAGAGAGATGTACCAGGTACTGAATCTGTTGCCCGATGGTGAGGTGCTCTCTGCATTGGCCAGGTATCACATTGCTGATGTTCTCTTTAAAGAATCAGTCTGTCTGCTTGAAAAAGGTGAATATCAAAAAAGTCTCGGACTTCTCCACGACATCCACCAACCAGTTGAAGAGGCTCTCAGTATTCTACGGAAAGGGGAGCTTGCTGAGCAGGATCTTGAAGCAGATGAGCTTCGCGTGGACCTGGAGATCATTCAGCAGGATGCGCAGTTTCAAATCTGCACAGCGGAGTCCATGCAGGCTCGCAAGTATGGAGAGGCAATGCTTGCAAATCTGTTGGACGAGGAGAGTTTGAACATGGACATGGTCTGGAATGCGGTGGACTGGTTCAAACAAGCCACCCTCAAGGTACGAATGGAAATATCATTGAGGGATCCTTATAGAGGGAACACACCACTTTTCCTCTATTGTGCTCATACCATTTGAAGTGTTTTACGAGTTAAAAAAAAGATGGTTTGGGAAGCATTTTTTGAATTTCTTTTGTTTGAACCATGGAAGCTATATAGGCCTATACTGGGATTTTTTGTGAAAAGCCACCCTTATTTCAGTTTATGCGAGCAGGTCAGTGAATATGCAAAACAAGGCTGTGCTTTTATCTTGAGATTCTTACCACTCAGCAGGCGCCTATTGGGTCCTCGGTAGCCCGTTGTTGTTTTACAAAAACAGAACCCATATTGCCCAATCCACCACTTAGTCCACATTTCTGATCGAAGTGATGTCACAGTCTCTAAAGACCATTCCAATTGGCTGGCGTGCGGAGTCGCATACAAGTTACATTACATACGTTTAACCGTGGCTTTGCCCACGTGAATGTCTGATACTTGGACTACCCTTATTGTGGCAAGCAGGTCAAACTCAGATATATTTGGAAAGAAACACTACCAACGGAGAAACGTACAATAACCATTGTCAGTGGGTCATAGAGTAAGACTTGAAGAGTCCGAGTGTCCTAAATAAAGCACAGTTCCAACTTGACACTGGTGTATCTCTCACAACAGGTATTGTCATACACGCTGGCCAAGTTCTAGGGCAATCGGCAGGCAAAACCCTATAGCACACCGGATTGTGATTTCATTCTGGGCCAGGGACAAATGACCTCATAACCAACATAATACATTGTACATGCTTACCAGATCTGGATTTTAAATGTTTGTTATATCTGTCATTTAACACTCAGGCAGCTGAGCTAAACTTGGAGGAAGAAGCAGCGGCCTTAAGTTACCTCGGGCTAATAAATGAGAAGCTATTGTTCTCCAAGACCAAGACCAAGATTTATTTTAAACGCTGCTTGGAACTGGTTGAGGCAGCTAAGCCCAGGACCTTCATTGGTCACAAGTGGTACACGCAGTGCGTAGCGGGATTCAAGAAGATCCAGGATGAGGAAAGATGGAGAGACGAAGCCGCACAACAAGAAATAAAACAAAAGGTGAAGGGCTTAAATTTTTTAAAAGCACAGAGTGACATTTCACAACTCTTTTAAGACAAAAGAATCAACGTAACAAACCACTGCAACACATAGGCCTATCGGTTAAGTATACAGTATATGCATCCAACTTGACTGCATAAGCGGGTAGCAAAGCATGCCAGAATTATTCAGCGAAGCCCATGGTCGGCAATAATTATGTTTGTTTTGTTTAAAATAAAATTTAACATCCCCTCAACCGTACAATTTTGAAATAACAGGAAATAGACACAGGTGTGGTCATAAACCCTATTTGCAAGATGGAAGAGGGCTCAGGACCTGACTTTTGGAGTGATGAACCTTCCACAGCCACACACACCAGTGTGTATTTGCCTGCAACCGGGGACCCCCTATTGTCCCTCTTTTGTTTGTACTTTTTAGGAAGACTTCCCATATGTTTTGTACACGATCGTAAATTGTGGACCTTCAGGAATTGGGGACCCCATTGTCCTCTAATGTTCAACGTCCCCTATTGAATGCAGCAACAAACTCACACACACACCCATCTTTGTATAACACCAGCAATCATGGACCTATTGTCCCTAATCCTCATTCCTTTGTTTGTACTCAGTACTCTAACTTTTTAGCAACAGCTCTCATTGGTTTTGTACACGGTCAATCATGGACGTATTGTTTGTGCCCTAACCTTTTTGTTCTAGGTCCATGACTGCCAGTGTTAACATGTTCACAGAAAGTCTCCCGGAAAGTACAAGATTTATTAAAATCCCTCTCCTTTGATCACTGGCAGGTTCTAGATACACTAAAAGATGAGATCACAGCTCTCAAAGAGGCAAATACCAACGCAGTCAGCCTCCTAAAGTACCTTCTCGACCACCATCCATCCCAGAGTAGCTCCATTAAGTTCACCAAGACTCACCTCGACGAACTGAAGAAGACTGAGGGAAAGTACGACGACACACCGACGCTGAAAATTCGAAAGAAGCTGCTGCTGAGAGCTCTCCAAGATTACCACCCAGACAAGGTTGTCAAGTCGGAAGGTGAAACGGACGAACAGGTACAGAGGAGAAAGATATTCCTTGAAGAAATCACAAAGATGATCACCGCGCATTACGAGAAGATTAAACTCATGACTTAAAAGTAGAATGAAGAAGAGTCAGGGACAGATGGAGAAAAAAATTGAGGGATTCTAGGATCACTGTTTGTTTTGTAAATACAGTCTACATGTACTCTTGTTAATAAAAATACTGTTAATACAAATTGTGGTAATACCAAACATAGATCCTTGGGCCCAACTGTGCTTTGTGCACAGTGAATGGGACTGACAAAATTCTGATATAACAAACATTTTTGCTAAGTCCGGCTGACTTTGTATTAATGAGAGTCGACTGTACTAAAAATCTCCAATTCTGGAACAAACTTCTGAGTTTTAAAGTTTTTTCTTTGGGACACGCAGAAGTAGAAACTCTAATTTCCATGTGTTGGTCTGCATATAGTAAAGGCACATTTTTTTATCAGAAAAATGTACCTAATATGGAAGGAGAAAATGTCAAATGTAGCTCCAAGTTAAAATGGCCGTCACCATTTGTTCATACATGCAACTGTGGAGACATTCCCACTCAGCTCCACAATAGAGCAAGCATCTGTCTTTCAATCAGAAATCTTTATTCTGTTAATTTCCAGTCTTACGCACTGTGTCAACTGAAAGGTCATTGCCTTTATTTCAGAGAGCCAAGGGGTTCAGCAGATATAGCGACGCTGTAGGAAAGAAGACACAAATAAATTTGAATCCCCCAATTCATTTTAATTTTTATATCATTCCAAACATTCCGTAGTACGACCTGAACCCAGCGATCGGAAACAAACTCTGTTTCTCATATATCTCTATAAGAATTATAAGAATCCCCTTTTGGGATTAAACGGTTTTTTTGCATGCCTTCAAATAGAGGTCTCTCTAATTAAAATCTCAGAGTCGGGATTGAATAGTAAGTTTGCAAGTACAATGTAATAGAATGTCTCGATTTAAAGGGAATATACAACATTTGCAAACATCAAGAAACAAAACTACCAAATTATTATGAAATATACTGTTAGTGCATGACAGTCTAAAGCATCCTGTAAAATCATGGCACCTGGTGTGCTGTCATTTTCAAGAAAAGTGGTATTTTCGCATCGATTTTCAACGCTGGTCGGCTGACCGGCATTGGGAAAAAACTGGCTTTTTTCAAATACTGCTTAATAATTTTGTTTGCAATGGATTACACACCTATGAACAGGTACAACCCAGCTAGACTGGTTCCCTGACCTTACAATTCCTCAACATCTATAAATTGCTCCGTTTCATCATAAGTGGGGTCAGGGAACCAGACTACAGGAACATGATTGTTTTTCTTGATTTTTCCAGCATCTGTCAAACACAAAACTTCTAACAAGTTATTGTAACAATATTTGATAAAATACTAACCCCCAAATCCATCCATTTCTGAAAATTACAGCAAAAGCAAATGTTCATATTCCCTTTTAGGCCAAAAAAATAAGTCTCTGGTTTCTGGTATGGAGCTTGTCCAAAAAATGGTGCGGCGACGCATTTTTTTTTTTTTTTACCTGACTTTTTTGCTTCAAATGTCGGCTGATGACTATAAATGGTGCCCGACTAAACTTAGTGCAAATATATGGGAGTCCAGAGAGGCCACATAAAGCTTATTCTCGATCATAACCCCATCTAAAAACACGTTAAAATTGTGCAGTAGCAGGATTCCAGTCAAACCAGTGAGTTTGGCGGTTTTGAGACATCATCTTTCACTGAGAAAAAAACTTTTTTATTTTGCCGACGCGCATGGCTACGGCGACGCGCGCGCATACCAGAAACCGGAGCTTTTTTGGGGGGCCTTAGAGGTATCTCCTTTCAGGATTAAATTGAAATTTATAGGATAAATGGTAGAGAATGTTTGTGTAGCTAATACATGTAGTGGAAAGTAGTTATATTTTATATTTTTTTGTTTTGACCCAATGTTCTGGGCTTTCTGTATATATTCCCTTATATATTTTTTCCTTTTTAAATGTATTACTAGAAATCATCGCAATGAAGACATGTTCATATTTCAAAGGAACGTAATGAATATAAGATTTGAGGCTTTGCATGGTGGAGTATCGGTATTGTTTCGGTTTGCGGTAACACCATGTGGTAATAACTACTGCTTAGAAGATATTTAGTTCTGAAAAGAACTTGTCCTGCTTATTATCAACTTTCGCTAAGTACTTTTTTTTCTGATAAGAACCAAAGACAAGTTCTTTTAGAACTTAAGGCAGGACTGTTATCAGAACAAAAACTACTTGGCGAAAGTTGATAATAAGCAGGACAAGTTCTTTTCAGAACTAAACATCTTCTAAGCAGTAGTTATTACCACATGGTGTTACCGCAAACCGAAATGATACTGAACATAATGAAAGTATAAAGTATCACCAAATCATTTTATTCGAAGACAAAACGTTTTGATATTCAAAATTACTGACTAAAAACCAAATTATTGCTTTACCAACAAGTTTGATTTGCAATCCAGTAAAAACATTTACATAAAAGGACAAGTTATTACTACGAACAATGCAGATACTTTAGAATATAGATCAGAAAAAAATTGTTTTCTGAGGTTTTAGAGACGTATAAAAATTCAAAGTAGAAAAATATATATTTACTCAGTTCAGTGTATTACATTATGGAACTTACATGATTAGAAATTAAAAGCAATTCAGAAATGTAGCATTAAGTACAGGATATCTTTTCTTTGAAAGTTTGTGTTTGTATGTAGCTGGAAATTACGGCGTTTACAACTTTCCAACTGGGCGTAATTCATAAAGAAATATCTAATGAACAGAACCCTTTTTGCCTTTCAGCTTTATCATCCTTGAGGTTTAATGACACACTTCCAAGTACAGATATTATTTGAGATATACAAAATAAAAATACCTCCACCAAGTTATTAATAGGACATGCCTTATCTGTGTTACAGAGTGCCAAGTGTCCACTACTCCCAGTTGGTCCATATATCCCCATGCAGGGCTGGATTGGCTCTTGGATCTCCAGGGGGGTAAAACGGTGGCACAAGACTATTATAGTAGTACTGTAATCTTCCAACCAGCTCCTTGACTTTGTCTGGTCTGGCTTCAGATAGGTCATGATACTCATTGGGGTCCTCCTGGATATTGAACAGCCAAACATGTTTACCTTTCTGTTCAACTGGGTGGATGGGAATAATCCCCGAGTCAGGGGGTGGTATCCAACTGCTGTTTCCTGTTAAAAAAAAAAATCACGTTTCAAATAGTTGTGGTTGAAAAGATTACATCTGAAAGGAAAGGAGGCCAATTAAATGCAACAGTTTTGCAGATTAAATTCCGGATGACTTTTAAAATTATTGATTAATGGCTTAATTGGTCTTAACAAAAACACATAAAAGCCATTTTATTTTCAAAATCCCAAATTTTCCCTAGTACCTGGATCTCCTGTGAGAAGTTTCCAGTCTCCGACTCGTATTGCTGCTCTGATGGTGGTATTAAAGGAACTTGGCAGGTTGCTATGGTAACTGAAATATGGATCAGGGTAAAAATCTCCATGTTGGTCCAGCCTGGGATACGGTATAGGATCAATGTTGTGCAGAATTTCCTTGCGAGGGGAAGCCTTGCCTTGGCTGTCAACACAAAAGGAAATACAAATATGCAAATGTTAACACCTGCACTGATTCCCACAGAATATTCCTTAAGAACATTTATATAATATTGGATGGCTTTGAGGTGGATACAAGAATACAATTCACGAGCTATGACAATATTGCAATATTGTCATAGCGAGTGCAATATATTCTTGTATCCACCGAAAAAAGCCATCCAATATTATTATTATTATTTATATCAGGCTGACTCCATCCGCAAGACATATAATTCAAGACACTGTCTTCATTTCATCTTTTTTCGTCAAACTATTTGAAGCTGCCACTGTAATATTGTTGACAACAGTGCGCGTTCTGTGTGCTGCATGAGCGCTGCATGTGCGCAGCGTGTTCCGTGTTCGACAATACGTGCGCGCAATACGCTGTCGAGTGGTTGACAACTGTGACTTTCTACGCTTTTGATCATGAGGAAACCAGCGAAAATGCCTTGATGACTGCAATTAATAATAATATTATTGCAGTCATCCGGGTACTCTTTATGAAAGCATACAATACGCTGATTTACTTTTACCGCTGGAAGCCTGATATAAATAATAGTTGATCTTATATATCATAAAGTATACAAAAACTGAAATCGAGGGAGGGGTGGGAGTGGGGGAGAAGGCAGAGAGGAGTAGGGAGGTTGGACAGTTTGACAAAAGAGAGGAGAAAGAGGGACAAAAAAAACAGGACAATAAAACATTCCAAGCCGGAACACTGTAGCCCTAAAGCCTGCATATCAATTATTCCATGGCTTCCCTGTTAAGCCCCAAACTTTCAAATAATTACTTTAGTCCGATTTACTTTTACTTTTGTGTCCAGATATTTTTGACCCAAATCACCTGATGGAGCCCCATACATTGTAGCCATCCAATGAGAGACCTGATACATTCCCTCCAGCTATCCCAGCAACAAGTGTCGGGAACCAGTCGGTGACGTGAATCAGTTCACTGTTTACTGTGCCCTGAATGGTATCCTGCAACAGGGGACTGTGAATGAACCCCACCCCATGCATTCCTCCCTCCCACAGGGAGCGTTTCCATCCTCGCAGTGGCCAGTTGTTTCCGCCATGTAAGATTTGGCCACCATTGTCTACAAGCAAGGAAGACACACAGGTCAAAGTATAAGTGTACAGCATGTAATAGTCAGTCACCTGATCGTCTGCCACACGTTAAAACCATCCAGCTTTAGACCCTCCAAATGTCCACCTGCGACACCTGCCACGAGTGTAGGGAACCAGTCACTGACATGTATCATCTCTTTACTGCTGGTACCCTGCAAGCTCTTGGGTATTAGAGGGCTGTGAACGAAGCCCACACCGTGAATGCCTCCCTCCCATAGTGAGGTCTTCCATCCCCGAAGTGGCCAGTTGTTTCCCCCCTTGTGTATCTGGCCACCGTTATCTTAAATGAAAGCAAAGATAGATAGATGAACATATGCAATAAGAAAACATCCAACAACATAATTACAATGTATGTCATATCTGTCAATGCATGTCCAACTAGGCATGGACTTTCTGAATTTGGGCACATCAACAACACCCATCGCAGGACAGACACAGCCTAGTTTGGGCACAGCCCATCATTCGTTGGTCAGAGCCCATCATTAATTGGGCCAGCCCATCATTAGTTGAGCCTGCCAATTTAAAAAACGATTCTCACAAATATTGTTCATTTGCGTAATGTCATACCCACAAGATCGTACGAATAGCCTCAGATCACAGAGTAACTACCCTACATCTTTTTCTTGAAGTTCACTTTGTGAATTCATTTCCATTTACAGTAGCAGTGGAGTTTTCTTTCACTACATACCTTAGGCAAGCTTGAAGCACTGTAAACAGAACTGTGGAGATTAACACTAACCCTTTGTTAGGGCACTCAACTCAAGGGCACACCATCCAGCTTGGGTTGAACTCGACACACATGAAGACCATGACACAGAACTTGAGGCATACAAAATACAGGTAAAAAATACACACCTGTGCATCAGGATGTAAACACATCCCCCCTAATTTCAATAAGCCGATGAGAATTACCTGTGGAGAAAATCAGCACCGTGTTGTCCCACAGGCCTAGTTGTGTTGCAGTCTGGGTTATGTTGCCGATAGCTTCATCCATGCAAGCCACCATTCCTGAATATATCCGACGGTGTTTGTCGGCAATGTGCTTGTAAGGCTCAATGTACTTCTCAGGCACTTGCAGGGGACTGTGGACAGCTTGGAATGGCAGATACAGGAAGAACGGCTGTAAGGACAGAAGAAAAAGCAACCAGTTGGCAAAAGTGGAATTTACACAAAGAATCATCTCTTACTTTGATATGGAGCCTTATAAATATGTTTAGAAAAGCTTAAATGTATTGACCAGAGGACAAAACTGCACATTGATTTGTCCCAGAAAATAATGCTTATTATATCATGAGTCAAATTCTGTATTTCCAATTCAATTAAACCCTAACCGCCCTGAATCCTTCAAAATCCTCATTGCCAAAGTGGAGGAATTTGGAGGATTGAGGTTACATGGCAAACATGTGTTACTGATTTTGTAGGATGCACTTTGTCAAGGTCTGGGGCCGGACCTTGTGTTGTTTTTGCTCAACCATGCATAAACATACATGTTGGCCTGGATTATGCTTAAAATCCTCCGTACTGCTCCAGGATGTCACTGGCTAAGCCTCAACATTTTGCAGGATTCAGGCAGTGGTGACCCCTCCACGGACCATATTCAAGAAAAAAAGGAGGAATTTGCAGAATTGAAGCTATATGCTATTTTTTTCATGGCGCCAATTGGAGGATTTTTCAGGATTGAGGCTACATCCTAGCAAAAAGGCCTAGAGAGTTAGGGTAAGCAAAGTAAACAAAACTGACATGTTTCATTGTGCTACAGGTATTTTTTTTGTCTATGAGCATAGCTGCCAACTTTTCAAAATCCCAATTAGTAATCAACCCGCGCGGTCATTTTCAACTGCTCGTTTTATCAAAAGCTTTACCAACATCGAGTACAGATACATGGTTTACATGTACACATACATGTGCGTACCCTTCTTGTTGTGAATAATAATGTACTGTAGGCCAAAAGATAATTAAAAAAAAATAATTAAAAAATTAAAAAAAAATTATTATTATTTTTTTTTTTAATTAATTTTGTTTCAATGTCTGTATTTGTTTGTTGAAGTCAAATAAATAATAACAATAATAACGTGCGCATATTTTTTTTTTGAGATGCATGCTATCGATGTGGAGTTTCGAGTTCGTATCAATGTTTTTACACACGTTGATTTAGGGCCACCGTATGCAATAGAAATATCCCGTCAACATACCTTGCAAACGCATGCTGATTTATCTTTTCTGGACGTTGTGACAAACTCAAACTCTATTACCAATTATTCCAACCATAATCTTATTAAATTCCATGATTAAAATCTCGCACTGATAGACTCATCCCAGCAAAAAGCGACCAAATGTGCTCACGATCGTCACTGAAAAGTACTCACAATTCACATACAGTACACACAACCACACATCCACGAGATGCAGCACACAAATGACACACCATTGAAAAATAGTTTTAGTCTGGTCCTCAAGTACTCCACTGCGCACACTGCATTGATGTCTATCAGGTGCTTGACTGCATTCTTATTAGACTTGTCACCAGTCCATCCATTATCGCGACATTTCGCCAGAAGTTTTCGGTCAAAAACGATACTTTTATACAAGTATTTTTTTTTCGTTAGGTAGAAAATGGGAAATTCGTAATGTTTTAGTGGCATATCGTATTTTCGTAATTTAACAAACAATTCGTAATAATTACGAAAAATTCGTAACAGTTGGCAGCTATGTATGAGTATTACAGAACTAATTTTGTGCCATATTTCATCCTCTGAAACCATAATATTCAGGAAAGTTGGTCCAGGCAAAGTGGCCACCACAAAGACACTATAGAAACCATATTTGTTTGACCAGACTGCACCACTAAACACTTCAGAGACTCTGGTAATCTTGTTTTTCCTACTCCAATAAATAAAGGCTCTATTGCAGCTAATAGTTAAATGATCAGACACAATTTGAATGACAAAACCATGTTCACTGAAAAGCAGGGAAAGCATGATAGGTGTTTGAGCCCCCAGCCAAAAATCTGTGTTTTTTATTCATACAGCTGCATGACTATTGGAAGAAAAGTTGTGGTCACTGTACAGCCATCAGTGCACCAATGACTGTCTGCCAACAGAGTGTTTCATGGTCTCATAAATGGCGGAAGCAGTTTTCAGCTGTTGCTTTGAACAATGGCTAGCAATCATAAGCATTAAAGTCCTCAGTTAATACGCAATTGAGATGTTTATTGCTGCATCTGTAATTAAGGCAATTCTACTCTAAAGTTGTGTCTTTCTGCGGTATAAGTCATAATTAATTGGATAATAGCTCTGTGAGCAGTAAATCACAATGCTCATCTGCAAAAAAAACTGGGCCCAGAGTTCCAGAGCAAATTTTTACTAGTCCTTACAAAAAAAAAGACCTGTAACCTGTGGATTTGATCTCTAGGTATAGGTCGAGTAGAAAATAAAAAGAACGGCAATCCGAAGGTCACAGATTCCAACCCTGCTTCAGTCAATTGCTTTGTTCAATGTTAAAATTATAAAGCACATAGAAAAACTTGCCTTTGTGGTTTGTTTGAAAATTTGTATTAAAACTCTGTATCCTCTCAGAGTGATCCCCGTTTGCCATTTCACGGGTTTACAGCATTGCTAATGTTCTGACTTGCACCCCTTGAACAAAGACACCGACAAAATGAGGAACTGCACTTCAAACTTCACTCCAGTCCATTTCTTTGTAAAACTTTGTGAAATTATTATAATGCACTTTAATAGTCAGTTTCCCTTTATGGTTTATTAAGGGAATAAATGTGTGCTCCGGAGGTTTTTATCACTCGTTTAATACCGCTTAGAGTCTGGGTGCTGATAATTACCCGAGCCGGAGGCGAGGGTAATTATCAGCACCCAGACTCTAAGCGGTATTAAACAGAGTGATAAATACCGACCGAGCACATATTTATTCCCATTCATAAATACCTTATCCGTAAAAAATATCAAATAATTCGTTCAAAAAATCCCGATTTTGTTCAACAAGTTCACTTCATGCTTTTTGAAACATCCCTCTAGCAAAATAATGGAGTGTTCAGCTGGCGAGTAAGATGTAAACAACCCTTTTATGGAGATTGACGCGCGCGTAACATGTTCTGCGCGATGTCACGCAGAACGCACCTTGGGCGTTGCGTTTTGAGTAGAACTATAAAATTCTGACTCGCTTGTAGTGTTGCGCATGCCTACGTGAGGATTGTGAACGTTCAACCAATGAAACGGTAAGAGGCACTGGATTTTTAGGAGTCCACATTTTATTGTGACACTGGAAAAGTGTTTAAGACCAGCTAGCCATGTCTTTATCATCCGTTTAATACCGGCCACGTGACGGGCTCTCGACCAATAGGAATAGCTAAACTGTCTGAGGTATTTATGAATTGAAATTGAAAGAAACAGATTACTTCAGCCACACTCAATGTTTGGCCTCGGGGTAATTACCTCTTTGGGGTTGTGATTTTCCAGAATCTGTTGGGCTCGCTGAGCAAACACATGGGTTGAATAACTGCCGGTATAGTTATGCATGGGTAACTCTTGGTCCCGGAAATCAAGACCAGATTTGAAGCCGGAGCAGTTAAAACCTGGCATGCCGCATCCTCTTGAATGGGTAAAGTAGTCCTCAGACCCAGTATAGTAGCCTAGTGCATGTACATGTAAAGTGCAGTTACAGCCATTATCACGAATGAATTTGTATGAGACAACATGCCAATTTCAGTCAGCTGTAATTTGTAATTAATTGTAATCTAGCTGTACAAGTCACCACAAGTTTTCGTAAATCATTCTAAGTCAATCTTGTCTCAAGTCACTATTCAAATAATATTTGACAACTTCTGTTGTAAGTACTGACCACGTTGCTCGTTACCAGTTTGGTAACATGGCTAGCAATTGAATTGTGACTCAATTGCAATGGACAAATTACAACTCTATCTTTGACTCAGGTTAATCATAGTATGGGAGAAATCAGAGAATTCAAAATCCGATTCTTCTATTTTTTGTGTAATGTGTTTTCATCCGCCATCGATCCAACATGTCTAACGACTTGACTAGTATGAATTTGGACCGTTATTTCTTTATGCGCCCAGCGAAATGCATGCATTACATTTCTATAGAGAGGGCCAATGATTACCCGACTGTATCGATGGGGAAGCATCCATTATAAGAGTGGGGATACAGTTCGCAGCATGCTTGATCAATGTACGCTTCTTCTGTTTTTCTCTCTTTAGAAAAATTTCCGTGAAAAAAATTACACTCAGTGGTAAAACAGCAAATGTAATGTCCAAATCTTGGTGTTTTTTAAAAGAATATAATGATGTATGGAATCCAAACGAACCAGGAATTAGCTTTCAACCCCAAGAGCAATCGATTCGCTCCAGACTCTGTTGCAAGGTGAGGCTTTCAACATGCAAGTCCACGTGCGTCAGTGAAATATGACACCCGTGGGAACATCGCGCGCACTGCACCGTGCTGAGACAAGTATTTGTCAGGTGTAATTTTACATATCTTATCCTCCTGATTCTTAGCCAATCACAATGCTCCGTCCAATTTTGGTAGTAATCTCCATGCCTTGTGCACAACAGATCTAATTTGAATCGACGCACCACGCACATGGGGCCGAGGATGCAGGAATCATTTCCACATGACATTCCACTGACTCACCAAAGAAGGTATCAAAGCCACGCCTGGTGGGCCAGCAGTCTTTCTTGTAGAAGCCAAGATGCCATTTGCCGACTGCGTGCGTGGCGTAGCCGAGCTCCTTGAGTTTATCAGCGACAGTAACATCTTCCAGAGGCAGGCAGTTTGGCTGGACATCCCAGATGATCCAATGCTCTAGGCCAGTGTGGATCTCAAGAAACAAAAAATAAATATGAGCAGCTCTGTGAACATTAAATTAATCAAATGCTGCAAATGGGGTCGTGCAATGGAACCGGGTACCCGAGCACCCGACCACTGATGTCAGCAACTGGTTCCTGATTACAGGGTCTGGTACCCGTAACCAACTTCACAATTACAATGTAAAAGAACAATTTTGAATGCCATTTGTGGGGAATTTTTCTAAATGAGAACCAGCGTGTTATTCAACACAGACTTCACATTGACGTGCATTTTAAGGCACGACAGATGATGTTCATGAAAATTGCAGGTTACATCGCAAAGCTACATGTATAAAGCCCTTCAGACAACTTCCAGGATTTGAATTTTGGGAATGGGTATCTTTTACAGGTACCCAGGTACCCGTGTTTTATTTCAATAGGGTATAGGCCTACCTGGTTCTGGTTCTACCTGTAAATTGCACACCACTATTTGCACAAAATTTTTCATGATATTCTCAACTGGTTTCCAAAATTATGAATCAGATTTTTTAAATAATCATTTTTGTTCCAATATTCTTAACTTTATTTTGGGTTTGCCCCATCCTTTCTTTGTACTTGTAAAATTGTGCAAGCTAGAATTGAGCTAGTTTCATTACTGATCCTTTCAAAATTGGAACCGTATGGCATGGGAACAAGCAGTATTCTGATCTTAGGCCATTCTATCTCAAGTCTAGTCATTATTTATGTACATGTATCAAGTGAACAGTGTTATTGTTCATCCTCATGTAACTTAAAACCCGACTTTTGTTTTTAGACTTGTGATTGGCTTGTAATGTGATACACAATGAACTGGACTACACGAACAATGTTTTGAAGTTTGCCAAGCAATTTTGTTAAGCACACAGTATTTTGACTTAACATTGTTCGCAGCATCATGCAATTGGGCCATCTTTAATACTGCTACCAACTTTACCTGGTATCGACCGCTCATGAGTTGACTTCTCGTCGGGGTGCAAATCGGCTGGACATAGTAATTCTCCAGCTTCACGCCCTCAGCAGCGAGTTTGTCCAGCCACGGAGTCTTAATTGCAGAACCATGGTAACCGACGTCATGGAAACCGTAGTCGTCAGCCAGGATAAAGATTATATTCGGTGGCTTCGTTGCATTTTGATGACAGTGGCTCACAGTTGAGAGAGCAAGGACAAATGTCAGAAGACAAGATGATCTATGTGACTCCATCATAAATAGTTGCTACACATTACATCTGAAAAAGAACAATTAATCAATGGTCTTAATTAAATTGATACTATTGTAAATTTGTAATATGTTGTGTTAATCCTCTTCATACATACATACATACATACAGCCACTTGGCTTGGTCATGCAGTACAACAAGGTGGTCTTGCAGCGGCAACTGCTCAATGGAACCCCACTTGGATACCGCCAACTCAAACTCTGTTGGATCGACGGCCTCACAAAATGGAGTGGCCTTAGCTTGGCAGAACTAGCTGTGGCAGCACTGCACCCACGCTAAATTACCCCTGCACCAGCCACACAACTCAGAAGAAGTGGATAGTTGTTGCGTCAACGCGCAGTACATGTAGACACTTTTTGGGTAATTTTTGAACAGTTTCTTGGGGTAGAAGCAGGAACCGAGCCCTTATTCACTATTGCCCAAATAACCCCAAAAATGGAAAAACTGTTGCAACCAGACGCCACTTTTTTCTTCATATATCATCTTAGCCCCATAAATGTGGCCAATTTACTGGACTACCTCCATAAATTAAGGCCACACTTCCACCATGTACAAAAACATGTCGAACTTTGTCAAATTTTGATTTTCACATTTAGGCTTAGTTTGTAGTTTATTTTTGCTTTAAAGAAGCATACTCAACCTCTTTATTATAGGCTAATCAGAAAGTGCTGCCTTTTTCAGATGTCTATTTTTCGTGAAATTTCCAGATTCGTTTGCACACTTTTTCGTATCAAAATTTCAACATGAAATTTCACCAAAATTAGACATCTGAAAAAGGCTGATTAGCCTATAAAGACGGTGAGTATGCTTCTAAAGCAAAAATATACTACAAACTAAGCCTAAATTTTACTTTGTGAAAATCAAAATCTGACAAAGTTCGACATGTTTTTGCACATGGTGGAAGTGTGGCCTTTATTTATGGAGGTAGTCCAGTAAATTGGCCACATTTATGGGGCTAATATCATCTCAATGTAGTCCAAGTAACTAGGCTCTATGAATCGCCTTTTTTGGACATGGTCCGGCAATAGTCGGGCATGTCCAAATGTTAAAAAGACGATTCGTAGAGTCCTAGTTACTGGGCAATGCTGGGACTAATCTCAATGAAGGTCATGATGATAAGACATGAATCTGGCACTGAGAAGTATTTCCAATTATTGTTAGGAACTACTCTTAAAACATTCTTGACTCTCCATAGACTTTGTACACAACCGCGGAAGTGGCGTCAGGTTGCAACATTTTTTTTACGGAAGTGCGCAAGTTAGCGTTGATGTATCCAGCAGGATATTTTGCTGACTTAACCTAGCTCTACTGAGTGGAGCGTTGAATTACGGGTACCCCTCCATACCAACGCTCCACCGATTCGCCATACTTTGGTAGCACCATCACAGTAGCATAGTCACAAACCCACGCGAGGACAAAAAGACCCCAAAAAACCGGTAAAGAGATTACAAACGAGAGAGACAGTTATCCTGGATTGATCTATACATTCTTGACATTCCATGAGACCGCTGTCAACTACTCGTTTTTGCCGGCTGCGCTGGCGTTGGCGCGTGACGTCACGCGGAAGCGTAACACCCGATGACTGTTTCATGCACTATTGGTTGCGGTTCCAGTACCAAAGCTGTGATGCGAGTGGTAAACCTTATACTAGTGCATGAAACAGTCATCGGGTGTTACGCTTCCGCGTGACGTCACGCGCCAACGCCAGCGCAGCCGGCAAAAACGAGTAGTTGACAGCGATCGCTCTCTGTGCCTGTTAATCGACCGCCATTCATTGTACACAATTTTTTTTTGTGCACAAACCAATAGCAGTCCTGGCCATGCCTGAAAGGTTGTCAGGTTAGCGGTTATTCCTCCTGTTTTCACTGCAATTGTAGGCTGAATCTTCATCGTGGATCGTTTTTTACTTCAAGGACCTGTGTAATGGTTATTCCAGGCAAGTTTGGGGTGAGTTGCAGTTGCAATTAGTGTGTAACGGGGACAAAATTGAACATTTTCCAAATTTTGTTGCAAATACTACAAGTTACGAGAAAAATTCGCTCCAGCCCTTATAGACAACCCAATGATAAAACTCAGGGCTGGGTAACTCCAGCTAAGTGGCAAGCAAGCGAAGTGGTAATTCGGCGAAGTGCGGGCAAATACTAGAGTTGTACCTAGTCCGAGTAACTTGGACCCAACTTATCGCCTTTTTAACATTCGGACATGGTCCGGCGTTAGTGGGGTCCAAGCTAATCGTTATATGCCGAGCAACACAATTCTGTCATTGACCTAGCTGGAGTTACCCAGCCCTGAGTTTTATCATTGGGTTGTCTATTAGGGCTGGAGCGAATTTTTCTCGTAACTTGTAGTAAAGGCAAATTTTTTTGGAAAATGTTCAATTTTGTCCCCGTTACACATTAATATAAGGTTTACCACTCGCATCACAGCTTTGGTACTGGAACCGCAACCAATAGTGCATGAAACAGTCATCGGGTGTTACGCTTCCGCGTGACGTCATGCGCCAACAGCCAGCGCAGCCGGCAAAAACGAGTAGTTGACAGCGATCGCTCTCTGTGCCTGTTAATCGACCGCCATTCATTGTACAAAATTTTTTTTGTGCACAAACCAATTGCGGTCCTGGCCAATCCAGCAAGCTTAGGTTGTTAAGTTAGCGGTTATTCCTCCTGTTTTCACTGCAATTGTAGGCTGAATCTTCATCGTGGATCGTTTTTTACTTCAAGGACCTGTGTAATGGTTATTCCAGGCAAGTTTGGGGTGAGTTGCAGTTGCAATTAGTGTGTAACGGGGACAAAATTGAACATTTTCCAAAAATTTTTGCCTATACTACAAGTTACGAGAAAAATTCGCTCCAGCCCTAATAGACAACCCAATGTCAACTCAGGGCTGGGTTACTCCTAGAACTATGAGGCTCCACGTAGTTTTTTTTCGGCAAAAATGATGAAAAATATGCCCTTTCCGCACTGAGCCAACCTAACACTTGAAACGAGCACGCGTGCAGAATGATCGCAGTCATTTTCGGTTCGATCGCTCGGAGCGCGCCGCGGGGGGTATGGTGTAGAGCAGAACGATAGTATGCACATGCGTACAAGTGCAAGTACGTACCCCCCGCGGCGCGCTCCGAGCGATCGAACCCGAAAATGACTGCGATCATTCTGCGCGCGTGCTCGTTTCAAGTGTTAGGTTGGCTCAGTGCGGAAAGGGCATATTTTTCATCATTTTTGCCGAAAAACAGACAGAATTCACCGATGTTTGTTGGGTGCACATAACGTGAGTATGTCATGAGGTATTGTATGGAGTTTAGGGGCAAACTGTGCAGCGGTTCTGTGGAAAACGGCCTGCTTGGGATGGACGTTTTTGTACTTAATTAGTGTTTTGTGCTGACAACAATTTTGCGGGCTTCTGAACCTATGAGGCTCCACTACGTGGAGCCTCATAGTTCTAGGAGTAGGGCTGGGTAACTCCAGCTATCATTGACCCAAAAACCCAACATTGCCCAACAAAAACATTAGATTTCACCCTCAAAACGGCCTCCAAATTACTAGATACGCCACCTGAGGTACGAGTAGACATCGATAATTAAGATGGTTGTACTGAAGTTTACTTACGATCCGGATGAAAAGTGAAATTTCCCGTTCAATTCCGAGAGCTCCCCTCGCGATCGTGAATACGTTAAATTTCCGATGCGGTTTGAATTGCGATGTGGTCTTCATACCCAGCGTTCATTCGATGGTCCCCGTATCCCGAGTGCGATTCCGTTACCGAGCGCTCGCGATGCATCGATTATGATAATAATAGACTGGAGCACGTTTGTAAACATAAGTGCATTTCGAACAATAATAGAGCGTCGGGAACTAGCTTGAACTGGTTTCCGTCCGTAAAATCTGCCCTAGTTTCCGACTCCCTATTATCGTTCGAAATGCACCTGTGTTTACAAACGTGATCCAGTCTACTCATTATCATAATCGATGCATCGCGCACGCTCGGTAACGGAATCGCACTCGGAATACGGGGACCATCAAGTGAACGCTGGGCATGAAGACCACATCGCAATTCAAACACGCAACGGAAATGTAACGCGTTCACGATCGCGAGGGAAGCTCTCGGAATTGAACGGGAAATTCAAATTTCACTTTTCATCCGGATCGTAAGTTAACTTCAGTACAACCATCTTAATTATCGATGTCTACTCGTACCTCAGGTGGCGTATCTAGTAATTTGGAGGCCGTTTTGAGGGTGAAATCTAATGTGTTTGTTGAGCAATGTTGGGTTTTTAGGTCAATGACAGAATTGTGTTGCTCGGCATATACATGTATGATGTAATGATTAGACCACTTCTTATTCCTCCATGATTAGACCAAGTTACTCGGACTAAGTTGTACATACCTACCCTAGAACTATGGCTGCTCCGCGTAGCCATAGTTCATGGGGGTAGGAGTTATAATACCCTTCTCACCATAACTTCATATTTTGCAACACTCCAAGACCCTCCCATTTGGAGCGATATGTGCTACGACGACACACAGCAACCAAGTTCGAAGTTCCAAATGTTCCAAACACAGCACAGTACAAAACCAATGGGCGCCGGGCCGGCCACTGGCGCGCCGGCCGGGCACTGACTTGTATTCGTAATCAGGGTGACCGTAAGGTCAGTGCCAAATTCTGCTAAATGCGCATCAAAAATCTGTCAGATTTATCAAAAATCCGCCAAATTCCCCAGAATTACTCGAAATACACTATAAACACTGAAAATCACATGCAGATTGGTACTTTTGCCTTAATTAAGGTTCAAATTACATTATAAACAATCTATAGTCTCATAAAGATGTTGTGAAATTATCACGTAAATTTCGGGCAAAACGCGGATCCGGCCACGACGAAGTCCGTTTCCCAGTGAACCTCAATACCTAGACCAGCCAACCTGTCCCTTTATGCAAGGGTTTGTTTGAAAGGATTGAAGCTTTTTTAAACAAATGTAAAAAATTTGTTCAAATGTGCTGTTTTTCTGTCAAATAACCATTTTTGCAGAATTCTGCCAGAAATCTGCCAAAAAAATCCATTCTGTCAAATTTTCTGTTAAACTCATTTTTCACGAAAATTCTGTTAAAGTTAGCCGAAAATCGGCTAAAACGGTCACCCTGGTCATGTTCCAATTCTTGTTCCAATTTGGGAATCCGACGCTTCTGATTAATCGAGATGCCCATATTGGGACTCGTTCAATCTTCTCTGTGGCCCGAAATTCATAAATCGCACAGACATTTTCTTGAAAACGAATCTCTTGGTGCCAGCATGGAGCTATAAAACACATAGCTCCATGGTGCCAGAGAGCAAGAACATGCACACAAATTTGCAATTTGGGACTATGTGTAATGTTTGTATTTTTGCAAAATAGGGTTTTTAGTCATACTATGGGAGAGCTATTTGACAGTGATTTAGTTCATTTTAGCAATCCCGCAGGCTAGGAGCGTGCAATTATCTTGGTGTAAGGGTCTTTTGTTTATTTATGGATTAATGTGTATTTTTTAACTTATCATGTCTTTTTGGGATGTCTATACTGTCTGTAATATTATTATTATTATTTTTTACCCATTGGAAATTTCACCTGCGAAATAATAATTGAAATGAATAAATGAAATGAAACTTTCACCCGTTTTCAGCGAGAAATCGCGCCCCGAAAAAGTTATACATTCACACCCATTGCAGATGTTGTCAAATAATATTGGTACTTACTTACTTGGTACTTATTCCTTCATGGTACTTGGTTGGTTTCCTCCTGAAACATCCTCTAGGGATCTTGACTAGGAGGTCACGGGGAGGTGTCGGCACCTATAGGTCTCGGTCACGATGTGGTTGTAGTAGTTGTCCTAGTTGTTCCTGAAGGTCTTGCGCGTCAAAGAGTCAGTGATTATGTTGGGGCAGGTCATTCCATGATTTAATTGTCCTTGGGAAAAAATGAGTTCTTGAATGCAGTTGTACTATGTTGAATTGGTTGTTGTTCCCCCTCCTGGATCTCTGCATTTTTGGTTGAAGATAGTCTGAAGCATCGATGTCAACGGTGTGAGTGATGATGGTGCAGGTTTCCCTTCTGTCAGTTAACTTCGGCATCCAAGAGACGATAGCATGTTGGAGACACTACTCAGTCAGGTGTAATCTCCACAAGCGTGCAGCTCTGCGCTGAATGTTCTCTATCGCAGACTGATGACTGATTTTATAAGGGTTCCATGCTGCTACACCATATTCTAAGACTAAGAGTGGCCGGACAAGTGTGAAATATAACCTTTCCTTTACGTTTTTAGAGCTCATGTAGAAATTTCGTTTGATGAAGTTGAGGACTCTCGTTGCCTTGGTAACAGAATGCTGCGTCTGATTTTCCCATCCCAAATCATGTTGGACTTTTATGCCCAGGTACGTGAATTCCTTAGTTGCTTCAAGACCCACTCCATCCATCTCATAGGCAGGTTCACCAGGGTTGAGTTTACGAGAGACTCGCATCGATTTACATTTGCTCGCATTAAATAACATACCCCACGTAGTAGCCCATCCAATGAGGTTGTCGAGGTCGGCCTGCAGCAATTTCTCATCTTCATTGGTGTTGATCTGATGGTATATGAGACAGTCGTCGGCAAATAGCCTGGTAACGCCCCTCACAGCTGATTGAATGTCGTTGATGAAAAGGAGGAACAAGTGCGGTCCCAACACAGTCCCCTGTGGCACACCGCTGAGAACTTATGCCATCTGGCCAATCACCGCTGACAACAACCCTCTGCAGCCGGTTGTTTAGGAATGCAGAGATCCAGTTTTTAATCTTGCCCCTGATGCCGTAATGATCGATCTTCTGCATGAAGGAGTTTCTGGTGTGGTAGTGTGTCGAACGCTTTTGAAAAGTCCAACACTGCTACATCGGTGGTGATACCATTGTTGTGATTGCGGGCAAGATCATTGAAAGTCAAAATGAGTTGACTCTCACATGAACGTCCTCTACTGAAGGCATGCTGATTTTCAGATATAATTTGATGCTGGTTGAGGTGCTTCATCAACTGACTGTCAACAATATGCTCCAGAAATTTGCAACACACTGAAGTTAGGGACACTGATCTATAATTAGCTGGATCAGATGTAGTACCCTTCTTGAACCAGGCGCGGATCCAGATGGGGGCACACCCGGCCCGTGCCCCCCCTTTTCGCAACTGTTTTTTTTTTTTTTTTTTTTTTTTACGAGTTGTCTGAGGGCGGGCGGGCATTAAATACATCCCTTTGAGAACATGGCTATCTTTTTCGTTTTTGAGGAGTCATTATGGCGGGCGGACGGGCGGTCATCAAATCAATCGCTTTGAACATAACTATCATACATAATTGTCAACAAAAATATACAATGTATAAGTTTTGAAGGTCGCCTGTCAATCATTGTCTCAAAATTTCTTTCAAAGCAAGAATATATTTTTATAAGACACTTTTCTATTTCCCGGCTGGAATAGGGGGCACATTTAATACAGCACTTGCATTTAATGCTTCATGTCAAAATATATTCCAAAATATATTCTAGAGTTGAACATGTACCGGTACACGAAATAATGTAGGCCATGCGTTTTATTTTTTAAATACACGAAGAATTAATCGTCATCCCTTTTATATTGTCCCGGCCTCAGATAGGGAGAGAGATCAAATAAATAGGGGTTATTTTAATACGATTTAGTATGTTTTGTTCTCTCGATTTATTTTTAAAGTAAAACGATTTCAAACACCCTAGCCCATTTAGTTTTGAACTCTCAGTTAAGTTTGTAGATTCCAGGGGAAATTTTAATACGAATTCTGCTTAGTTTTTCCTAATTTTAAAAGAATACGAATAAGATTATCAACAGCCCTTTGACTTCAAACTTAATTTCAAAGTGTATTCCGAAATAATTATATTCTAGAGTAACATTTACAAAAAAAATGTAGGCCATGCAGTTTTATTTTTTAAATAAGCGAAGAATAAAATCGTACTACGAAAAAAAAGACATCGGGAGCCCTACATTTAATGAATTATTTGGACTTGAAATATTATCCCCCAATCGTTTATCTATCAAGGACGGATCCGGGGGGAGGGGGGGGGGGGGGGGCAAAGGGGGCCATGCCCCCCCCCCAAAAAAAACGAAACCAATTTTTTTTTTTTATGTGACGTCGCAATAAAGGCAGGCAATGAGTACACCACCATCTTTTCCTCAAAAAAACATTGGTAAAAGTGGTCAGAAATTGCCTCAGATCGCACCACAGAGCATCTAGAATCCAAAAAAATTTCGGGGCCCTTAAGCGGGCCCCGAACCCCACGCCGTAATTTTTTTACCCACTTTTTGGGGGTACCAAAAATTTTTTTTGGCCCCCCAAAAAATTGTCTTCTGGATCCGCCCTTGTTATCTATGTGCATGTACACAACACGGAGGTGAAAATTCACGTTCAATTCAGTTTCCAACATTTTTCGCAAAAAGTTTTCCCCTGTCTCTGAGAAAAAAAAAAGCCCAATCATTCTCTGGAAAAGCCTTTCCAGAGAATGATTGATAGCCGCATTGTTCAAATTGATACAATGCCACTCTTGTTCGTTACAAAGCATATACATTTGGGTTCAGCTGTAGGCCACCGAACTTTAAGGCCTTTGAGAACTTGCCGCCAGTAATTGGAAGATTCTTAGATGATAAACAGTGATGATAGTTTCTCAGCCAATAAAATCAGCCGGTTCCCGGCAAATAAATATGCCATTGGTTGCTTTCATCACGGACCGTCTGATTTCACGAATATGACTTCCTTCCACGCGCAACTGGAGTGATTAGCTATCTGAGCCACAGGTGCATGGCTGCATGCCCATCACATTCCAACCTGGATGCTTAGAAATACTGTTGCTAGGAGGCTCCCCTGTGATGCCTGGGACTGCCGGTTGCGTAGCCAGAAATCTTGTATGTGACTATTTTGAAACCTTGTATGTGAAAGCGGCAGCTCAGGAATGCTGCTGCTTTCGGGAAATTTGTGCAGGCAAAGTTTTTCATATTTTGGAAATTGGAATTTGGATGCAGTTTGCATTTCCGTTAAATAAAAGGTTGGTTTTTTGTTTTCTTTTAAAGAAAATCGGAGCCCCCCCCCAAAAAAAAAATACAAATAAACGATTTTCCTCAGGCCTTGACATTTCTTGAAGTGATTCGACAACACTTGCAGAATGCAGACGATTCATTTCGTCTTAAATTATTTTATAGCCTGCAGACTTCAAAAGAACATGGAAAAAATGGTGGTTAAACTTAAAGTGTATACAAGTGTATATACAAAGTAAGTGACCGCAGTTACCACACATTATACTGGGACACAGGCGGCAGTCATTTTGAAGTCTTGACTAAACGTGTAAACGCTACGGGAAAATTTTGCTAATATCACTTTTTTTTATGACAGGAGAGGGGCAAAACGAAAAGGATATTATTAATGATGATGGAAGTAAAAAAAAAAAATGAAACGACAATAACATCAACCAAAATGGGGTGGGGTGGGGGTGGTGCTGCTTGGGGCAGGCTGTCCCCTAATGAAATTCAATTTATTTTATTTTCTTTGTTTGCAAGGCAAATTTCTGGGTAGAAATGTATGTTTTAATAGTAAGGCCAAAAAAAAAAAGTCTCCGGTTTCTGGTATGGAGCTTGCCCCAAAAGTGGTGCGGCGACGCGGCTTTTTTTTTTTTTTTTACCTGTTTTTTTTTTTTTTTGGCTTCAAATGTCGGCTGATGACTGCAAATGGTGCCCGACTAAACTTAGTGCAAATATATGGGAGTCCAGAGAGGCCACATAAAGCTTATTCTCGATCATAACCCCATCTAAAAACACGTTAAAATTGTGCAGCAGCAGGATTCCAGTCAAACCAGTGAGTTTGGCGGTTTTGAGACATCATCTTGTATTGAAAAAAAAAACTTTTTCATTTTGCCGACGCGCATGGCTGCGGCGACGCGCGCGCATACCAGAAACCGGAGACTTTTTTTTTTTGGCCTAAACATGACTTTTTTTGGCTCGCTCGCTCCGCTCGCTCGCAAAATAACACATGTTCATTTTTTTTTCACCCGGGGGCTGTCATCAGCACCTTCTAATTTTGGGGTTCATTTTCAACTAACATCAACAGTGACTTTAAATTCTATACTTGATAGAAAAAAATTTGTGTTATTAAAATTAAAAAATAAACATTGTGAATTTTGCTCTTAATGGCTTAAAATACTCATGATGTAGGAGAGAACATCTAAAATCGTAGAGCTTCCAGTGCCCTCAACAACCCCGCCCGCAAGGGATTTCGTGCTTCAGTCTCGTTATGTGTGCAACGCGCACAAAGTTTTTGTGCCCCCCCTTTTTGAAAATCCTGGATCCGCCTCTGCTTGAACAAAGGGGTTATGTTGGCCTTTTTCCAATCTGCCGGCAGCTCACCTGTGTCCAAAGATTGTTGGAAGATGTGCGCAAAATGGGGGCGATTTCATCCGCAGCAAGTTTGAGGGCTCTATTTGATATTTGGTCTGGCCCAGCTGCTTTGGAGACATCCATTGATTTAATCAGTTTCATAACACCTCCCACAGACACTTTTATGTCAGGCATGTCAGGGTAACTTCTGTCAGGCAAACACGGTAACTGCGACACCTCCTCTCTGGTAAAGATGCTACTGAATTGATGTGCTAGAGCCTCGGCTTTCTCCTTGTCCCCAGTTATGTCAACGTCGTTAACCTTGAGGACCTGGACACCAGAATTATTTCTACGCTGTGATTTGATATATTGCCCAAATTTCTTGGGGTCATTAGTAGATGTCATAGCTTCCGCCACATTTTTCCACTTCAAGATTCTCCTCGGTGGTTTTGAAACAGGAACAATTTTGATGGAGATATCAGCCAGGACGATTTCATGGTCACTTATTCCAGAAACTGCGTGGACATTTTTGACTGCCAGTGGTCTAGTTGTAAAAAGCAGATCCAGGATATTCTCAACACCAGAGACTGGGTCCTTACGAGTGGTAAATCCAACTTTCTGTTTTAAGTGGTAGTCATTACATCTCCATGATTCAGACTGTAGACTGCAATGGGGGTAGGTTGTTTCGTCCGGGCTCCACAACATACCAGGAATGTTAAAATCACCTCCCAGGATAACAAAGGGGTAGTTCAGATTTGAGAACATCCTGGTGAGACTGTCATTTAGCCCATTTAGTGAGTCTTTATTGGATGAATCAGGTCTACGATAAAAGGCACCGATAAACACATCGTCACCAGTCGGTCTAAGGGTAAGCTGACACCATAAGATCTCGCCGTCTTCAACCATGTCAACACTGAAAGCAAGGGCGGATCCAGAACATAATTTTTGGGGGGGCCAAAAAAAATTTTGGTCCCCCAAAAAAGTGAGTCTAAAAAATTACGGCGTGGGGTTCGGGGCCCGCTAGGGCCCCAAAATTTTTTTGGATTCTAGATGCTCTGTGGTGCGATCTGAGGCAATTTCTGACCACTTTAACCAATTTTTTTTTAGGAAAAGATGGTGGTGTACTCATTGCCTGCCTTTATTGCGATGTCACATTAAAAAAAAAAAAATTGGTTTCGTTTTTGGGGGGGGCCATGGCCCCCTTTGGCCCCCCCCCCCTGGATCCGCCCTTGACTGAAAGGGGCGCGGGCTATACAAAACCATGAATTATGCATGCAGTTTGTGCATGTAATTATCCTAATGAATCCCTTGGAATAAAGCAGCAAACATCGGTAGACTAATTTCAACAAATTTGCATATTTGGACAACTTTCATTCAATCATGCAGAGGGGTGACCCCAGTGAGAATTGTTGGTCATGGCGTATATACAATTTTATTTTACACACAGAATGAACAATTTCACACAGTTCAGAAAATTGTTCTGAAAGTGATTCAATGTAATACCAGAAAAATTGTATGAGAACTAGCGATCACTTTTCACTTTCAAAAATTTTAAGTATCAATTTCAAACCCCAATTTTTGTTGAATTTGTCAATAGTATATTAACATTTTGTTTTACTTGAGATCCCATCAGTGACAAATCCCTTGTTTCAAATAGTGGAACTCGGTGTAATCGTACAAAATATGAAAAATTATGAAATAATTTTGTGACAGTCATTGGGTAAAAGCTGAAAGATGAATAGGAGCTTAAATGTCTTTTAGGATATACAAGTTTATTTAATAAACTTGAAGGATTCATTAGCATTTACAAAACAATCGAAAATTACTGGTGATAATTGTATTCAAGCAAGCCCAACTAAATCTAGAACCCATCGACTGTGGGAAGGTAAATCTTCGTGTCGTTATTATTCTATTCTCACGCAAGTACGCGATGCAATAACAAACTTGAACGAACAAGTAGACCCAGGAACGAAAATGCCGGATGTGAAAGGTCGTAACTAAAATTCGTTTTACCCATGAACTGATTTCTTATCATTATTTCTTTACAAGAATTTTTCTTGGGGTGATTAGGCTACGTTAAATCATTCTGTCAAAAATTATAGCAAGAGAAAGGGCAAAGACAAAATGGCGTACTTTCATACTCTATTACGTAAGAACCATTCAAGTATCTGGAGTTTGCAGGTACAGACTCTCTTTCAATTCGGCCCAGCAAAGAGCATTATAAAAGAGCGTGCATGGTGACACACCGGTCAATAAATGCAAAACAAAACAGTTGATGTGACTAATGATCGTTATGCTCATACGCAAAGACCGTGGAACATTATACTATACTACAACATTATTTTAACACCCTAATTAGGGTCGCAACTTAACAATCCCATATCTTTCACGCGCTTTGATTTGTTCAAGCTTGCCTTTTATATAACGACATTGCAAACAGCATTTTGATCGCCCATATTGACTACTCCCAGTTGGTCCAGATTCCATCGTGCAAGGCTGGATTTGCTCGAAAGTCTCCAGGCGGGTAATACGGCGGCACCAGACTATCATAATAGTGCTGCAATCGACTGACCATCATGTCGACGATGTCCGGCTTGACGTCGGACAGGTCAGAGTATTCGTTGGGGTCGTCCTTGACGTTGAACAGCCAGACGTGTTTGCCTTCGACCTGTAGTGGGTAGATGGGGACAATCCCTGAGTCAGGAGGCGGGATCCAACTGCTGTTTCCTGTGCGAACAGATTGACAATCCATTGTGTTAGGCCAAGAATACCCTGGATATATAGACAGGAACTAGGCCAAGGCGACATATCCTTCAAAATACAATTTTCTATCCTTTAACAAAAAGTGCACCAACAATTAAGGTCGTGTCCTGTTTTCTTTCTTTAAAGGGTCCGTGAAATGAATTTTACACTGGTGCACATATTTGTAGCAAATTTTCAATCCTCTGAAATGTATGGGGGAAAATGGGAGATCCCTTTTTGTTAAAAGCCTTTGCAAAGTGCACCACCAGTTTTAAACTATTGAAATGTTTCATGCGTTTCCTGACAACTGAGGGCGTTGTTGCCGTGATGTCACTTTGGATTATGGTGTTTCTCTTCAAATTGTAAACCCCAAAATGTGCTTATTGAAAACATTTGGGCAGAAAATGTTCCCATAGTCTACCGTCATATACTGAAACAACAATGAATCACTGAAAACAGAGAAGAAACCATTTCAAACCTTAAACATTCTTGTGACTTATGCTGAAGTAAATGTGACACTGAAGTTTCAGGCTTGAATGACATCACAGTTTCATGAATATGGAAATTTGTATTAGCATGAAGTTCACAAAGGCATATTACATTGGCCCTTTAATAGTAAAAGGACGTTTAAAATGTCTATTTACTGCTTTTCAATATAAGATAATCTGAGTTTTGATGCTCATTTTGAGTTGATAGAATTTTCAGTAATGACTTTTATTGAACATGCAATATGGGTCTACCAGATATTTTTGTTCCATTAATAAATTACACTCGCAACAAATGATGAGTAAATTTTGACCCTAATTCATTTAGCAGTTTAGCTAGAGACCTTTGCAAGAACCCAAGGCATATTGAACTTAAACTTTCAATGGGGCATCAAGTCCGATGTGATGCGCCTGCAGTGCTCTTCTAGAGCAAAATCTCCTTAAATCTCTTGGTTAATGTTTGAAGGATCTGAAAAAGGTCATTTTTTTCCATCACAACTGTTGAAAGACTACATCACAGAAAATTAGTCACGACACGCGATGCGAATGCAAAAGGTTATGGAAACAGGTTTTGCGGATGACAACCATGTAAAAATCTCAATCAGCGCGTCTTCCTTGAGGTAATTAAAGATTCTGATATGAACGAGCGAATGGAATGAAGTGCGCTTTCTTAAGTAGGAGAACTTGACAGAAAATTCTCTCCTCGTACGTTCTCGTCCCATAGTAACCAATGGTGGCAAACTTGCTTCCCGTATCCTGATTCGAAACAGCAATAGCAAGAAATGGACCTCAAAACAGTCCCCATTTTCCATTCTGCTTACAATAATACTTGTATAATATGATACTGCATATTGACTGGATAAGATGGTAGCATTTTAACCTTGACGAAAATCGTTGTTTTTATCCCATGCAGACACCGCATAAAAACATGTAATTTAAAGCACATCCAAGGACCAGACTGTTCTTAATTTGCATATGTGCAAGATTTTTGAACTTGCAAATGATCCAATACTATAGCGTGAGAGAGTAGGTTATGATGGGAGCGTACTGCTCGACACCACGGGAACGAGGCTGAGAAGCAAATTTACCACCAAGGGCTACTTTTGTAAAAGAGGTTGAAACAAATTAAGATCCATGGACGAGGTTAGTTTGGAACTGACCTGGATCTCCCGTGAGAAGTTTCCAATCCCCAACGCGTATGGCAGCCCTAATAGTGGTGTTAAAGGTCCCAGACTGCAGCGTTTGGTTGAAGTACTGTCTGTCTCCAGTCTGGTGCCTATTGGCCGAGGCGTCATGCTGATGTCCGGATGCAGACACAGGAACCATGGCAACATCCAGGGGGTCGATGTTGTGGAGGATTTCCGTTCGAGGGGAAGGTGTGCCATGGCTTTCAAAACAAATCAAAACAAAACGAAAAAAAGGCCTGCAAATAACAAGGTCATGCTAAAAACAAGTAAGGAATTCCATTCTTCATTTATATGATAATGACGAATTCGCCACATTCGTGACCAATCTTTATATCAGAAAAGCAAAATTAATTCCAGCAGAGTAAGGTTGGCTTGAAAAAGGAAATTGTTTCGCTGCCATTGTTGAGGTTAGTGGGACACCTAGACCTAATAAAAAAATGTACATTTAAGGGCTCATTTTCATAACTGTTTCATTCTTGTCGGCGAGGCAATGGATTGAATTGCTAAATAATGACTATTTTATTCTGTTCGATGTTATATCCTTCAAGTGCCCTTTTTTCTAAGATGTTGTTTGTTCGAATTTGTTTCCTTTAGCTATGGTTTCTGATTGTAAAATGTAATTTTCTCTGTGTCCCCATCTTGACTAAACCCAAGGCTGCATGCATACCAGCAAATAGGCCCACAATATTGTCTACGCCGGCCTATCACGATTTGTATACTGCTATGCAAGTACTGTGGCCCCTGCACTTGGTATAGACACGAAGGGCCCCAGCTCTGCACCGGTCTTTATTTGTATTTCTGTCAAATTTGGGAGAAATGAAATTGGACCCGCCAATTTGCTCTATTTTGCAATGTAGTAAAAGGGGTCATTTTTCAAATTGGCGATGGACATCAGGACTGGTTTCAGGGGTGATAATCTTTGGAGGGAAACACCACCCAAAGGCATTGGTTAAACTAAAAATAATGGAACAGAAAGTGAAAGAGGGAAAATCAAGTTTTAATTTGAGTGATAGTTCTGAGTAATTGTTTCCTCGTTGTTTTAAGTGTGGGGGGGGGGGGGCATGGGCGTAGCCAGCGGGGGGGAGGAGGGTATTTACCCCCCCCCCCCCAATATTTTGAAAAGACTGCCCTTTTCCATTCAAATGCCCTTTGTCACCAGCGCTTACCCCTGAATATTTGTCAAGAGTGCCCTTTTTTTCCTGAACAAGTGACCTTTTTTGTCCATAAAAGTGCCCCTTTGTCCCGAAAAAAGTGCCCTGTAAAACGTAAGCGTGCCCTTTTTGCTTTCATGGGCCGTTACAGGTGCCTTTTTTGAATGCGACTCATTAAAAGCACCATATATTGTGCATAATCGTCGGTTTTGAACAGCGCCCACACCGGCAGAGGGTATCAGCCCCACCCACATAATAATTTCTTTGACCTTGCCCCAGTGGTCGTCCATGTACTTTGCAAAAAGAAATGACGGTTATGACGTACCAAAAGAATTAAGGTTTCTACTTGATAGTGTTACCTTATGGTCTCCCATACATCGTAGCCGTCCAATGGCATACCAGCCACGCTCCCTCTTGCAATCCCGGCCACCAGGGTCGGGAACCAGTCACTGACGTGAATCAGTTCACGGTTTGTAGTCCCTCTGACACTGTCTGACAACAAGGGACTGTGGACGAACCCCACGCCACGCATGCCCCCCTCCCACAGAGACAGCTTCCAGCCTCGGAGGGGCCAGTTGTTGCCGCCTTGGTGGATCTGGCCTCCATTGTCTGCAAACAAAAATGTGTAACTTGGTATAGAGCACTGTACGGGTATTCTTAAGGTCGTGGATTCAAATCCATACGCTTGTAGTTGTCTTTGCTCATCCAACAGCACTGTGCTCCTAATTGAAATGATCAAAGGTTCTTAAATTGCTGTTTCTGACGAGTTGTTAGAGGTTCTCACGAGTGATCTTCAAATCGCAGGCACCCTTCACCAAAATTCGACTGAGATTTAATTGTATTTAACATAATCTGATGATAAGTCACAACAACATAATGGTTACAGAAAATCAAACACAAGTATAGCCCCGTAACTACACAAGGGACACGGAGGCATCCCCGGCACGAGGTACGTGACCCCTTTGTTCCTCCGCTCAGCATTTGGAGAGAAATAAAACATTAAGTGCCTTCTCAAACACAATGGTGCCCTTGGAATACAGCCTCAGAACATCACTAATCCCCACAGATTCCGGGGGGCCAATGGAGGCCATTCCCCCCCCCCCCCCAAAAAAAAGAACTCATCTATTGGATTTTTTAAGTGACGTCGCAATAAAAGCAGGCTCTGCGTACACCACCATCTTTTCCTCAAACAACATTTGGTTAAAGTGGTCAGAAATTGTTTCAGATCGCACCTCAGAGCATCTAAAATAAAATAAAAACGGGGCCTTTAAAGCGGGCCCCGAAACCCACGCCGTAACTTTTTGGACTCACTTTTTGGGGGACCAAATTGTTTTTGGCCCCCCAAAATAAATTGTGTTCTGGATCCACCCTTGCCTGAACGGATGGTTTTGTCATCTGACGTCAGAAGGAGGTTCCTGCATAGTGCACTCATGCACAACCCAGCAAAACAAATGCATTGCCCTCTAAGATGGCTGTTACGCATAAGATCGCGAATTGATTTCTAAAACAAGTATTAAGTACCACTTTAATTTAGGTGGTACAACCTTTGAAGTGATCGAAGTAGAAGCCAACCTGTTGAGAATATTAGGACTGTGTTCTCCCATAGTCCCAGTTCAGTCATCTTTTGCGTGATGTTGCCGATAGCCTCGTCCATACAGGCCACCATGCCCGAGTACAGCCGACGGTCTAGATCCTGGACGTCTTTGTATGGCTCCACGTACTCCTCCGGCACCTCCAGGGGTGAATGGACGGCTTGGAATGGTAGGTATAGAAAGAATGGCTGTTTTGGGAATTGAGAATCAATTGAAATCTGCATCAATACCTTTACCGTTTCTGTCAATGTTGTGGATATGGTACAATTACATGTACACACAGCCAACCTAAACATGAATTGTACACAGAAGTATAACAGATTGGATTTGTATTTAAATATAGCTGGCACAATGCTACCTCAAAAACTGCGTCGTTGCTTTCGTATGCAAAGATCACTTAGTCGGACTACGTCTGCCGATTGTTTCACAAACCGAAAGGTTACCTGGCGCTTTCACTTTTAACCTCTGATAACGTACATCAGCATGACAATGGATCAAGAACATAGAGCTTTGCTGGGGTGATAGTTCCCCCCCCCCCCCTCCCTCCTCCCGGTAAGTAATTGGGGGCTAGCTGGTAATGAGGCTCCCTCTGATGACAACGAGACTGGATGGACCGTTGTAAAGAGCGCCTCACTGGACATGGGTCTTTGTTCTTCTGTGATACGCATGAGTAGATACTTTGTACTTTCACTGAATTTAAGAGACAACATCTGTAGACAAAGCGATCGCTCCGTGAAAGGGTAGTTGTATCTTTGAACTGAAGAACATTAAGCTTCAATAATCAGGTTTAATATAAGACTTACTAATGTACTTGGCATTCTAACAGATGTCGAGTTTACCTTTTTAGGTCGAGTGTTGTCCAGAATTTGAAGGGCTCGCTCTGCAAAGAGGTGAGTTGAATACTGGCCGCCGTACCTGGGGGCGGATTTCTCTTGGTTTCGGAAGTCGTAGCCCTTAGAAATGGCATCGCAGTCGAAGCCTGGCATCATGCAGCTGCGTCGGTGAGTGTAGTAGTGTTGACTGCCACTGTAAAAGCCTGTCACGCAAGATTATTGAAATCAACAAGGGTTATGCCTTTACCTTCTGTCTTTGTATTGCTATTCGCATTTTATTTTGTCCATTCATTTCCCTGTTTTGTGACTTTTTCAAATGCGAGTTTCGATTTTCATGTATTATTCAAGGCGGATCCAGAAACTTTGGGGGGAAAGAAGGCTTTGGGTATATAGTATCGTGCTCTATGCACATAAAATACATTGTGTAGATTGTGTCTTCTCTCCTCCGATTTCAAACATAAGAACTCGTTGCCCCCCCCCCCCCTCCCCTTATCCGCCAATATTTCTCAGTTTGAGTAAGTCATATGTGCAAAGGTAACATGGCATGGGCAGAGGAATACCCTTCACAATTTATGTGACTAGTGTGTGCCTTAGCATGAGAGTGGATGATGATTGCGACCATTGTGATGGGCTTGTGAGGTAAACCTTTGATCTGCGGAATTAGGTCAACAAAATATTCTAATTTAAAACAAACCAAAGAAGGTATCAAAGCCACGCCTGGTGGGCCAGCAGTCTTTCTTGTAGAAGCCAAGATGCCATTTGCCGACTGCGTGCGTGGCGTAGCCGAGCTCCTTGAGTTTATCGGCGAGGGTCGGGTCTTCTAGAGGGAGGCAGTTTGGCTGGACTGCATGGATAACTCCGTGCGCAAGACCATTGTGAATCTTAAAAGAAAGGGTGTGACATTATTCAGTTTTTAGCAGATCCATGCGCATGCGCGTCTATTTTGCATAGGTCTGTCCCCGAAAATTGACCAAAAATAAGCCCCCTAAGTTTCCCCATAAAATATAACTACCAAATTGAAATAAAAAAGCAAGCAAACAAAGTGTAATACTTTACAAAAATTGTTTGTAACAATTCGGAAAGATGTTTATGAAGTTTGTAAATGGAGGCAAAATAATGTGCATTAATGGTGTAGTCCCGTGGTATTTTGTGTAGTGGTTGGACGTTACCAGAAGGAGGAAATGTTCCCAAAGTTGACCAAAAGTATGGTGCCACCGAAGTACACTCGCACTTGTTTATTTATTTGGTTCTCATATATATTAGGCTCCCGACTCGAGAATATTTATTTATTACCGCTGACCCGGTCCCGATCCCCATTATAATCGGGCTCCGTGCTATTTGAAAAGGTATTCTAAATGAATACCGTCGATATTTGTAGGCGAAGTCTGGCATATAGCAAACAGTGGAATCCCAGAAGATGAGAGGATGTTGTCTCTCATCCCATTAGGTGTCAATAGTCATACCTTTACTGGTATGTCATGGCTGCCACTTAAACGTTAGTGAACTGCTTGGTGCAGATACAATGTCATAATTATGGAGAAAACTGCTCAGTGGACAATGGTGGACAATAGTGAACAATAGAAGAACAGCAGATTGAAAGTTTAGGATAAGTCCATTTCATTTTAACATCTTAGCACTCATCCACGACCAAGTACTCAACAATAATCTCATCTGTATTTGCAAACGTCGTCACTTGAAATCCATCGACGAAATGGAGAAAAAGAAATAGGAAAACGCGATTTGTTTTCGCAAAGGTTCGTTCTCCCTCAACCGATTTGTAGCCGCGCCACGAGAGGTCGCAGTTCGCGCTTCGTAGGCGAGTACATTGTATCACGGATCCGATTGTATGCAACCTCGTCCCCAGGGTGTCGAGCAGTACGCGCCCACCACTACCTGCTCTCTCACCCTGGTATTGGATCATTTGCATGTGCAAGATTTTTGCACACGTATGCAAATGAGGAACAGTCTGGTGCCTGGCTATGCGTTACACATTAGCGTTTGTTTTTGTATGCGGTGTCTGGGGTAAAAACAGAGTCAATTCGTAGCAGCGCGAGCACGGCGTGAGTTACGAAAACACGATTTTTGAAATCAAACTGTTACGATCTTATCGAGACAACATGCAGTATCATATTTCATATTAATATGAGCAAATTGGAAAGGAAATTAGTATTTTCGAGAAGGCGTGGACGAATGATCGCGAAAACACGTACTGCACGTTGTGAATAATAGCACCAAGTACACGATAAAAATCCATTACTAGCCAATTGCGGTATCCAATCAGGATACAGGAAGAAAGTTTCCTATACAGGGTTTACTATTGGAAACGCGGTTGGAAATAAAGTAAGCACTGGGGACGAGGTTGGATTGTATGTATGCACAGCTAGCTCGGGGCGAGTACGTGTTAAGATGTTAGCGGCCAGATACCATTATCGGCACTGACGATGAACGCCTTGACCAAGGCTATCTGAAAGCAGAAAAGCATTTTGCCACTTTCCGGACCAGCTAAGTAAAATCAGACTTTTTTTCCAGTATCTGAAAAAGAAGTAAGTAGAATACAAAGTTGTTGTAGCTTTTTCAGGGGGAGGAAAGCAGAAAATAGAATTTTCTGCTCCTCGAGTAAAAGAAAAGTAGATGTCCACCTTTCGTCTGCCAATAAAAGGAGGAAAAGTAAAATCTGCTTTCCAGATATAAGAAATGTTTTTCATTAAAAAGTAAATTATGCTTTTCTGGCAGCAGAAATATGACACCAAAGCTTTGGTGTCATATTTCTGCAAAGTATAAAACGGAACTTTCAAAATCTTTCAATCTGCTTTTCTCTATGTCTTCTTTTCGTCCTTCATAGTTAGTAAACTACAACTTGCCAGATAGGTTTTATTTTATTTAGTGATATCGAGTCATGATAAACTCATTGCAATAAAAAACTACAACACATCTATACGTCTGCAAATGTAATTTTGTTCCCTCAGATTTTCATTTTTTTACCGACAAACTGTTTTTCAGAAGCAAAAAATATGAGAACAATACAAATAAAATGGAAGGCCCTAAGCAAAAAAAAAAATCACTAATTTCACCGAATAAAAACTCCACTGTATTAAATCACAGCTCCGTGCAAGCTCAGTGCAGCTTCTTCTTTTTTGGACTGATTTCTGTGCTTGTGAAATATTAGGTTATTCCTCCATCGGTCAAGACGTACCTGGTATCGACCGCTCATCAGTTGACTTCTCGTCGGGGTGCAAATCGGCTGGACATAGTAATTCTCCAGCTTCACGCCCTCAGCGGCAAGTTTGTCCAGCCATGGAGTCTTAATTGCAGAACCATGGTAACCGACGTCATGGAAACCGAAGTCATCAGCCAAGATGAAGATGATGTTCGGTAGAGTTGCCGATGTATTGCTGCAGTCACCCGCAGGCGCGAGAGCCAGGCCGTACACCGATGCCAGAAGCCACAGTTTTCCGAGGTCTAACCAGCGTTTCAAAAATCGGCTCCTGCTCCCCATTTTTTCTGAGGGACCCTTCAAAATATACAAACCTTGCTCTGTAGCACCTTGCCCTTTGCAAAGAACACTGACTTACAAACGGCTCGGCTATGTTCCCCGATTCAAAATTGAAACACGGTATCGGACATGATTTCAGGTAAGTTCTAAGGCTTTATTTCCGGCAATTATTTACACACAAATTCGTTATACAGGAATATGGGAACCACACCAATATGTCCTTGTACTATTGCAAGAACCTAACTCTGCTAAATCCGGTTTGACTGAAACGCGACAGTCACTGCATTCAAGAATTGTCCTTCACTGACAATATACCGTTCTCTGCCAACAACGGATGGGCAAACTATGCAAGGCCAACATTGCAAATATAAAGATTAGCTATTATTTTCTCCAAACATATCAATGGGTTGCTGAAAATAGAAAATAAACAACAAAAGCTATACGAACGACTTAACTAAAATGCCTATTTCTTACATGAGAATGTCAATATGCAAGTTTTGGCAAAATCTGTTGCCAACCACAGCTTAAATTAATGGCCTTGTGGCAGCCCATACAAAATGGCATTCAATGTTTACAAATGAAATATTTATATACACATGTATTATTTAACACTGTTTTTCAAAGGTGCTCAGCAATTACAAACTTTCGGTAGTGTCAAAATAGGGGGAAAGCAATAAAAACATTTTTAAGACATTAATTAAGAAAATTAATGAACAGTCAAACGAGACAAGGTTAATCAAGGTTAATCACACTGAATCATCACAGTGACAGTAAAATAACAGAAACAAGATAAACAAGATACCATAAAATATAAAATATCTGATTCTTGTAGCAGACTGAGTGGTAAAGGATGTAGTGTCTATAGACGTTTGTGCCGTTTTCTTTATTAAAAGAGCCTGCCGTTGTCTTTATTAAAAGGCCTGCATCTCTCGCTTGACTGGTTTGTGTTCTATTCTCTGCATACAACTTCCCCCTCCTATGGGTATGCGAGATTCATTCATTTGGTGGTATGCAAAACTCCGTTCAAATAAGAGAAATTCAAAAATACACAAATTAAACCATACAGATTGAATTTCGAGTAAATTCATGACTGATTCAATCCCAGAAATTTGACAAAATTTATTATTCGGGCCGGAAAAAAATAGCAAGGGATGGGCAACTTTAAAACAAACACTTTCTTTTAAATAATGAAAGACAAACTTTTCTATCTCTTACTTTTTGTGGGTGGGATTGGTTTTCTTAATACTTCATTGGAAGGCAAACCCAAGAAATTAATGAAAATTGACAATCGAATTTGAAATTCGGGGGTTCCTGACGACACCCCCCCCCCCCCAAAAAAAAACCTGCATTCAACATAGTGTTATTCCCAGTTAGTCCAGGCACCATCGTGTAAGGCTGGGTTCGATCTTGGATCTCCAGGGGGGTACAACGGTGGCACTAGACCACTATAGTAGTGCTGTAATCTTCCAACCAGCTCCTTAACCTTGTCTGGTCTGGCTTCAGATAGGTCATGATACTCATTGGGGTCCTCCTGGATATTGAACAGCCAAACATGTTTACCTTTCTGTTTAATTGGTTGGATGGGGACGATCCCTGAATCAGGAAGTGGTATCCATCTGCTCGATCCTGTGTAATGTGAAATACGATGTAGAGGAAACACAAGTTGAATTACTTGTCCAGTAAATACATGTATAAACTAAGGCAGGCTATCCAGTGCGCGGCATCAATCTCCTGCTAAGGTTCGAGTGGTAGCTGCGCGTATGACGATGCTTCTTTTAATAAAAGGAGATTTTCTGACACATTCGTAAACGGCACAAGATGTGCAATATCACGCCCATCAGCTATATCGAAGATGGTACCGTGAAAATTATTTCGTAAAATCTATCAACACTTTCTCAGTCACTTTTTGGAACCTTTGCCATGGATCTTGTGACCTTTGAGTGTGGATGTCAGGTTTTAAAACATGTACCTGCAACTTTCTCAGAAATCTTGGTAAGGTCTACGAATAGCGTGACAGCCTGTACAATACGTGTTAAGTTTTTCCAAACAGCAATGCAATAGGCCTGGTCGTGCTTGTGCTATTCGTTCTTAATACGAATATATAATACAGTTGCATAGTTGATTTGCATATACTTGCGCCAAAAAAGGGAAAAGAAAAAAACCTTCGTCGCGATGTAAAACTCATCACGGGCCCTACATACTCTGAATCCAACCTATCTATTAGAGATTTCCCTTAATCCACCAACGACAGCCAATGAAATCAGTGCAGGCCTAAGTCACACCTGGATTTCCAGTTAGGAGTTTCCAATCCCCAACACGTATAGCAGCCCTGATAGTGGTGTTGAACGCACCAGATGGGGTGAAAAAGTCATCGTCCTTAGTCTGGTTCCCTTCGAGTGACCAGTTAATGATTGACATGTATGTCTGGGTCAGAGGGTCGATATTGTGCAGGATTTCCGTTCTTGGAGAGGGTGATCCTAGACTACAAAAGGGAAGTAAAAAGAAATGTTAGAGTCATACGATAGTTTTCAAACAAAGCTGAAAGGTAGACACCTTTGCAAAATGAATATATATTTTACCGCTCCGAGAAACAACAATAAAAACAATAAAAGTAAAATTATTATAAAAAATAAACTGTCGAAATGTCAGCGATGGAGATATTCTTTTTAAAAAAGAGTGAAAATGTATCTCCATGTTTCTCGACTCCGTTAAAAAATGTTCATTAATACGTTTTGACTTGCACCCTCTTGTGGTATGATGCCAGTTCGTCATTCGGAAAAATTATTTCCATTCACGGATATGTAACTAATTGCAAACTAAATTCGGTCAGTTGGGAGCAGTGTTTAAAAACAAGTTACTCCTTGATATGGTTTGGTTTTAACCATCGCAAAGAAATAATGGTATTCCTCCATTCTTAAAAATGAGAGCATACCAGGCGCAACGATTTCACAGGATGTTTGATCCTATTGTAACTTACAATCAAGTAGCACATTTCATAATAATGGAGCAGTTTCGTTTTTGGAATGTTTGCTCAATTTTGCCCATTACTTTTAACGACTTTATTTATATTGTTTTTCGACTTATGATGTTTTACAAAATAACATTTAAAAAATGTTTTGCCTTCCCGATCGAGTAACTTTCATTTAGTCTGAGAAATCAACGGGTCTGCTCAGATAGGACTTGAACTTCGAACTTTTCTTGCGTTCTAGTGCAGTCGATTCACACAAGTAAACCACAGAAACAACAATGCCAAGTCGATAACAGGTACCAATGACAATGATTGGTTATTTACAAGCTCTTAAATAATAGCCTTTCGGGGTTTTTCTGCTGCCAACCATCAAACTTGACGAGTGGCCTGAGAATCGATCAAATGAGGATCAGCTAAAGGTCCAATTGAAAATCAGTCAAAATCAACTGATTTTTAGTCAGGATAATTATTCACTGAAAATTCTACGTTGAAGAGGAATCTAGTCAGAATTTAGCTTCACTATCGATGTGTGTTTGTATCAGTGACCAATTTCCTTTTACCTTATAAGAACTAAAGAATCGGCATTTTGTCCATAATTGAAGTTCGCAAAAGATGATATCGAGTCAGCATTTCACCATGTAATATCATGTACGTGGTATAGATGTGAAGGACACGTCTTGTGGTACATTGGCATGGATAAATCACCTGATGGTATTCCAAACATTGAAACCGTCTAGTTGCAGACCCTCCAGACTGCCTCCGGCAAGCCCAGCTACAAGGGTTGGGAACCAGTCGCTGACGTGTATCAACTGCGTGTTGCTGGTACCCCGCATGGCGTCTGGTATGAGTGGGCTGTAGACGAAGCCTACACCGTGGATACCTCCTTCCCAGAGGGTGCCTTTCACGCCTCGCAGAGGCCAGTTGTACCCTCCTCCAAAAATAGGTTCGCCACCATTGTCTACCGATGGAATTTGGAGGGAAAACATTCAAAATAATAGGCCACTTCCGAATAACCTATCCTGTGCATCAACTTTTCTATTTTGACATAGGTCAATTTATAGTGAAAGAATATCGAAAGTGACTATAGGACACCCGTTACCAATATATTACTTTCAAATGGTGAAAATGGCACAAACCAGGAAAAAAGGAAAGTGCTTTAAAATAAAAAAACAAGTACTATTTCTCGAGAGTTGAAATCCGAATATACAAGTGTTAACTTGTACATTTTAAGAAAAACGAATGAGACATTATTCACAAATATCTCATGAGTTGAGGCCAAAGCTCACTGAAAGTTTTAGTTTGTGTAATTGTGTAAAACACGAACATTTGTCACTATGACAGCTTGCGAGGTCCATCCTGATCTTCACTTTGAGCATACATCATACATTGTGTCTGCTGCCATCAGGCGGCTGCCTAACAAACCTGTTGAGAAGATCAGCACTGTGTTTTCCCACAATCCCAGCTCCGTCATTTTCTGCGTGATGTTCCCGATAGCCTCGTCCATACAGGCCACCATGCCAGAGTATACTCGTCGGTCGTGATCCTGGACTTCTCGGTATGGCTTCAAATACTGGTCGGGTACCTCCAGGGGAATGTGTGGCGCTTGGAAAGGTAGGTACAGGAAGAATGGCTAACGTTGTTGGTACACAAAAAGAGCACGAAAAGGTCAAACAAAAATACGATAACGATTTTCAAGACACTTAATTACACTCCACAGAATTATAAAGCGTATGCACCAGACACGAGTTTTCAGAAAACTGATATTTAAAATGAAATGACTTTTCCTCTAAACCAGAGAACGACTTCCTTTTTAAAATCGAAATAGTTTTCTGTTTTCCTGTTAGGTTTGTTACACATTACTTTGTTAGGCTGACTGTTTTCCAAAATGTGCTGGGCTCGCTCTGCTAAGAGGTGGGTTGAATATTGTCCAGTGTACTTGGGAGCAAGTTCCTCCTGATCCCTGAAATCGTACCCAGGTTCCAATTGACTGCAATTGAACCCTGGCATGTCGCACTTGTAAATGTGCGTGTAATAGTCTTCGCTCCCTCCGAGATAACCTGTAATAGATTGGAAATTGGACTGATTTTATGCAAGGATAAAATGAACAAACTGCATGCAGAAAGTTCCACTTGATGCTCCGACTTTACCAGCTATGGACCCGTTTCTCACACATGTATTGTTAGGGACCTGTGTGACCTACAACCATAATCGACACACTATGTCCGATGTACAGAAACCTGGACAAGATGAGACAACGGGTAAAACAGGTCATCCATAACAACAGCCCCTTTTTAAGAAAATAGCACAGCATGGGTCAATTTCTATTCACAAGTGTTTCATTTAGATCGAGATAAAGATGTAAAGGTCCACATGAAAAACAAACATTGAAAATGCATCGATTATAACACGTAGAACTATTCAAGTTTCCATTCTATCCCAGCCTTCAGTTTAACAGTCCCGTTTTGTCCCCGATACATGTATTAGGGCATTTGCATCTTTATACGACTGCACTTTCAGAGGAGCAAGCTCCGATGAATCGTACAGCGGGCCGTCTTACAGAAAATATTATCTCACCAAAGAAGGTATCAAAGCCACGCCTGGTGGGCCAGCAGTCTTTCTTGTAGAAGCCAAGATGCCATTTGCCGACTGCGTGCGTGGCGTAGCCGAGCTCCTTGAGTTTATTGGCGAGGGTCGGGTCTTCTAGAGGGAGGCAGTCTGGCTGGACTGCATGGAACGACCGATGCTCAAGACCGGTGTGAATCTGTAGTTTAAGCAAATTTTTCTAATTGCCCATCTGTTCGGCCTACAAGCATTGGCGTCAACAATACACTCCAGGTCATCTGGAAAAAGTCTGCCAATTACCAAGAAACGCAACCTGACATTGCTTCAATCATATCACATCTTCAAATTTACAAAGACTTGAACACTTTGCTCTTTTCTCAACTTCATAAAAGTACAAGCTGAATTTGTTTGAATTGGGGATACTATCATCTTTCTAATGTAAGACCATGCATTCTCGTCACGTGCCCTGTTTTACCTGGTATCGACCGCTCATCAGTTGACTTCTCGTCGGGGTGCAAATCGGCTGGACATAGTAATTCTCCAGCTTCACGCCCTCAGCGGCAAGTTTGTCCAGCCATGGAGTCTTAATTGCAGAACCATGGTAACCGACGTCATGGAAACCGAAGTCATCAGCCAGGATGAAGATGATGTTCGGTAGAGTTGCCGATGTATTGCTGCAGTCACCCGCAGGCGCGAGAGCCAGGCCGTACACCGATGCCAGAAGCCACAGTTTTCCGAGGTCTAACCAGCGTTTCAAAAATCGGCACCTGCTTCCCATTTTTTCTGAGGGACCCCTTCAAAATATACAAACCTTGCTCTGTAGCACCTTGACCTGTGCAAAGAACACTGACTTTAATACAAACGGCTCGACTATGTTCCCCGATTCAAAATTGAAACACGGTATCTTGACATGATTTCAGGTAAGTTCTAAGGCTTTATTTCCGGCAATTATTTACACACAAATTCGTTATTCAGGAACATGGGAACCACAACAATATGTCCTTGTACTATTGCAAAGAACCTAACTCCGCTGAAACCGGTTTGACTGAAACGCGACAGTCACTGCATTCAAGAATTGTCCTTCACTGACAATATACCGTTCTCTGCCAACAACGGATGGGCAAACTATGCAAGGCCAGCATTGTAAAAATAGTGCTGTAGTGCTGTAATCCTCCAACCAGCTCCTTAACCTTGTCTGGTCTGGCTTCAGATAGGTCATGATACTCATTGGGGTCCTCCTGGATATTGAACAGCCAAACGTGTTTACCTTTCTGTTCAATTGGTTGGATGGGGACGATCCCTGAATCAGGAAGTGGTATCCATCTGCTCGGTCCTGTGTAATGTAAAACACGATTTAGAGGAAACACGCCCCCGAGACGATGTTTGCTCCTGAAAGGATCCGAGACCGCGGGCTCCCGCGGCGCCAAAATCGCTCCACGTCTGTGAAAAAATGCGGAGGGTGTCTTCGGCCGGGTCGGACACTTCGGGTCGTCCTGATATTCCGGTACGGACCCGCGATCCGTTTCGTCGATTTTTCGTGACTGCGTTTTGCGCAGGAATTTGCTGTCGTGTGCGCTTTCACGTTGACTGCCTCGTCGCCCCCTGTGCTGGCTTTTCTGCGTGTATAGACTGTGCGAGGTCAGCGAGGTCAACGTAGGGGTTTCGTTTACGTGTTCTACTCGGCCGTTCTGCTAAAGCGTTCACCAACGGTAGTATGGGGTGACCTTTGCAAAATATTTTTTCTCCATGGTGTGTGGCCACCAAGTGTCCCTATTCTTTCCTGTACTTTGCTTACCGCCCCTGCGCCGAGTGCAACGAATACTCAGAAGGACTACACATTAGTATGCCTTGCGCGGTCTGACCAATCGAAAGTCTACACCGCGTGGTACTTCCCTGCTATGCGTAAAACCGTCGATGGCAACGCGTACTGCAGCCTGCTCCACACCCTGGAAACGAGGTTGAGTCTACGGTGCTCGCTATTTGAAGCACAAGCATGTGACGTCGTGTGATAGAGTGCTGTTGCTTCCATAATGTGTTTACAGCTCCATGCTTCCACCACCAAGGCTGAGCGTTGTGAGTTCGCTGCCCGTCACGTATAATTCAGTGTCGCGTTATAATTTCGGGGGCCTGTTTGGGATCAACGAAGGAGCGATGCATTGCTTCAAATATCGCGATCTTAAACGCAGTCACAGAAAAATCGACAAAACGGATCGCCGGTCCGTACGGAAAAATTAGAACGACCCAAAGTGCCCGACCCGGCGGAAGACACCCTCCACATTTTCCCACGGACGTGGAGCGATTTTGGCGCCGCGGGAGACCGCGGTCTCGGATCCTCTCAGGAGCAAACATTTCTCGGAGGTCGAGTAAAACTTGCTCTTATATAGATGGTTGAACCAACTTGAATAAAAGTTGAATCGACTTTTTCCTCGCAGACGGTAAGAAGTTCAAGTTTACGTTTATTGAAGAGTCCAATCTTGAAACTTAATTATGACCTTCCTCCATCATTCAGACCGTTTGTAATTTTATGGTAACACTGAACATTTTCATTGCGAATGACAGCTTCACGTTTGATTGCATTATGATTTATTGTCAAAACTATACAATCAGCCTTCGCCTGTGTACTACGGTAACCTTTTCACTAACGCGACTGCCTCACAAAATGCCAATTTGACAGACCAACGGGAACATTTACAGACAGTTGCCGTGGTACAAAATTATCATGTGCGTAAATCGACGGGGGACAGGGGGAACCCCCCCCCCCACCCCCCCACCCCCCCCCCCCCCCTCCACATTTTAAAGCGGGGACATTGTTTGGTTCCCCCCCCCACTTTTTCTTCCCCGAATTAAAATTGTAGCCTACTATAATGATTCTATTGCTCAGAATACCGTGTAGCTGATTCAATTACCCCAAGCTCAAAAATGATGTTTCAAAGATGATCTTTTGCTCTAATTGGTTTAAGTGGTCAGAAATTGCTTCAGATCACACCACAAAAAAATTGCTTTTCTATAACTGCATGTCTTTTCAACTAACCCCCATTTACATTTAACTCCCCACATTTTCATCCCCAACACTACGCCCTACCCGATCTATGATCGGGTAAATCAGCTTGTACATGTATAAAGGCAGGCTATTATAACCCGTGAGGTTATATAGACAAAGTAAGACAGTATTAAGAGACGAAGTGGTACTTGGGATGATGTGGTTTATTCGGTTGGCTGTGACGCTCTCTGTCTGATTCCTAGATTCTACTGGGTTTTTATACAGTAAATGAACATTCCAATCTTATAGCTATCTTACAGGTTTCTTGCCTTATTAGGAATCGTTCACCACCTATTGAATATTAATAATACAGAATTGAAGGTGTTCGGTCAACTTGTATCTGGGGGCAGGGCTAGGCAAATTAATAGAACAATCGGATTTCCTTATAAGTCTGTGGGCTGAATCACTGTGGCCTTCCGGTGCAGCCCAGCATCCACCCACGCGGACCTTGTGGCTAAACTGGCCATTCCTTAGATGTGTCTCATTACCAGGAAAGTGGTCCTGTTCCTTGAAGGTCAACGTATACAACTTAAACAGTAAATATAAAACATGATATTTTATCATGGTGATACTATCCAGTGCGCATCAATCTCCTGCTAAGGTTCGAGTGGTAGCTGCGCGTATGACGATGCTTCTTTTAATAAAAGGAGATTTTCTGACACATTCGTAAACGGCACAAGATGTGCAATATCACGCCCATCAGCTATATCGAAGATGGTACCGTTAAAATTATTTCGTAAAATCTATCAACACTTTCTCAGTCACTTTTTGGAACCTTTGCCATGGATCTTGTGACCTTTGAGTGTGGATGTCAGGTTTTAAAACATGTACCTGCAACTTTCTCAGAAATCTTGGTAAGGTCTACGAATAGCGTGACAGCCTGTACAATACGTGTTAAGTTTTTCCAAACAGCAATGCAATAGGCCTGGTCGTGCTTGTGCTATTCGTTCTTAATACGAATATATAATACAGTTGCATAGTTGATTTGCATATACTTGCGCCAAAAAAGGGAAAAGAAAAAACCTTCGTCGCGATGTAAAACTCATCACGGGCCCTAAATACTCTGAATCCAACCTATCTATTAGAGATTTCCCTTAATCCACCAACGACAGCCAATGAAATCAGTGTAGGCCTAAGTCACACCTGGATTTCCAGTTAGGAGTTTCCAATCCCCAACACGTATAGCAGCCCTGATAGTGGTGTTGAACGCACCAGATGGGGTGAAAAAGTCATCGTCCTTAGTCTGGTTCCCTTCGAGTGACCAGTTAATGATTGACATGTATGTCTGGGTCAGAGGGTCGATATTGTGCAGGATTTCCGTTCTTGGAGAGGGTGATCCTAGACTACAAAAGGGAAGTAAAAAGAAATGTTAGAGTCATACGATAGTTTTCAAACAAAGCTGAAAGGTAGACACCTTTGCAAAATGAATATATATTTTACCGCTCCGAGAAACAACAATAAAAACAATAAAAGTAAAATTATTATAAAAAATAAACTGTCGAAATGTCAGCGATGGAGATATTCTTTTTAAAAAAGAGTGAAAATGTATCTCCATGTTTCTCGACTCCGTTAAAAGCCCTCCCTTCCAAAATGTTCATTAATACGTTTTGACTTGCACCCTCTTGTGGTATGATGCCAGTTCGTCATTCGGAAAAATTATTTCCATTCACGGATATGTAACTAATTGCAAACTAAATTCGGTCAGTTGGGAGCAGTGTTTAAAAACAAGTTACTCCTCGATATGGTTTGGTTTTAACCATCGCAAAGAAATAATGGTATTCCTCCATTCTTAAAAATGAGAGCATACCTGGCGCAACGATTTCACAGGATGTTTGATCCTATTGTAACTTACAATCAAGTAGCACATTTCATAATAATGGAGCAGTTTCGTTTTTGGAATGTTTGCTCAATTTTGCCCATTACTTTTAACGACTTTATTTATATTGTTTTTCGACTTATGATGTTTTACAAAATAACATTTAAAAAAATGTTTTGCCTTCCCGATCGAGTAACTTTCATTTAGTCTGAGAAATCAACGGGTCTGCTCAGATAGGACTTGAACTTCGAACTCTTCTTGCGTTCTAGTGCAGTCGATTCACACAAGTAAACCACAGAAACAACAATGCCAAGTCCATAACAGGTACCAATGACAATGATTGGTTATTTACAAGCTCTTAAATAATAGCCTTTCGGGGTTTTTCTGCTGCCAACCATCAAACTTGACGAGTGGCCTGAGAATCGATCAAATGAGGATCAGCTAAAGGTCCAATTGAAAATCAGTCAAAATCAACTGATTTTTAGTCAGGATAATTATTCACTGAAAATTCTACGTTGAAGAGGAATCTAGTCAGAATTTAGCTTCACTATCGATGTGTGTTTGTATCAGTGACCAATTTCCTTTTACCTTATAAGAACTAAAGAATCGGCATTTTGTCCATAATTGAAGTTCGCAAAAGATGATATCGAGTCAGCATTTCACCATGTAATATCATGAACGTGGTATAGATGTAAAGGACACGCCTTGTGGAACATTGGCATGGATAAATCACCTGATGGTATTCCAAACATTGAAACCGTCTAGTTGCAGACCCTCCAGACTGCCTCCGGCAAGCCCAGCTACAAGGGTTGGGAACCAGTCGCTGACGTGTATCAACTGCGTGTTGCTGGTACCCCGCATGGCGTCTGGTATGAGTGGGCTGTAGACGAAGCCTACACCGTGGATACCTCCTTCCCAGAGGGTGCCTTTCACGCCTCGCAGAGGCCAGTTGTACCCTCCTCCAAAAATAGGTTCGCCACCATTGTCTACCGATGGAATTTGGAGGGAAAACATTCAAAATAATAGGCCACTTCCGAATAACCTATCCTGTGCATCGACTTTTCTATTTTGACATAGGTCAATTTATAGTGAAAGAATATCGAAAGTGACTATAGGACACCCGTTACCAATATATTACTTTCAAATGGTGAAAATGGCACAAACCAGGAAAAAAGGAAAGTGCTTTAAAATAAAAAAACAAGTACTATTTCTCGAGAGTTGAAATCCGAATATACAAGTGTTAACTTGTACATTTTAAGAAAAACGAATGAGACATTATTCACAAATATCTCATGAGTTGAGGCCAAAGCTCACTGAAAGTTTTAGTTTGTGTAATTGTGTAAAACACGAACATTTGTCACTATGACAGCTTGCGAGGTCCATCCTGATCTTCACTTTGAGCATACATCATACATTGTGTCTGCTGCCATCAGGCGGCTGCCTAACAAACCTGTTGAGAAGATCAGCACTGTGTTTTCCCACAATCCCAGCTCCGTCATTTTCTGCGTGATGTTCCCGATAGCCTCGTCCATACAGGCCACCATGCCAGAGTATACTCGTCGGTCGTGATCCTGGACTTCTCGGTATGGCTTCAAATACTGGTCGGGTACCTCCAGGGGAATGTGTGGCGCTTGGAAAGGTAGGTACAGGAAGATTGGCTAAACGTTGTTGGTACACAAAAAGAGCACAAAGGTCAAACAAAAATATGTTAACGATTTTCAAGACACTTAATTACACTCCACAGAATTATAAAGCGTATTCACCAGACACGAGTTTTCAGAAAACTGATATTTAAAATGGAATGACTTTTCCTCTAAACCAGAGAACGACTTCCTTTTTAAAATCGAAATAGTTTTCTGTTTTCCTGTTAGGTTTGTTACACAGTACTTTGTTAGGCTGACTGTTTTCCAAAATGTGCTGGGCTCGCTCTGCTAAGAGGTGGGTTGAATATTGTCCAGTGTACTTGGGAGCAAGTTCCTCCTGATCCCTGAAATCGTACCCAGGTTCCAATTGACTGCAATTGAACCCTGGCATGTCGCACTTGTAAATGTGCGTGTAATAGTCTTCGCTCCCTCCGAGATAACCTGTAATAGATTGGAAATTGGACTGATTTTATGCAAGGATAAAATGAACAAACTGCATGCAGAAAGTTCCACTTGATGCTCCGACTTTACCAGCTATGGACCTGTTTCTCACACATGTATTGTTAGGGACCTGTGTGACCTACAACCATAATCGACACACTATGTCCGATGTACAGAAACCTGGACAAGATGAGACAACGGGTAAAACAGGTCATCCATAACAACAGCCCCTTTTTAAGAAAATAGCACAGCATGGGTCAATTTCTATTCACAAGTGTTTCATTTAGATCGAGATAAAGATGTAAAGGTCCACATGAAAAACAAACATTGAAAATGCATCGATTATAACACGTAGAACTATTCAAGTTTCCATTCTATCCCAGCCTTCAGTTTAACAGTCCCGTTTTGTCCCCGATACATGTATTAGGGCATTTGCATCTTTATACGACTGCACTTTCAGAGGAGCAAGCTCCGATGAATCGTACAGCGGGCCGTCTTACAGAAAATATTATCTCACCAAAGAAGGTATCAAAGCCACGCCTGGTGGGCCAGCAGTCTTTCTTGTAGAAGCCAAGATGCCATTTGCCGACTGCGTGCGTGGCGTAGCCGAGCTCCTTGAGTTTATTGGCGAGGGTCGGGTCTTCTAGAGGGAGGCAGTCTGGCTGGACTGCATGGAACGACCGATGCTCAAGACCGGTGTGAATCTGTAGTTTAAGCAAATTTTTCTAATTGCCCATCTGTTCGGCCTACAAGCATTGGCGTCAACAATACACTCCAGGTCATCTGGAAAAAGTCTGCCAATTACCAAGAAACGCAACCTGACATTGCTTCAATCATATCACATCTTCAAATGTACAAAGACTTGAACACTTTGCTCTTTTCTCAACTTCATAAAAGTACAAGCTGAATTTGTTTGAATTGGGGATACTATCATCTTTCTAATGTAAGACCATGCATTCTCGTCACGTGCCCTGTTTTACCTGGTATCGACCGCTCATCAGTTGACTTCTCGTCGGGGTGCAAATCGGCTGGACATAGTAATTCTCCAGCTTCACGCCCTCAGCGGCAAGTTTGTCCAGCCACGGAGTCTTAATTGCGGAACCATGGTAACCGACGTCATGGAAACCGAAGTCATCAGCCAGGATGAAGATGATGTTCGGTAGAGTTGCCGATGTATTGCTGCAGTCACCCGCAGGCGCGAGAGCCAGGCCGTACACCGATGCCAGAAGCCACAGTTTTCCGAGGTCTAACCAGCGTTTCAAAAATCGGCACCTGCTTCCCATTTTTTCTAAGGGACCCCTTCAAAATATACAAACCTTGCTCTGTAGCACCTTGACCTGTGCAAAGAACACTGACTTTAATACAAACGGCTCGACTATGTTCCCCGATTCAAAATTGAAACACGGTATCTTGACATGATTTCAGGTAAGTTCTAAGGCTTTATTTCCGGCAATTATTTACACACAAATTCGTTATTCAGGAACATGGGAACCACAACAATATGTCCTTGTACTATTGCAAAGAACCTAACTCCGCTGAAACCGGTTTGACTGAAACGCGACAGTCACTGCATTCAAGAATTGTCCTTCACTGACAATATACCGTTCTCTGCCAACAACGGATGGGCAAACTATGCAAGGCCAGCATTGTAAAAATAGTGCTGTAGTGCTGTAATCCTCCAACCAGCTCCTTAACCTTGTCTGGTCTGGCTTCAGATAGGTCATGATACTCATTGGGGTCCTCCTGGATATTGAACAGCCAAACGTGTTTACCTTTCTGTTCAATTGGTTGGATGGGGACGATCCCTGAATCAGGAAGTGGTATCCATCTGCTCGGTCCTGTGTAATGTAAAACACGATTTAGAGGAAACACGCCCCCGAGACGATGTTTGCTCCTGAAAGGATCCGAGACCGCGGGCTCCCGCGGCGCCAAAATCGCTCCACGTCTGTGAAAAAATGCGGCCGGGGTGTCTTCGGCCGGGTCGGACACTTCGGGTCGTCCTGATTTTCCGGTACGGACCGGCGATCCGTTTCGTCGATTTTTCGTGACTGCGTTTTGCGCAGGAATTTGCTGTCGTGTGCGCTTTCACGTTGACTGCCTCGTCGCCCCCTGTGCTGGCTTTTCTGCGTGTATAGACTGTGCGAGGTCAGCGAGGTCAACGTAGGGGTTTCGTTTACGTGTTCTACTCGGCCGTTCTGCTAAAGCGTTCACCAACGGTAGTATGGGGTGACCTTTGCAAAATATTTTTTCTCCATGGTGTGTGGCCACCAAGTGTCCCTATTCTTTCCTGTACTTTGCTTACCGCCCCTGCGCCGAGTGCAACGAATACTCAGAAGGACTACACATTAGTATGCCTTGCGCGGTCTGACCAATCGAAAGTCTACACCGCGTGGTACTTCCCTGCTATGCGTAAAACCGTCGATGGCAACGCGTACTGCAGCCTGCTCCACACCCTGGAAACGAGGTTGAGTCTACGGTGCTCGCTATTTGAAGCACAAGCATGTGACGTCGTGTGATAGAGTGCTGTTGCTTCCATAATGTGTTTACAGCTCCATGCTTCCACCACCAAGGCTGAGCGTTGTGAGTTCGCTGCCCGTCACGTATAATTCAGTGTCGCGTTATAATTTCGGGGGCCTGTTTGGGATCAACGAAGGAGCGATGCATTGCTTCAAATATCGCGATCTTAAACGCAGTCACAGAAAAATCGACAAAACGGATCGCCGGTCCGTACGGAAAAATTAGAACGACCCAAAGTGCCCGACCCGGCGGAAGACACCCTCCACATTTTCCCACGGACGTGGAGCGATTTTGGCGCCGCGGGAGACCGCGGTCTCGGATCCTCTCAGGAGCAAACATTTCTCGGAGGCCGAGTAAAACTTGCTCTTATATAGATGGTTGAACCAACTTGAATAAAAGTTGAATCGACTTTTTCCTCGCAGACGGTAAGAAGTTCAAGTTTACGTTTATTGAAGAGTCCAATCTTGAAACTTAATTATGACCTTCCTCCATCATTCAGACCGTTTGTAATTTTATGGTAACACTGAACATTTTCATTGCGAATGACAGCTTCACGTTTGATTGCATTATGATTTATTGTCAAAACTATACAATCAGCCTTCGCCTGTGTACTACGGTAACCTTTTCACTAACGCGACTGCCTCACAAAATGCCAATTTGACAGACCAACGGGAACATTTACAGACAGTTGCCGTGGTACAAAATTATCATGTGCGTAAATCGACGGGGGACAGGGGGAACCCCCCCCCCCACCCCCCACCCCCCCCCCTCCACATTTTAAAGCGGGGACATTGTTTGGTTCCCCCCCCCCACTTTTTCTTCCCCGAATTAAAATTGTAGCCTACTATAATGATTCTATTGCTCAGAATACCGTGTAGCTGATTCAATTACCCCAAGCTCAAAAATGATGTTTCAAAGATGATCTTTTGCTCTAATTGGTTTAAGTGGTCAGAAATTGCTTCAGATCACACCACAAAAAAATTGCTTTTCTATAACTGCATGTCTTTTCAACTAACCCCCATTTACATTTAACTCCCCACATTTTCATCCCCAACACTACGCCCTACCCGATCTATGATCGGGTAAATCAGCTTGTACATGTATAAAGGCAGGCTATTATAACCCGTGAGGTTATATAGACAAAGTAAGACAGTATTAAGAGACGAAGTGGTACTTGGGATGATGTGGTTTATTCGGTTGGCTGTGACGCTCTCTGTCTGATTCCTAGATTCTACTGGGTTTTTATACAGTAAATGAACATTCCAATCTTATAGCTATCTTACAGGTTTCTTGCCTTATTAGGAATCGTTCACCACCTATTGAATATTAATAATACAGAATTGAAGGTGTTCGGTCAACTTGTATCTGGGGGCAGGGCTAGGCAAATTAATAGAACAATCGGATTTCCTTATAAGTCTGTGGGCTGAATCACTGTGGCCTTCCGGTGCAGCCCAGCATCCACCCACGCGGACCTTGTGGCTAAACTGGCCATTCCTTAGATGTGTCTCATTACCAGGAAAGTGGTCCTGTTCCTTGAAGGTCAACGTATACAACTTAAACAGTAAATATAAAACATGATATTTTATCATGGTGATACTATCCAGTGCGCATCAATCTCCTGCTAAGGTTCGAGTGGTAGCTGCGCGTATGACGATGCTTCTTTTAATAAAAGGAGATTTTCTGACACATTCGTAAACGGCACAAGATGTGCAATATCACGCCCATCAGCTATATCGAAGATGGTACCGTTAAAATTATTTCGTAAAATCTATCAACACTTTCTCAGTCACTTTTTGGAACCTTTGCCATGGATCTTGTGACCTTTGAGTGTGGATGTCAGGTTTTAAAACATGTACCTGCAACTTTCTCAGAAATCTTGGTAAGGTCTACGAATAGCGTGACAGCCTGTACAATACGTGTTAAGTTTTTCCACACAGCAATGCAATAGGCCTGGTCGTGCTTGTGCTATTCGTTCTTAATACGAATATATAATACAGTTGCATAGTTGATTTGCATATACTTGCGCCAAAAAAGGGAAAAGAAAAAAACCTTCGTCGCGATGTAAAACTCATCACGGGCCCTAAATACTCTGAATCCAAGCTATCTATTAGAGATTTCCCCTTAATCCACCAACGACAGCCAATGAAATCAGTGCAGGCCTAAGTCACACCTGGATTTCCAGTTAGGAGTTTCCAATCCCCAACACGTATAGCAGCCCTGATAGTGGTGTTGAACGCACCAGATGGGGTGAAAAAGTCATCGTCCTTAGTCTGGTTCCCTTCGAGTGACCAGTTAATGATTGACATGTATGTCTGGGTCAGAGGGTCGATATTGTGCAGGATTTCCGTTCTTGGAGAGGGTGATCCTAGACTACAAAAGGGAAGTAAAAAGAAATGTTAGAGTCATACGATAGTTTTCAAACAAAGCTGAAAGGTAGACACCTTTGCAAAATGAATATATATTTTACCGCTCCGAGAAACAACAATAAAAACAATAAAAGTAAAATTATTATAAAAAATAAACTGTCGAAATGTCAGCGATGGAGATATTCTTTTTAAAAAAGAGTGAAAATGTATCTCCATGTTTCTCGACTCCGTTAAAAGCCCTCCCTTCCAAAATGTTCATTAATACGTTTTGACTTGCACCCTCTTGTGGTATGATGCCAGTTCGTCATTCGGAAAAATTATTTCCATTCACGGATATGTAACTAATTGCAAACTAAATTCGGTCAGTTGGGAGCAGTGTTTAAAAACAAGTTACTCCTCGATATGGTTTGGTTTTAACCATCGCAAAGAAATAATGGTATTCCTCCATTCTTAAAAATGAGAGCATACCAGGCGCAACGATTTCACAGGATGTTTGATCCTATTGTAACTTACAATCAAGTAGCACATTTCATAATAATGGAGCAGTTTCGTTTTTGGAATGTTTGCTCAATTTTGCCCATTACTTTTAACGACTTTATTTATATTGTTTTTCGACTTATGATGTTTTACAAAATAACATTTAAAAAAATGTTTTGCCTTCCCGATCGAGTAACTTTCATTTAGTCTGAGAAATCAACGGGTCTGCTCAGATAGGACTTGAACTTCGAACTCTTCTTGCGTTCTAGTGCAGTCGATTCACACAAGTAAACCACCGAAACAACAATGCCAAGTCGATAACAGGTACCAATGACAATGATTGGTTATTTACAAGCTCTTAAATAATAGCCTTTCGGGGTTTTTTTACTGCCAACCATCAAACTTGACGAGTGGCCTGAGAATCGATCCAATGAGGATCAGCTAAAGGTCCAATTGAAAATCAGTCTAAATCAATTGATTTCTAGTCAGGGTAATTATTTACTGAAAATTCTACGGTGAAGAGGAATCTAGTCAGAATTTAGCTTCAACGATCGATGTGTGAGTGTTTGTATCAGTGACCAATTTCCTTTTACCTTATAAGAACTAATTAAAGAATCGGCGTTTTGTCCATAATTTAAGTTTGCAAAAGATGATATCGAATCAGCATTTCACCATGTAATATCACGTACGTGGTATAGATGTAAAGGACACGCCTTGTGGTACATTGGCATGGATAAATCACCTGATGGTATTCCAAACATTGAAACCGTCTAGTTGCAGACCCTCCAGACTGCCTCCGGCAAGCCCAGCTACAAGGGTTGGGAACCAGTCGCTGACGTGTATCAACTGCGTGTTGCTGGTACCCCGCATGGCGTCTGGTATGAGTGGGCTGTAGACGAAGCCTACACCGTGGATACCTCCTTCCTAGAGGGTGCCTTTCACGCCTCGCAGAGGCCAGTTGTACCCTCCTCCAAAAATAGGTTCGCCACCATTGTTTACCGATGGAATTTGGAGGGAAAACATTCAAAATAATAGGCCACTTCCGAATAACCTATCCTGTGCATCGACTTTTCTATTTTGACATAGGTCAATTTATAGTGAAAGAATATCGAAAGTGAATATAGGACACCCGTTACCAATATATTACTTTCAAATGGTGAAAATGGCACAAACCAGGAAAAAAGGAAAGTGCTTTAAAATAAAAAAAACAAGTACTATTTCTCGAGAGTTGAAATCCGAATATACAAGTGTTAACTTGTACATTTTAAGAAAAACGAATGAGACATTATTCACAAATATCTCATGAGTTGAGGCCAAAGCTCACTGAAAGTTTTAGTTTGTGTAATTGTGTAAAACACGAACATTTGTCGCTATGACAGCTTGCAAGGTCCATCCTGATCTTCACTTTGAGCATACATCATACATTGTGTCTGCTGCCATCAGGCGGCTGCCTAACAAACCTGTTGAGAAGATCAGCACTATGTTTTCCCACAATCCCAGCTCCGTCATTTTCTGCGTGATGTTCCCGATAGCCTCGTCCATACAGGCCACCATGCCAGAGTATACTCGTCGGTCGTGATCCTTGACTTCTCGGTATGGCTTCAAATACTGGTCGGGTACGTCCAGGGGAATGTGTGGCGCTTGGAAAGGTAGGT